ACAGGAAATGGGATATTATCGAACACAGAGAAGACATTGGTTCATAGGGAGCGGACAAGTGTCTATAAAAGTAAAAAAATGTCCATATAAGTTCTTTATCATTGCTTATCCTTAGACCCTTCGGCATCGACAAGGAACCACTCAAAACAATTGTTTTGAATAAAGTGAGAAACCTCGGCAGGCCCACAATGTCCTGTTCATTGTTCGGAGAAATGTGTTTTCGTCGATCTCAAAAACCCATCATGAGTAGCCAGAATATTGTATTTTATTATTTGATTTTCTGTTGTCTCCAAAGTTTTGTCTCTCGGCTCCGGTCTGTAATCCGGTCTCAGTCTGTGTTTGCGTGTTTTAAAAAAAAATCTGCACAATCCCACATTTGTTCGAAGAGAGAAGAAGTAAAAACTGGGCCAAAACCAACAGCCGCCGCGTCGTCACAAAACTAAAGTCAAACATGCAAAATACTCACTTTCTCTTTCTGCTGTCGAAGGAGCGCTCCTGGAAACACACAAACAAACCAACAACGGTGATTCAGAACAGATCGGGTTTCTGAGATCTGCAGCGATTTGTCAAAAAAAAAAAGAATTGTCTACGGCAGCAGAAAATCTGAGACGTGAGAAAAAAAAGTTATTGTTTTTAATATTTTGATTTTATGTCACCAGAGAGAGAGACAAGAGAGAGAGAGAAAAGAGAGAGACAAGAGAGAGAGACGAGAGAGAGACAAGAGAGAGAAAGACGAGAGAGACCAGAGAGAGACCAGAGAGAGATCAGAGAGAGAGAGAGAAAAGAGAGAGACAAAAGAGAGAGAAAATAGAGACCAGAGAGAGAGACATGAGAGAGAGAAACAAAAGAGAGAGAGACAAGAGAGTGAGAGACACCAGAAAGACAAGAGAGAGAGACAAGAGAGGGACAGAGAGACCAGAGCGAGACGAGAGAGAGAGAAGAGAGAGACGAGAGAGAGCGTCGAGAGAGAGAGAGAGACAAATGTCTTTGAAAGTAAAAAAAAAAGATGGAAAGGTGAAAACGGGGCTACACTGAGTCCGTAGAGATCATTGAGAGAGACGAGATGTGTCTTTTTGAACTGATAAGACAAGTTTATTTGTAGATCACAATCACACACAAAGCCAATCGTTCTGAACAAATCAAGACATTTAAAAGATGCCAATTCCTCCAATAATGTCTTTTTACAAACCTTCAATTAGTTCATGTTTAGATTTGCAGAAAGACTAAACTAATTCAACCGTCAGAATTCTTAACCAGCAGCTGCGGCGTTTTCAGAATTATTTTCAAAACCAAATCTGTTTATTTGTTCAGGTTTTTGTTCATGATTTTCCAACTCTCTCTCTCTCTCCATCCGTCTCTCTCTCTCTCTCTCTCCCTCTCCTTCTCCCTCTATCTCTCTCCCTCTCTCTCTCCCTCCCTCCTCCCTTTCTCTCTCTTTCTCCCTCTCTCTCTCTCCCTCTCTCTCTCCCTCCCTCCTCCCTTTCTCTCTCTTTCTCCCTCTCTCTCTCTCTCTCCCTCCTCCCTCTCTCTCTCTCTCTCTCCCGCTCTCTATCTCTCCCTCTCCCTCTATCTCTCACCCTCTCTCTCTCCCTCCCTCTCTCTCTCTCTCCCTCTACCTCTCCCTCCATCTCTCTCCCTCTCCCTCTCTCTCTCTCTATGGGACAAACAGGATCAATTTTTGCTAATTGGCTTTAATATTAATGACACTCCACCCACAATGCAACACTGCAACCAGCGAACCACAAAACACGAGACTTTGAATAAAACTAATCATTATTTTGTGCCTAAAATGGCACGTTTTTTTGCATTTCTATGGACGCCATGTGTGTGTTCTCTTCCGCCTTAATTGACAGCAGAAGCCATCCTCAATAACGGCTTTCATGGATACGCCGACAGATGCGCCTGGTGGCAACGGGGCTACGGAAAGCCACAAGGGACAAAAACTAGATTCATACTGGAAGTGGAGATATGAGGTTTTGCAGACAAAGGCTTGACACAGCCACTGAGCACATTGTGACAGACAGAGGAGATTATAGCAACGGCTGGAGAAAAAAAAAGTCTTATCTGGAGTCAGGCTTAATTAGGTCCGGGTTTGTCACGGAGCCTTTTATTCACCGGTCTTTCAATCATTTGTTTGTTGTTGGAGGATTTAACAAAACTGCTTTTTGTTATGTTAATGCTGATGTCTGAAAATATACTTCGATTTCAAACATACGTGAAAAGAATGTGTGTTTCCGACCATGGAGTCACTGTACTGATGTGTACTGTAAGTATTTTCAAACAGGTTCTGGGTTCGCATCCCGGTCGGAACAGGGTCTGTCTGAGTGGAGTTTGCATGTTCTCCTCGAGTTTCCTCGGGGTACTCTTGCTGTGAGGCAGAAGCATGGCATCTCTATTGTCATGTGTTTCTAAAGATACTGTATCCATGACATCTCTTTCGTCCCTGCGCTAAACAGAGCTATTTTAGACTCAAATGTGTTTAATCTTCCTCCAAAATGTCCGTTACTAAATGTTATCCACCGCTGCAGACACTCACCGCACAAAGGCCTCGGTTCTGCAAATGTCATCCACCTGTTACTGCTGCACCACAGGACCTGAGGACTGAGGACTGTGGACCTGAGACCATGAGGACCGTGGACTGTGAACTGTGGACCTGAGACCATGAGGACTGTGGACCTGAGACCATGAGGACCGTGGACTGTGAACTGTGGACCTGAGACCATGAGGACCGTGGACCTGAGACCATGAGGACCATGGACTGTGAACTGTGGACCTGAGACCATGAGGACCGTGGACCTGAGACCATGAGGACCATGGACTGTGAACTGTGGACCTGAGACCATGAGGACCGTGGACCTGAGGACTGAGGACTGTGGACCTGAGACCATGAGGACCGTGGACCTGAGACCATGAGGACTATGGACCTGACTGTGGACTGTGGACCTGAGACTATGTGGACTGTGGACCTGAGACCATGAGGACTGTGGACCTGAGACCATGTGGACTGTGGACCTGAGACCATGAGGACTGTGGACCTGAGACCGTGTGGACTGTAGACTGTGGACCTGAGACCATGAGGACTGTGGACTGTGGACCTGAGAGCATGTGGACTGTGGTCTCACCTGTGACCATGTGGACTGTGGACCTGAAACCACGAGGACTGTGGACTGTGGACCTGAGACCATGAGGACTGTTGACCCGAGACCATGTGGACTGTGGACTATAGACTGTGGACTGTGGTCCCGAGACCATGAGGACTGTGGACTGTGGACCTGAGACCATGAGGACTGTGGACTATGGACCTGAGACCATGTGGACTGTGGACTGTGGAGAAATTGAGATTATACAGCATTTTTCAGCGTTAACAAAATTAAGTTCTTCCCACTTCTACCACAAGATGGGAGTGTTTCTCACCCTGGCCATCTTCATTCAAAGTCTTTGTAATTCATAATAATAGTTATAATAATACCATTGCATTAGATTCGGTAATTCTAAACTGCGCTCTTAAGTATGAGCAAAAAGAATTTACAGATGTTAAAATTGTGAATTTGAACCCAGACAATAAGACCTGTCGCCATCTTTCCACCTTTACTCCTTTAATAGTTTCCTTAACCATTTGGTGGATCACTTTTTGAGTCCGTATATTCACTTTAAGCAGCTTGGATCTGAAAGTCCACCTCTTTAGGGCATTTCGCTTGGTTTTAGGCACTTTACCATCAAACTGCATCTCAACCATTTCGTAAAGACCTGTATTAAAAATAAATGAGATAAACTCAGAGTTATTCGTGCTCCTACATCTTATGAAAACCCAAAAGAAAGAAAAATAGATTGCTTTTGCCTAAGATGAACCTTAAAGGGTTAATTCAACCTAAAAGGGAAATATAGAATCATTTTTAGCCAGCTATCCATTCCAACCCAATCCACTTTAGTTATATAGCACATTTTATAAAACACATTTCCAGAGAGCTGCACAAATAAAAATGAACACATTTAAAATATACAAGTCTTCCAGCTTAATATAAATAAAGCAAAAAAAAAAACCACATAAAACATTTATATGTATACTTACATAAACATAAAAAAATAACATAAAAAATAGAGGACTCATGCTGTGTTAAAAGCCAGAGCATAAAAGTGGGTCTTAAGACGAACTAAATTGTCTGGAATCAACATTTTTTTTTTAAATTGCCAGTATTTCAGAGTGATAAACTGTAGTAACAGCAAGTAGTAGTAGTAATGATAGTATAGATAGTAGTAGTAGTAGTAGTAGTAGTATTGCAAGTTGTAGTAGTAGTAGAAGCAGTAATAGTAGAACAAATTATCATAATTATGATAATTTGTTCATTTCACAATGTGCCCACAACTGTGCTTCACAAAATCTACGTTGGGGTTTTGTGGTCTGATAATATGGCTGATGATACACGGTGTTGTACTGCCCTCTTGTGGTACACTGACATTAATGCAGTCTAAAACATTTAATTCAGTAATGTAAATGGAAAAAAGGAGAAGCCTATTTTTACTGTATTCAAAAAACAAATTGAAGGAAATTACTTGAAATCTCTCAAATGTATGTAAGGTCAAAAGGCACTGTCACTTAGAATATTCGATGAGTGTGTCAGTGTGTGTTCGTGTACGTGTGTGTGCAAGCGCGTGCGTGTGTGTGACTACGCGTATGACTGTGTGTGTGCCTTAATTTTTACACTTTTGTATTTTCAGCTTAGTTAATACCAAATTGTATGTTTATTGTACATTTGTTTCAATAAAAAATAAAAAAATAAAAAATAAATAAAAAAAGATTCTGGCGTTTACAGAGAATCACGAGTTCGTTTGGAGGCGTGGATTCACTGTAAAGCGGTCTGTGGGAGTGTCCAAAACAAGTACAAGTGCAACAACAGGAAAAGTCCATCTGTGTGTGTCGTTGTGGAGAGAGCGTGGTACCGACTGAGTTTTCAGCAGGTCTGTAGTATTTGTTTGCTCGGTCTGTAGGTCTGGGCTGAAGCATGGCGCAGTGGAAGAGGCTCTTGGGTCTGGATCGGGACCAGAAGAACGCTGTGACCCGCCTGTATCATGAGCGGTTCCCTCTTGACATTCGCCGCTGTCTGTGCGACTGGATAGAAGATCAGGACTGGTGAGAGCAAAGCCACACACAGGCATCACCATTAACACACTTTTATTTTGTTTTTGTGTAGCCTTAAATTTCTTTAGCAGACGTCTTGGAGGTCTTTGCACATCTTGTCGATTCGCCACGAGAATAGAATGTAGAATCAAATGGTTATAGAACAGGGAATTTAATTTAGGACCAGGCCTGAGGCTGTGGACCCAGGCCTGAGGCTGTGGACCCAGGACTGAGGCTGTAGATCCAGGACTGATGCTGTAGATCCAGGACTGAGGCTGTAGATCCAGGACTGAGGCTGTAGATCCAGGACTGAGGCTGTAGATCCAGGACTGAGGCCGTAGATCCAGGACTGAGGCTGTAGATCCAGGACTGAGGCTGTAGATCCAGGACTGAGGCTGTAGATCCAGGACTGAGGCCGTAGATCCAGGACTGAGGCTGTAGATCCAGGACTGAGGCTGTAGATCCAGGACTGAGGCTGTAGATCCAGGACTGAGGCACTCGACAACAACTACAGTTAGTGGTTGTAAATCTCTGAGCTGTTATTGTTGTCCTTAGGCAAAACACATTGTCTAGTACAGGGGTCGGCAACCCGCGGCTCCGGAGCCGCATGCGGCTCTTGAGTGCTCCTGGAGTGGCTCCTCGAGCCTTTTCAAACATGTCTGAAAATGGAGTGTGAGGGCTATATTTTATTTCTAGTTTGAATGTGGTTTCTGTAGAAGGAAAAACAATCTTTACGTTTTTAAATGCTGTAAAAATGTGTATAAGTAATATTTAATTTCAACATTTCTGTCAACGTAGTGCGTCATATCCTATGACGCGCGGTCACGCGGCCCCGCCCCATGCGACCGCTGCTGTAAACAAACCGGCGTGTGTGCATGATAGACTGTAGGTGCGCATGGATCCCAAAGCTAAAACGAGAAAGAGTCGATAATAAGACTGGACTAAGAATGAGAATGAACATTTTCTTTCAGTCAATGAGGAAGGACTGCTTCATGTTTGTAATGAAAAGTTTTGTTGCAACACGAGGAACAATGACGCGCAAAACACCGTACACGGTGATTACGTGAAGGATTCATTCATCAAAAATTCAGACTTCAAAACCTTCTCAAAGACGGTGAAAGAAAAGGCCATTAAGGATTTTAATTCAGCTCCAGCAAACTTCAGCCTGTGACGTGATGGATATGAGCAGACAGTGATGCAGGTATGTGACCTCTGAGCCCAAAGCAGATTGATTTTTCTGTATTTCTACAATTGCATGAAGGCAAAAAAATGGAAGTAAAACTAAAGCAGAGTCGTCACGTGTTGCGTCATTCAGGACACGCGTGGTGCGACACGCTGCAGTGAAAATACACATTTGATCATCATGAATGATTATTATGTATTTGTAGCCTTTACTTTGTCATTTAGATATTAGGCTAATATAGCTAATACATCTTGCAGCCTGTGTTACCTTCATAAAAGCCTTATACAAGGCTGTTATTTTTTTGCGGCTCCAGACAGATGTTGTTTTTAGGTTTTTTTTGTCAATTATGGCTCTTTGAACATTTTGGGTTCCCGACCCCTGGTCTAGTATGAATGATAGGTGATGGTCGGATGGCTTGGATTAGCGGGCCTTGCCGTCAGTCTGCCCCAGGGCGCCCGTGGCTGCAGCAGAAGTGTAACACCACCGTCTTTCACCATTCAAAGTCCAAGAACAGGGCAAAGAATGTGGTGACCGAGGCATTTCCCTTTTTGTATGTATTTTGGTGTTTACTTATAGAAATGTCTGTATTGTTGACTGTATTGTTCACAAATATGTAAAGTCTAAGTGGCCCCCTCAATGACCAGGTTTTATTTAGAAAACGATGAAATCTCGGATGTAGCCACTATGGTTTGGAATGATTTGACGTGATTCCTCATTCCTCCCCTTGCCTTACTTTGTCATATCACTGGAGGGTGTGTGTGTGAGGCCAACGCCCGGTGTGCGAGGGGAAGTACTTACTGTAGAGTGTCTTTAAGTGCCCTGCGAGCCAACTTCTAACTGCACAATCTCAATGTAGAATCCACAGGGGCTTTCCCATTTCAGGCTATTTTTGTACATGATAAAAGTGACGGTGGATACTTTAAGATCTATACAAAAAACCCAGAGTGGTCTGAGCGAGTGCGATCGTTGCTACAGTGCTGGCCTTTAAGCAGAAAAAAAAATATTCCTTTTTTTGTCCCACAGTGGAGAAAATTCAGTGTCATAGTCGTGCACATTACAGCAGAGAAATAAGGAAATAAGATTGCACACTATTATTTAAGATGAATGATAATATCCTTAAAATAAGTTAATAAGATGGGTAATATAGAATGGAATAAAATAAACTCTGGAGCTGTAATTGCACTTGGTTCATAAGAATTTACAGATGTGTATATTGTACTTTAGCAGCAGAGAATATGAGCAGAGTAAACATCAGTAATAATAACAACAGTAGTGACTAGTGAATGACAGAAGTATCAGATGGATATGTTATAGTGCAGTAATTATAATAAATAATAAATAATAAAAAGTGACTAGTGAATGACAGAATGGATAATGCAGTAATAATAATAACAGGTAAGTTATTGTTATACATTCTCGTTGTACAGCCTGACAGCAGCAGGGAGGAAGGACCTGCGAAACCTCTCCTTCACACAGCAAGGATGATTATTTGAACATAAGCTGGAGCCAATTTCCTTATATGGGCATGTGTTCAGGCTTTTGCTATGAGTTAAGGCATCTAAATCGTCAATGCTTATTTGGCTCAGATCTGGATTTACAAAGGACATATCGGAATAGAAACACCAGGATCTGAGAGATTGCTAAAGCACAGATTTGTTAAATGGTGTGACACAAATTGTTTCTGAGCTCGAGGAGATTTAGTTTTTAATTTGAATCAATAGAAACAGTAACGAGATGGAGCAACATTTTGTCCAGGGCCACTTCCCTTTTGGGCTTCGAGGAGCTAGCGGGTTAGCATTGTCCATCTACAGCATTAGTATTAGTCAGCAATTAAGCAAATGTAAAATGTTCTTCAGGCCCTTGTTCTAGTATTTTCAAAAGTTTAAATATACACTGGAAAAATATTACAATAAAAATATAATAAGAAAAACAAGTTTAAAAACTCATTGCTCAGACTTTTTTCTCTAAAATATCCAAAACTTGCCTTAAAAAGATAAGCAACATTTGTTATGTTATATTTAGTCAATAAATAATCCCAACATTTACTTCATTCAGTGTGTACCATTCAAACCATTGTTCCTTTAAAAGACACTTTGTTTGAACCTTTTTACAATATCTGATAATTATATATTTTTGTTTTTCTTCAGGGAGCATGCGTCTGTGAATGAAGCCGCCGCAAAGCTGTCTTTTCAAAATCTGTTGTTGAAACTGGACGAGCTCATTCAGGACTCTCTCTGCAGCAGCGACAGCACGCTAACGGGGCCAAACTTCTCTCTGAGCAAACATTACGTCGTGGTTAGTGCTTTTTTTTTTAAGAGTGAGAATCTATGACACCGTGGCTCATTTTTATACAGTATATTTACAAACTTGAAGAAGGTCAGAAACTTTAAATACTCCAGGGAGGCGAGAATGTAGATATTCTCTAAATCTCCAGCCATTTATTCTGCTCTTTTTATTGCCAGGCCAGTATTTTCTCACCTGAGTTTGTTTGTTAGCTAGAAATGTAAAATGTCCACAAAAAAACCTAAAAAGCAGTAGTAGTTTGCAGTAGTTTTGGATCAGAATCTGCGTTCAGAAATGTCGATGGAATGGAACTGCCACTCTTGGCGGAGGTCTGCGCTCTACGAGGGCTTTTCCTCAATGGCATTTTGCTCACTGCGGGACAAAAGGCAAGTTCCCTTATAGAAGAAGAAGAAGAAGATATACTTTATGGATCTCACCATGGAGAAATTTGGTTTGATAAATACAGATTGTACACACATCACAGCATGAAACGTACTATTGCTTTCGTGCTTCTTACTGTATTGGCAAAGTGGTGTTAAGTGTCTTGCCCAAGGACACAACGCCACAAGACATTTTTATTTATTTGATGTTAGGACATACATATTAATCAACGTGTCTGCAAACAGCGTCAACATACTGTAAATATGCTGAAATTAGCACAATAGCTAAATTGCATCCATTGTCCTAAGGCAGGTAAGAGACACACAAACACACATTTAGGTAAAAGTACAAACAATAAAGAAGTTAAAAGAGAAGAGAAAGAGAAAGTCCAAGGAAGAGCAGATCATCTGTGAGAGCATGACTGGTTTGATTTAGTGGATTAGGAAGAGGAGGTCTCACGTAACTAATACTAATAACAATGAAATATTATTTTGTCTTAGTTTGTGCTTGTTTTCTGCAGACGCACTTCCAGGATTCTCCTCTGAACCTGGCTTTGACACTGGCTCAATGTTTACAAGCAGAAAAGTGCCTCCTGGACCAGTGTGAAGTCCAACAGGTGTGTTTTTCATTTTTTTTATTTATTCATTTATCTCAGACAGCAATTAATGCATAATTTATATTGAAAATGATAATAATAAAAAAGAAGTATAGAGAATGTATACCTGTTTTTTATGCTAGAGTTAGAGTTTTTTTAATTAGTATATTTCTTTACTACTGTTCTGTAACTTGTGATACAACACTGGAATTTCCCCACTGTGGGATGAATAAAGGATCGCATAATCTTAATCTAATCTTAAAAAACGTTATACTTTTCAGTCGCCCAGCCCCGGGACGACAGAGGAAAGTCACACAGACCTGGACAACAAAGTGAGCGAAATGGAAAACAAGAACCAGGTAAATTTGAACAATTAATGATTGAAAGAAAATGCACTTTTGTTAGAACGCAGTGGCTTGTCTTTGAGGAAACATTTATAGATGGATAGATACAAAACAAATAAATAATTCATTCTAAAAGTAGTAACAATAGTATTAAAATGCAACAGAGGAACTTGAGGTCACAGCAGCAGAGGTGGCGCCGCTTGGATCGGGCCATTTTCTCTGCTCTGGTCCAAAGTAGCATTCCTCCTGTGGATTTTCACCTGATGCACTTGGTTCGGACCATGAATCCTCTATGCTCTTGTCTGGACCAGTGTGAAACCATGAACACTGTACTGCAGCAACATCTCAGGCAGAAAAGCAACAATTGTAAAACACAAAACAACAACTGTTTCAGAGCTACTTGGGACTTTCTTCCGTTTCCAGTGCATTCCAAAGTAGTATGGTATCGTAGGATTTCCTGATTTCTCCAGAAGTCGCATAATCCTGGACACCCATGGTTTTAAAAGTATACAAATATTACGGCAGTTTAATTTAGGATTATTCAAATTTTACGTGATTAAATTCACCCAGCATTGGCCTCAACACATTTTGTATCCGGCCGTGATTGCACACAGTCGCGGGCCACTCCGACACATTGTTCAATCACACTGCTGATCTCCACCAGGGTACCCCAAGGTTCGGTGATAGGTCCCCTCCTCAAAGTGCCAAACCGAGGGGAGGGGGGCCTTCACTGCAGCTGCCCCCTCTCTCTGGAACTCACTCCCACAACACATCACAAAACCCACCTGTGCATCTTGCATTTCTGTATTGTTTGTAATCTTTGTTTCACAATCTTCCCATGTGTGTTGAGCTTCTAAAAAGCTCTTTATTATTTCCAAAGTTAGATCCATTATTATTATCATAAAAAAATGTATTTGCAATGCAGAAAATTGAAGAGGAAATCCAAGCGCTGGACAAGATGGAATCGATTTACAAGACATGGGAAAATGACGGTATAGTGAAAGTACTGGGCACTAATGCTTTCATGCGATCTCAGAAACTCAGAAGTTTCGGCTTCGCACTTGAAAAAATTGGGAATGAGCTCTGGATGAGGTCAACATGACCAAATTCCAGAGTTCACGTCACTGTGACACGTGTCAGGTTGTGAAAATCCTTTCAAATGTGTTATTAGTGAATTTATTGCCCCAAAAGGTTTGCATTGTTTATGTATGAGGCCTTTTTATTATAAGGAGCAACACATGTCTTCCTCATTTCACAGCAGTAAAAGTTTCTGTGACTTTCTCATGAACGGGTAAAGAGACAATTATATTTCTGCACATTTCTCTATTGTTGTCGCATGAACGCTCTCTGATTTTGGGAAGTCAGAAGAAAACGTAGAATTCTCAGCGTTTCCAAGATCGTATGAAAGTGTACAGTTTTTAAAAATGGCATACAAATTCTCTTCTTCCCACTCCTTTTTAGGCCGGTAGTTTATTATGTTTAGTACCAACTGTGCTGCTCTTGTGTTTGCCTTAATACAAAAAAATACATTTTACACTTTATTTTTCAGTTCAACAGAAGAGCGGCCCTGCGAAGACTCATATGGAAGAGAAGTGTTTAAACCAAGCTAACAGCATCCGAACAAAGAAACAGGTGAACAGACTCATCAGACCTGAAACCAGTACAATTTCCAGACTTTGATTATATTGATAATATTCATAATGTCATGTTCTTTTTTAGGAGGTGATTTCGCTGATTTGCAATGTTGTGAATTCTGGGCCTCAGATCATTCAGACGTTGGTTTCTGAGCTTCTCCCCGAGTGGAAACGCAAGCAGCAAATGTCCTGCATCGGAAAACCAGACGTCTGCACCAGTCTGGACCATCTGGAGAAATGGTATTTCCCCAGAATGACTAAACATAGATATTAACAACAAAACATTCAAGACAAACAGGTTTTTAAAGTTATGATCCAAGTGTAGTTGTTTTGTGCTGGGCCCTTCACTTTACTCTCTACCCTTCGGAGCCTTTCCAAACACCAGTTTTCTTTTTCTACTTCAAGTAAAACAGGAAGAACACATCCAAATTTGACAAATGGGCATCTTGCCTGCTCTAATTTTAATATTTATTGGAGATACGTGTTTTTATTTTTATTTTTATTGACAACAATGCAAAAAAGCATATTGTCAAATTCAATTTCGCGATAGTATCGTTTATGATATATATCGCCCACCCCTACTCAACACATGATTTGTTTCACTCTTCCATGTCTACAGATGACATGACAGATGTGCTGAAACATCAGTATTTAGAAGGCCACGTGCTTGAAGAAATTTCTCGTTTCTCTGTTGGCTTTGAGTTAGCATCCTCGCATTTTACTTTGGACCAGAGCAGAGAAATAGAACTGAGCTACTGCTCTACTTCTGCTGCACTAACCTAAAGTGCTGTTGCATTTAATACTGTTGTTAGCTATTTGTAGAAGTCTATGTATTCTTTCTGCTGCTACTGGACACCTGAATTTCTCCTACAGGGATCAAGAAAGTCCGTTACATTGTGTGCACCATGTGCACTTGTATATTGTAAATAGTAACTGTAACTCTATTTTAAATTTAAATTTATTCCTTAGAAGTGTTTTTTATTCTTTATTTTTATTATCTCTTTCTGACTGTTGCACTGAGCCAAAGCAATTTCCAAGTCTGTGACTTCCTGTTACTTACATGGCAATAAAAATGATTCAGATTCAGATTCTGATTCTAAAGTCTATCCAGAGAAGATCCAGCTCCATGTGTCTCTGTGAGGCCAATGATGGGAACGATTATATCCAGTTAAAGTTTAGCAAGAAACTGTTGTGTGTTTCGCTGTTAAATGATGAGGTTTTTCTGTATCTCCTGTCAGGTTCAGTCGTGTGGCAGGGACTCTTATGCAGACCATTCAACAGCTGAAGAAGCTGGAGGAGCAGAGCAGACCCCAGACCAGCCCTGGGTCCGGCCTCTCTGACTTAATCGCCAAGATCACCAAGTTCACCAAGACCCTGATCAACAACCTCATGCAAAAGTACATACCACACTCTGAAAACACATTGGTTGGAAAAAAAACTCAGATATAATTGATTAAGTCACTGGTTAAGTTGGTTCGGCAATTAACCAGTATAGGTCAGAATCACCGACTCGATTGGTTAAATTCCAATCTGTTTTAGAGTGTATATTCTGATTATTATATTTTTTGTTTTATGTGAAAGTGATAACTATTCAACCCACTTCTGCAGATACTTGACATGGTTTTTGCGGCCGTACAGATGACTGAAAGGACTCAAAGTCAGAATGTTAAAATAGCTGTTTGGTTGTTCTGCAGTGCTCTGGTCGTGGAGAAGCAGCCGGTGATGTACAGCCAGCCACACAGACCTCTGGTGATCAGGACCACTGTCAATTTCAATGTGCAACTTCGGTAAGTTTCACCGCACAATCCAGTCCAAAACCCTGCACTTCCATTGCCTCTCAGTGTAATTTTCTCTCAAAATGTGATCCTTGATGAATTGAAACCAAACTGTTATTATTTCCATTGTATACTGTCGTGGGCTGCTTTAAAAATGAAACGGGCGAGCTTGGATTCTAGTGCTTAGGTGTGTTTTTTATCTATTCCCAAAAGTGCAGAAATCAGTGAAATGAAAGAGTTCACATGGACACATTGGTCACCTTTAAGTTGTAGCAAGTCACCTCTGTAACTAGCGGCAACACAGTTCCTTTATACCTCCCCTTTCCTCTCCCATTGAGCAAATTGCATTATTAGTAAATAGAAGTTTAAAAGTAAAACAAACAAAAATCCTACATTAAGTCTTTAAAACAGTCAAAACATGTACATTGCATCATGCGCATCACATGGGCACGATCCCTGCGCTCCCGGGGCACATTTAACCCTAACCAGGAAGTAGTGTCTCGGTTGGATCCTCGCACACAAACTCAAAGGAGCGCCTCAGACTGGTATGTGTGTAAATGTATGCTCAAATGTGTTTTTGACCCCCACAAGTGTGCACCCATGACGAACTAGTAACGAAGAAGAGAGACGGACGAGAGTATAGATGGTGCGTAAGGATGTCACGTATGAATAGAACGGGGGAAAGGGTGTGCGAGTGTGGACTGGAGTGTGTGCGTGTGTGTGTCCGTGCATGCGTGTGTGCGGTATTAAAGTCAGCTCGTAGTTTACTAATGCATTGGCGCACAGAGCTAAACACGGAACTGTTTTGTCACATAATCAGATCATACTGTGGCACCTTTTAAGACTCATTATATAGTTGTAGTTAATTCGACTGGAATCTCTACCACAATACATATACAAATACAAACTGCCGGCTTCAAAGCACCAGAGAAAGTAGTGGCTTCTAGTCCGGGAATGCCGGTAGGTGGGTTGGTTCTTTGGGTATAACACAATGTGTTCTAATGTGTTTTTTTCTTGTTATAGATTCTTAGTAAACCTCCCCACTCTGGAGTATGCATTTTGCAGAGCTGAGTTTGACAAGTAAGTACGATTACACAGAAATACTTTACAATAACAAAATTGTTTACTAATCTACAATAAATACATTACTACATTGCATTAAAGGGGAGTGAAGGAAATCGACGACATTCCTGGGTACGTACCATTTCAAATCACACACATATAGTTTGATCCACAAAAATAAATAATAATATTCTCTTGCACTTGTTTTAGGTTTCGTCAGTTCCGTTTTAAAACCAACGACATCAGCAACGTGATGAAGGTCAAAGCAGACGAAGGACTGGTGGCAGAGTGGGACATGGTAAATACACACAAGTGCAAAAACAAGACGGTTAAACTCAGAATGTAAAAGGTGCGAGTCAAAAGATCTATTCCAAAGACATGAAATGAAACAATGTGCTCGGAGCTTGTGTCTCTGAGTCCTGACCATAGACTGTAAATATTAGACTTCTCTCTGGGATGCTTCCGTCCTGAGAGGTTCACCTGTGAGTAGGGGGTGGGAACCTCAGGGTACCTCACGATACGATACGATACGCTCACGATATGATACGATACACGATACAAAGCTCACAATATGACGATTATCAATATATTGGTCAGAAATATACTGTTATAGAAATCTTTTAGTAAAGCAATCTGAATAAACACAAAATAGTTATAAGTGTAAGTTATTAACTAATTCTCAACTCTGGATTCAAATACAACACAAATGGTCTGTGGGCAGTAAGGTCAGCTGATAGATGGAGATGTGTTTCTTTGGCAGTATCTGGGTCATAGAACAATATGTTCAGGTCAAAGCAGATTATTACCAGATGCGTAATGTAGCCATATATTAAGTATTGATACTAATTTTCTTTTCTTTATGATTTAATTTTTGTATTATTATTTTTTAAATCGATACTTGGCAAAATCATATCGATAATCAATTGCGTGAGAAAGTATCACGATACATCACCATATCGATATATCGTTACACTCCTACCTGTGAGCCCTTTAACATTGCGGCGACGCCCACAGGGTTGGTTGGTTAAGTTTAGGTAGTTGGTTATATTTTCTTCCGCCTCTGCCCTGATGCCGTGGATGATCTAGTGCCGCCCCTATCAGGTAAGTATGAAAAAGCATGATAACTGAAAAGAAACCTGGGATGAAAGATGTGTACACGAGTTCAAAGTGTTATTAGAAAGGGACAAAGTACAATGAGTAAAAATCAATATATTGTGTTTATTTATTTCATCCCCCAGTCTCCTCCTCCCCCACAGCTGGACATAGATCATTTAAATGTATGTTGTGTTGGTTTTTTTTCTTAAACAGAAAATCCAGGAAATCACAGCCAAACGGAAACGGTCCAATCAGGTAAGCAGAGGACGTTTTAATCTGACAAAATGTTGGACTCAAATCCCCTGTGTCCCGAGCAGAGCCCCCTCAGGGTGACGGAGGAACTGCACCTGCTTCAGTTCAGCGCAGATCTGAAGTTTGGGGTTCTGGAATATCGAGTGGAGGTGAGTTATGTGGAGTTTACAGGACAATCCTGCAACTAGTGCGATATTTGTTTTATTAACATTTATTCACATGTACTGTATTAACAAAAAAAAATTTAGTTGATTAATCGCATAGTAATGGTGAGTTAACTCACGATTAATTGCATTTTTAACATTCTATTTCAAATCCACTCTAATTGAAGTTAAATGAGATTATAAAATATAATGACACATTGTCATTCATACCAAATGTACTTAAATCTGTTCGTTTTGCTCACAACCTTTTACTTTTGGGCACAACCAACATGAGCTGTTAGTGAAAGGGAAAATGTACATTAATTAGGCAAGTTTAGTTGCGTTTCAGGAGGAGACACGGACACTCCTGAGGCTCCATAGTTCAGCTTCAGTATATTATGTGTATTTGCGAGCACAGGTTACGCAAAGTCACACACACAACATGCAGATAATAATTCTGAGCCTGTATGGTGTTGGATATGAACACGTTACCGCGGCGCCATTCACGTGTTGTTGATAACGGCTCACAGCCGCTGGTGGTGGGAATCTCTCTCCAGAGCGGCCGCAGCTGCCCCGGGTCAGAACGCTGCGGCCGCGGAGGAGGCGGACTTCAGTTCACAGCAAACAACAGCGACCTGCCTCTCTGTCATGCACGTATTCTTTAAAAACTTGAATTCCCAGAGACCTGCTCTGTGGCCATCTCACACACACATGTGTCTGCAGCTTTCTGAGTGATATTATGGGATACATGGGTGGGTCATTCGGACATGCGTTAAACCCCTTCTACCCCTTAAGCACCAATGACTGTGTTTTTTTATCGTTGCATTTCTTTGATTCTCTGATCTGTGCTGGTGAATCGAATCGTTTAGGGCGATACAAAATAATTGATTGAGTTGTACAGTGCTATTCACAGAGAGTCGCGCTTAAACTGATTTCAACCACTCGTTCTTTTGGTCACGACCCAAAGACCAGAGGTGATGGTGGGAACAAAGATTTACCTGTAAATAAGAGAGCTTTGCCTGCAGATGCTTCTCCCTCTTCACCAGTCCCACGCTCCATCCTTCCGTCAGTGTGAACAAGGAAGGAGAGACATTTATTTATACAGCACAGTTCAGACTAAATACAAGATACTTGATCTCCTTCTATTGTGGAAAGAAGTTTACCAGACAGCCCTGAGCGCACCTCTGCTACTGTATATGTTTTAATAAAGTTTTTTGAAAAATACACACGTTTATATGTTATCCTGTAACAAAAATAGCAAAAAAAAGTTTCTGAGTGTTTTTTTTTCTGCCACAGACCTTCTCTCTGCCCTTCGTGGTCGTGTCCACCACCATCCAGAACTCTAGCGCCTGGGCCTCCGTCCTCTGGTCCAGCCTCTGCCACCCTCAGTGCTCAGTGAGTCCAACAGCAGAGTCATATTATTATTATTATTATTATTATTATTATTATACGACTCTGCTCTTGTTGTGCGTCCTCTGGCCCAGTCTCTGTCTGTGTTCCTGGACCCTCCTCCTCTCCCCTGGCAGCTCCTGTCCCAGGCCCTGAGCTGGCAGTTCCTCGCTGCTGGAGAGCGAGGACTCAGCGAGGACCAACTGAATGAACTCAAACTCAAAATAGTGGGTCAGTATTGCCAGTCCAGTCCAGTCCAGTCCAGGGCAGTGTCAAGAAAACATATGAAACTGATGACTGATACATTTCTACGTGTATGAGGGATTTTAAAGCCTTAACACAAAGCTGCCACAGATTTCACTTATTGTCGATTATATTTTAGAATGTACCCTGTGATAAACAAGAGACCTCTGCACAGCCCAGTTTCTGTCCAAATGTAAAGCATGTCAAACCGTACATTAATATATATATATATATACTGCATCTGTCATTTCCAACAGATCGCCCAGAGGAGCATGTGTCCTGGGCTACATTTTCCCATGTAAGTTCTTTCTTTGTTTTGGTGATGGATCCTCAGAGTTTACTTGCTTTTTTTGTAATATATTCATTGTTGCAGAAAGATAATGGCCCTTGGATTTGGATCGATGGAATTCTTGATTTAATTGAGACGCGGATTAAGATGCTTTGGAGAGATGGGTAAGAGAAAGAAAACTGCGTTTCGAGAAGAACGCTTTTCAGTTGTGTCTCCACATAAGTGACCGATACTGAACACCTGCTTTACAAAGTACAGTGGGAAAAAATGTATGTAGTCGGTTCCCAAGAGAGATGAGAGATGCCTGTAATTTGCATCACAGGTATACCTCAACTATGAGAAAAATGGGAAAATAAATCCAGTAAATTGCGTTTTTGAAGGAAAGAAAATATTTGGAACTGTAGAAAATAAGTATTTGGGAAAAAGTCAATCTCAATACTTTGTTATATATTCTTTCTGTGAGTCCTTTCAAGGTTTTAACACACTTGCTGGTATTTTGGCCCATTCCTCCATGCAGATCTCCTCAAGAGCAGAGATGTTTTTGGGCTGTCACTGGGCAACACAGACTTTCAAACTCCCTCCAAAGATATGGGGTTGAGATGCGGAGACTGACAAGGCGACACCAGGCCTTTCCTTTGTTGCTCGGGCGATGTGTGTCTCACTCTACACTTTAGCATAATGAAGAAGAAGCAAGAATTAAATACAACATCTCTAACTTTACCATGATAAAGAAGCAAGTTTAATCTACAATGGGGGCGGGTCCCGGCTCAAAAATGTCCAAAATGAGGTGCGCTGACATACTTGCAGTACCACCCCGGGCCTGTGGGGGTGGACCCGGAAAAATAATTATTCCATGCTAATGTCGTTATCTTCTTACCTAAACGGCTTTACAGGATGGTCCAAAAAAATTGACACACATGTGGAATGTAGCGTTGGACAGTCTAGTTTAGTCCTTGTAGTATTTTGAAGGCACTCGTCAAATGAATGGGGCACGTACCGGCTGACGCATGCGCATATGCGTTTTTTTCACGTTTTCCAATACCTGCGGCCATTTTAAAAAAGCCCCATAGACGGCAAAAGTGATGGCACATTAGTTTCCACGGCAAAGATAGGCGTGACTACGTTCTTTAATATTTACAGTCTATAATACTACTATACTGTATATTCTAGTGCAAGTAATGTATGTCTAATGTCTACATCTGTACATGATCCACATCACGTCATTTTGCTGCTGTGTTTGTTTCAGGTGCATCATGGGTTTTGTAAATAAAGAGAAAGCTGCGAACCTTTTACAAAACAAACAGAGCGGAAACTTCCTGCTGCGCTTCAGCGAGAGCAACAGAGAGGGCGCCATCACCTTCAGCTGGGTGGAACACACGGCAAAAGGTAAGTCATACACCCACAGTCCCGCTCGAAAGTTTACACACGCTGACTCTGGGACCAGCTGGAGGCCAGTTCCTGTGCCCCTGAGGGTCCAAGTTGGTTCATTTGGCAGTGCGAATGTGGGAAAAAAAGTTAGTGTGTTATTCATTCATGATTGTTCATATGGGACTTGTTAGTCCCATATGAACCATTTGGGACTCTGAGGAGCACAGGGACTGGCCTCCTGCTGGGAGTCTGGGGAGCACAGGGACTGGCCTCCTGCTGGGACCCTCAGGGGCACAGGGACTGGTCTCAGAGTCAGGACTAAACCTGAGGAGGCAGCATCTCCAATTTTTGCAGCTAAAATCTACAACAATCTTCCTGAAAATGTGAGACAGTCTTATTTGACTTCTACAACTGAGGTCTTTCATATTTGCATCTTTCTGTTTAATGCACGGTGATTATTCATGTGTATGAACTGTGACCAAAACACTCACATTCCCGGGAGTGCAAACTTTCGTGTCTTTCTTTCATCCGTTTTTGCCGCAGCTCAGTCATAAATGATTCCCGTGGTTTCGTTCTGCAGAGAGCGTAGTCCGCGCCATCTCCCCGTTCACCAAAGACGAGCTGCTCAAGTTGTCTCTGGCCGACGCCATAAAGACGTACAGGAACAAGAAGACGCCCAACAACCCGCTGCTCTACCTGTACCCCGACATCCCCAAGGACCAGGCCTTCGCACGCTACTACTCCAACACCACCAGTAAACTCTCTACACAAAAGAATCAGATAAAAGATCCTTTATTCATCCCACAGTGGGGAAATTTGAAGGTTTGCAACGCACAGACAGGACAGACACAGGGAGAACAAAGAAAATACAATATGAGAAGCCATTTGGGGGTTTTTGTACCTCAGATAAAAGTAAAAGATCACTTCATTAATCCCCGTAGAGCAATGGTGGTTGCCGTAGTTACAGCGCCCAGGAAACATCTACACATTAATATTTAGTCTATGCTACAGATGATCAGTGTGCATGTTTCTAGTGGTTAGGAAAACCACAGCACTCGGAGGAAAGTTATGCAGATACGGGGAGAACATGCAAACTCCACACAGAAAAGCCCTTCTCTGACCCGATATTTTTTTTTAAAAACTTACTGGGCTTTCCAAAATTTTAGGAAAAAACCGCTCTCCACTTTTTGAACAAAACTCTCTGGTCTTATTTGACGATCACGTATCACCAGAATGATTGACAATCAGGAGTTATAGATTTTATTTTATTTATAGAGTTATTATTAATGTATCCTGTGCTGTGTGCGCCTCATTCCGACTGTCTGTAACTTGTGCTGGGGTACCTAACTTATGTGTTTCATGAATAACACTCGCTGTTTGTCGCAGGTTTTTTGTGTTTTTATTTAATTATTTATATCACCATGGATGTCAAATACATTATGTTGGTGGGTTGAAAATTAGGTACCCCAGCTTTAAATCATGGTTGTGTCTGGAATTTGTCTTTTTCCTGACACTTGTTCTTCTCCTCAGCTGTGAGCTCCTACGTGATAAAGAATTTTGTCTGTGAAGGAGAGTAAGTACTGCTTCAAACAATAGGACAAAATATTCTCCATTCATTTTGGTCCTGTCCGTGTTTCCTCCTGGTTTCTGATTCTTCTGTGTGTGATCGTTGCAGTTGTCCCGATCCTCCAGCGTCGCCTCCAGCGTCGCCTCCAGCGTCGCCTCCAGCGTCGCCTCCAGCGTCGCCTCTCGCTCACACAGACATGGATTTACTGTTACAACTCATTAGCCCTTCTCAGGTCCGTCTCTCAGCGACGTCATTATATTTGTATGTAACCATTATTTAACCAGGAAAGTCCCATTGAGAATCAGGACCTACTTTTCAAAGGAGTCCATGTTGGCCTCTTCTTATAAAAATGTGTATTTATTCTTGAAATAGTAAATAACTATGAAATCCCAGCCTGAGAATCCAATCAGAAAGTTCATCAAATGTGCTTAATTTGTGCTCAAATAATGGACAAAGACTTTCCAATGGGACAAAGCAAAAGGATCTTGTTTTAATAATGGACTAGAAATGCCTCCTTTTAGAATGAGAAAATAAAGCAATGTCTTTGTCCCAGTGGAGACTTTTAACAAGAATTTCAAAAATGAATTAAAAAAACAAACAAACACTGAATTCAAGCATTTATTACCTCGTATTGTATAATTTTTTGCAGTGTAGACTCATTGGGCAGAGGCTGAAGTGTTTGAAATATTTCATAGATATTTGTCCTTGTTATTTGTGCCGATGAGCATTACATGTGGACTGAAGTGCTGTGTTGTAGGATATTTTTCCAGTCTAAGTAAATCTTTTCCTTTCCTGCAGCTGCTGCTCCCAGAAGAAAGTTTACCACCAAACGAAATTTACATCATGGGCGAGTTGGACCCAGATCCATTTATTAGTGGAAATATGAGCAGGGGCGACAGTAGCTCAGTTGGTAGAGCATTGGCCTTCAGGCCTGAAGGTCATGGGTTCAATTCCCACCTCTACACCTTCTCCACCGACTCCCACTGATGTCGTTGTGTCCTTGGGCAAGACACTTAACCCCACTTTGCCCAAAACCCCCACTGAAAAGATCAAGGCTGTGCTCACACTCAGAGAGCAGCCGTCCTCCTGTGGACTCACCACCTGCAGAGGGTCAGTGAGGGGCTGGTGCTATGAGACTTGGGTGGCATCTCTGATTGCCACCCCCCTGACCCAGAAATGGATTAAAGGGTAGAAAATGGATGGATGGAATATGAGCAGTTTCTTCCCAATGTGAGCAGGGACTGTCAGGCTCACACTCCAACCTCCATTTCAACCTTTTCTCATCATCTCTGTATTTATTATTTTAATAGTAAATATCTGTTAAATCCCAGGCTGAGTGTCCAATCAGAAAGTTCATCAAATGTGCTTTGCTTGTACTCAAAGAATGTAGGAGTTTCTGCAATGTTTCAGACGTTAGATTTGAAAAAAGAAAAACAATTTGATAAGGAGTTGCTTATTGAGCTCCAACTTCCCCTTGTTCACACAACACACAACACACACGCACACACACTCAGGACACTTTAGACCTGTGTTTCCCAACCTTTTTGACCAGTGGCACAACTTTTCACTTCATTATTCCCTGTAGGGCAATTCCTTCTCTGCATGTGACCGTGAAGCCACAAAAAACGTATACAAACATGAAATTCTGCCGTCTTTATCAACATTGAAAGTCATCCTCATCAAAGTGGATTATATAGAATTCAAACAAGCACAAAAAGTCTTTCTAATCATCTCACATTATTTTGACCAAAAGGGTGAAGTTGGACTATTTCTAAAGGCACACCATACAACATGCACTTTACAACAGCACTTTGAATTGCCTTGTGTATGAATTGTGCTATACAAATAAACTTGCCTTGCCTGCAACATCCAAAGGCACACTGGTTGAAAAACACAGTATCTAAGACGGATGTGGTGCTGATCCAGGACACTTTAACATTCTACGACAATATGGACCAATACATGTTTCCAGATTCTCCTTCTGTAAACTCAATATGAAGCCGTACACAAGTGTCTTTGATAACGGCACTCGTCCATTTCTGTAGTTTCGTTCCAGTTGTTTTTAACTGAGACACTTTCCTTCAAACTGCAAAACGCCAAAATAGATATGTTTCGAGCCAAGTCTTTTTTTTGTCTTCTTCCTTTAATATATTTCACTACTCTGAAGAGCTTGTGTTGTTTTCTTAAATAAAGGACTTTTTTATTCGACACGGCTTTCCTATTTCTATATGTCCACGTGTGTACTGTGTGTAGTGCTTTATGAATACATTGTACTGGGTGTGTCGAAGTGGAAGGTTCTCAATTGAATTTTACCCGTTTTAATATTAAATGAAATATAAATAATAAATTAGTTTGAAGGATGCCAAGTTCATTACAGGTAATTATGATTACTCAGGTCACAATTTACTACAAAACCCATATTCCCAAATCCTGAACCACTTCAGGACCACAAAGAAACTGGAAGATCGCCCTGGGCCTTTGCCTTTGCGCGTGTGTGTGTGTACCCACTGTGTCGGGGTGGGTTCCCTCCAGGTGCTCCGGATGGCAGCTCCTGACAGCTTACTGGGAGTATGGTTTAAATGCAGAAGACACATTTCCCCCCAATAACATTTGATTCCATTGTATTTATTTTACAATATTATTTCAAATAGACATCTTTCATAGGACACAGCACTTTAAACTCCAATCACTTACATTCAATGTGTAAGCTCGTACAGTAGATATATTTTTATTTTCTACTTTGTAAAAACAGAAACTTACATATGTAAAACGTTACAAGTCAGGTTTTGCTGGCTGAGAACAGATCACCGCCTGCTCACGATAACATCGAGAATCTACGAACAACATTGGTCTAAGTCAAACGTCTCAACTGGTCTCTCCTTTGGACAGAAACAGGTTAAAATGAATACATTTGGGGGAAAGCGAAGAAAAAGCTAAAAGTTTAGAAATAGAATACAGTATCTGCTGCTGGCAAGATTAAAGAAGTTGAATTGGAAACAGACTTCTGGTATCTATTCAAAATAACATAGATCTGGTCTCCCTCTCTGGTCTCCCTCTCTGGTCTCTCTCCCTCTCTGGTCTCCCTCTCTGGTCTCCCTCTCTGGTCTCCCTCTCTGGTCTCCCTCTCTGGTCTCCCTCTCTGGTCTCCCTCTCTGGTCTCCCTCTCTGGTCTCCCTCTCTGGTCTCCCTCTCTGGTCTCCCTCTCTGGTCTCCCTCTCTGGTCTCCCTCTCTGGTCTCCCTCTCTGGTCTCCCTCTCTGGTCTCCCTCTCTGGTCTCCCTCGCTCTATCGACTGCTGATCTCCAAAGCTATCAATAGAGCAAACATTCCTACTTCCCTGTTGAGTTTATGTGAACAGCAGATACAAGGGAAATACACTTGTTTATATGATTAGGGCTTAAGTCAAGAGCAAAGTTCATTCAGTTATTAACATTTGGAAGGAATGCTAGTGTGTATAACATGGATTTGCCTCTTTTTTTTTAAATCATCTGCCAAATTATTCAAGTGAGGCTTATATGTGAACAAAACATACTTTCTTTTCAAACGTAGCTGGTGCGGGTGACATTCAGGTGCGTTTAATAGTCCAGCAAGTTCCGTACCTGTGATTTCTGGTCCCAAAACCGACACCAGTTGAGAGATTCTGGTTCAAAGCGCCGACACTCAAAAAAAACAACACAATCTCACATTTAAATAGTTTTTTTGGGAGGGAAATAAATACAGGGTCTATTGCGTGATTTACAGAAAAATACATTCAGAAAAACAGACACTTTTGAATCCCGCTGAGAAACACATAGGAAAATATAGCCGGACATTTATATATATATATATATATATTTGTGTATATAGTATGAATATAGAGGCCTTTAAAGACATGTTTTTGTTTGAACTGCAGCATCTTGTCTTGGAGCAACAACACAATCTGTTTCTGAACCTAAAGTGAGTGAAGGTCTGGGTTCTCGACACACGGCTGCGTCTGCCTCGAGCTAAAGCGGCTCAAGCGACAATGATCCACAGACACGGCTTCAGACATGTATTTGTTAGAACTCTCTAAGGTTAGTGTGTGTCATTTTTGGCCCTTAATCCTACTCTTGATACATTCTGCTGGATTTAGATCGAAATCTCGGTACATTTTTACTTGTAGAGGTAGAAACCCTTTCTGGTCTCTGAGCTCTGGTCTCTGAGCTCTGGTCTCTGAGCTCTGGTCTCTGAGCTCTGGTCTCTGAGCTCTGGTCTCTGAGCTCTGGTCTCTGAGCTCTGGTCTCTTCTCTCTGGTCTCTTCTCTCTGGTCTCTCTCTGTGGTCTCTCTCTGTGGTCTCTCTCTGTGGTCTCTCTCTGTGGTCTCTCTCTCTCTGGTCTCTCTCTCTCTCTGGTTTCTCTCTCTCTGGTTTCTCTCTCTCTGGTCTCTCTGCCCTCAGTCTGAGCCTTGTGTGAGAAAACATTCAATAAAAACAGAAAAACAACAATATCCTTTGTTCACAATCAAACATTGACATTACACTTTATGGTTGAAGTGTAATCAACCGAGGGACAAAAGCAACCATCGTACTCACTGCAAACCATCAACATCTAACACAGAAGAGTCAAACTCATTTCGAGGCTGAATAATAAAAATACGAACTGGTCTGGGCATATATATTTCTTATAATTGTTTTATTTTTTGACATTTTGAAGGTATTTTGACATGACATTAATGTGACATTGGATTTGCTGCATTGAGCTTCATTAACAGGTGGGAGGGGTTAAAAACACCTTTTGCAGATTGAAACAATTGGATCTGAGTTTACCGTGACGTATGTAATGCGAGTGAGTGAGGCCTTTGGCATTTAGCCTAGCTTTAGCAATTAGCCTAGTTTTAGCAATTATCCTGGCTTTATCCATCTCCTTTGCCACCAACTGAGCCCGTGGGGAGTTGAGCCACAACATCTTTGCAGCAATAACATTTGCTAAACATTTCTCTTGCTCTGGCTTCAATTTCTTGATATTTGGAGATGAACCAGAACGGATTACTTTACTATCGGTGTGATGTCATAGTGCTATAATGACTTCCTACTACAACAGGATTGAGTCGGGAGGTTTTACACAGAAGGGGCAGAGCTACATGTTTGTGCTATAAGTTCCTGATATTAGAGTGGATAGAGCAGAAAACAACTCCATGGCTGTTTTTAACAAGAAACAATGTAGCTACATGGTTTAAAACTCTCGTCGATTTTGCATCATACGTCTCCTTTAAGTCTTAAATAACTGATGTTCATGAGTTTGCAACGGAGCGATAGACCACAGCACCTCGTGTTAAACTCCACTGTACTGAACTGAATGTGAACATAAAAACATTGGTGTGAAGACTAGTACAGACTGTCCAGGTGCTTCTCTTCACGGAGCGGGTCGTGGACACAAGGGGGCGCACTGTCCTGAAACTGCTGAAGGAGCTCCACCACCTTCTTGTGGTCGAAGTGAATCGCTTCGTCCAGTGGAGTGTTTCCCCATCTGGAAACGAGCAAGACACGGCATGGTTTTCACGTTGCAAAATATTCTAAAGAAGACCTTCAAGAGTGAGTATTTAAAGTGATAGTCTGTAACTCTAAATGAATTACAAATTTTAAGAAATGTGTTAAATTGACCTCCTGGCCTTAAATGTTGATATAAAATAAGTCATTTTATTAATTCTAATATTACAGGTAAGTCCCGCCTTCCCTTCTCTTAGCTATAGTTCAGACTCCACGGTGCCGTCCTCGTTAACCAATCGAGTCATGCCAAGGGCTGTCAATCATCAGCGCTCATGCTCGCAGCTGCGCGCATGCGCAGTTGTTTGTTTTCGAGGAGCCTCCGAATCAAGCGTCTATTAGGCTCTGGAACTACGTGAAAACTGAACAAAGAATTCTGAACATCCGCGCTGAGTTACCCATGTATATACTGAACCTATATCCATAATCATTTATATACTGAACCTATATCCATAATCATTTATATAATGAACCTATATCCATAATCATTTATATACTGAACCTATATCCATAATCATTTATATACTGAACCTATATCCATAATCATTTATATACTGAACCTATATCCGCTTTTTTGTGTGCATAAAAACATTATTTTCATTAAAACTTTAATATATAATTCTGAAAACCTCCGTGCATGTGTATTAATAATGTATATGTATAATGTGTTCTCAGATTAACATTTAAAAGTGTTACGGAAACGAAGGCGTCGCCGTAGACCAATCAGAAAGGAAGGGGGAGGAGCTTGCGTCGTTTTTTTCAAATCAAGTACCTCTGTCTCTCTTTCTGACAAACTCCAGACAATCACTTTAAGGAAGTGTGTATTGGTGTGTATTCATGAATATGTATTGTGTGTATACATTCATGTATATCGTGTGTATGCGTGTGTATTTAGACGCGTGTGAATTTAGACATTTGTCTATGCGTGTATTCATAATTGTGTATTGGTGTGTATACATTCATGTATATTGGTGCATACGTGTGTTTATTTATAAGTGTACTGTGTGTATGTATTTGTGTGTGTGTGTGTGTATTGGTGTGTGTTAATAAGTGTGTATTGGTGTGTATTCATAAGTGTGTATAAGTGTTTATGTATGTATTGGTGTATATGTGTGTGTACTGGTGTGTGTGTGTGTGTGTGTGTGTGTGTATAGTGTGTGACGCACCGGTCTCTGGGGACTGGATTGACTTTACACACTTCCAGGAGGAAACGCACCACTTCAGTGTGTCCTGAAACAGACACAGATTCTTACAACATTCACTCTTGAGGTAAAACTTCGAACATTTAAGATGTTTTTGAGGTCGGACCTTCAGCTGCGGCGACGTGAAGAGCCGTCCTGGAGTCGTAATCTCTCTGCTCCATGTCCATCGAAGACAACGCAAACCTGACACACGCAAAACACAGATTAGACACATTTGTACATTTCTAACTGTGGATCTACAGCCTCAGCCCTGGATCTACAGCCTCAGTCCTGGATCTACAGCCTCAGTCCTGGATCTACAGCCTCAGTCCTGGATCTACAGCCTCAGTCCTGGATCTACAGCCTCAGTCCTGGATCTACAGCCTCAGTCCTGGATCTACAGCCTCAGTCCTGGATCTACAGCCTCAGTCCTGGATCTACAGCCTCAGTCTTGGATCTACAGCCTGTTTGTACATGGGAGCGGATCCCTCTCTTACAGTTGGCCTCTCCATGGTTTCTCACAATTATTCCCAAGGTTTATTTTGTTTTAATGAACCAAACTCAAGCTGTGCTGTAGTGAAATATAATTAATTACATGTTTTCTATTATATAATTCAATAGTTACGAATATTACTAACATTACTACAGCAGTCACCTCCATACTACACAATTTATCTAAATGTTTTGCTTCTTGTATTGGATCAAGAAACTGTCGGACTTTGAGGAAATCCCACAATATACGGAGGTAACAGCAAATGCTATTCCAACTTCATCCACTAGGTGTCAGCACAAGATCCAGTTATAAGCTGTCTGTGCGCAAATACAGAGACCTGGCTACGTTCAAATTGATCCAAAACCTCCTTCTGTCTAAATGACATCCTGGAAATAAATCTGATCCATGTGAAACTAAAACATCTGAAAAATTGGAGCTACCCGTGTTAGCAAAGTCACATTTGAAGGACAAGGAATAAGCTATTTTTCTAGATAGATTCAAATCAAGTTGTTTTGGACTTAAGGTGGAATGAAAAATACTTTACTGTGTATGATATGCTTTACTCGAGTGCTTTTTACTTTTACTTTGGATGGCATCGAGACATGTTATAAATGGACTAAGAATCCTCTTTTAAATCACTTCTTAATCGAACAGCTTTTAACTTTTCGTTTTAATCTTCAAGTTGTATTTTACTGTTTGCTTTGTCTTTGTTTCGTCTTTCTTCTTATGTTTCCTCTGCCTGCATCTTGTATCTAATGTGAATTATTTTGACTTTGTATTATTATGACTGTTTTATTTATTATTATGCTGACTGTGCACTGTTTTTGAGAAGTGCTATACAAATACAGATATATTATTATTATCATTCTTATACAGATAAAAAGTTAAAATAGACCTACATTTTCTGTACATTAATCTTAAATTCCAACAACTATCAAAACACAAGTATCATTTTTGTTTCTATTGAACAATAATTGGGACGTTTTCAAATCAAGATGAAATGTTATTTGTATATTTGTAGATATTTGTATATGTATTCACCTCCTGAGAGCTGAGGCGTCTCCAGTGTAGGCCGCAAACAGCAGATTAATCACAGACTTCACCTGAGAACAAAACAAAAACTGGTGATAAATGTAAAAACACACACTGGAAGAATGTGATGGGATGGGATGATAAGAAAGCAGCGAACACTAAGTTTTACACAGAACACCACAACAACAGTTTACTTACCCCACATTGTAACCAGGACACTGCTTCTCAAGCTGTGGTGAGGCTACAGCTGCGTCATAGGAGCTCAGTCTTTGGGCAAATACAGAGCCTTGCAAAAGTATTCATACACTTCCGCCCACTTCCTTTCAAGAATCTATGTCTGTTATTGTATGTCTTCCTTTGTGTATTTTTTTTCTTTCTCTTTTGGGGTCTTGGAAGACTATTTTCTTGAAACAAATGAATAAAATGAATAAAAATACAATACATTTATCTCGAGCACATTTTGTCTTACTACAGCTGTTAAGGTCTTAAACTTGGCTCCGTGGTATATGGTATAATTTTTTTAACTTTTGTCCTGCGTTTTTTTTTTGTCATGAAATGTAATATTGTTGTATTTGCTTGATTGTTGCACTACCATAAAAAATGTAAATAAAAATAAAATGGATGAGTTGAGTTTCTGTACATTGTGGGTGTTAGTTACACTGCTCTGTAAAAAACAAAATGACTTCAAAACATGAAGCTGCGTTCTTGGAATTCTAAACACATTCAGACACGTTTAAAGGAGTCTTAAAGGACACAGCCTCGGCTCTTAACATGTTGTAAACACGTCTTAAACATGACATGGTCTTTAGCAAACATGTTGTATGCTAATTCTAGCTCTGGATTCTCATATTTGCATGTTAGTCCAGCCTACGACCTCAAACTGACATCTTAAAAACCCAACTCTGGTATTTCTATCTTTGTACACGTGAGAACTAGTGGTGGAACTGAAGTGTTTTGAGAGAGAGGAAACGTTGGACTGCATTACATGAGTCATTTATTAGTAGTTTGAAAGTCAAGGATCGCAGCTTTAATCTGAACCTAAGTCAAATTTGAATCAAAATCTAGTTACACCTGTGATAGAAACGTAAAAAGTGCACTTTATTAATCCCCGTAGAGCAACTAATCCTCTGCATTTGACCCAGATCCTGATGCCACTAGGCTTACTTCAGGGACAGTAGTTGCCATAGTAACAGGAGGACATGCAAACTCCACTCAGAAAGGCCCTGTTCTGACCGGGATTTGAAACCATGGAACCTTCTTGCTGAGAAGCGGGAGTGCTAACTACTCAGCCACAGTGTGTAGCATGTTAAAGGAAAAGATTGTGTAGATGTTGCTTTCAGTTTGATCAGAGCAGAAAATGAACTGTTTACGATGTATGATGTAGTAAAATGTATTTTCCTTTGACATCAAAACAAAAACGTCTAATGTGTCGACGTCTCGGCGCTGACGTGTGAGTGATAAACTCAACCAAGACAGAGATGTTTCAAAAGGCATATGAAGAGGTACTAATCACAAAACTACAGGCTTAAAATTATGTATAAAAGCCTGGACCTGCATTAAAATGATGTATAATATTTCTCAGTTTGAGCCACTTCAAAGACAAAAGAACAGAGAGCCTTGTATAAAATAAATAAATATTTGCTAAGAAAATGTAAACATAAAACCTGCTTATAACTGCTGATAATTATGACAGCAGTGGACAATATTTATACATTTAGTACATCTTAAATATAAATATTGATACAAAATGTCACTTTTAATTTGATTTTTCATAATCCAAATAATGCCAACTCTGAAAATGGTCCGAACTCAGCGGCTGCTCCACCTCTGCTGCTGTGACCTGATGAGCTGTTGCATTTTATCATTACTATTGTCCGCTTTTTATAATGATCAATTTATTTGTTTATCTGCATTTCTCCTACATGATCAATAAAGTCTCCTGACATCTCCCGACATCAGGCTCGGTTTCTCCCTCTGCAGTCGGACTCACTTAACAACTCATGTCTAGATCCTGTCTCTTTACAATCATCACGTCTTACTAATATCACTTAGAAAAATCTCATAGCTCTAATGATGACCTGCACTGTTATACATCTGTAGATTTGTTACATGGCTTTATGTCCAATTCATTACATGTTATTGCATTGTGTATTTGGATTCTTCTGAGTTTAAGATTCAAGATTAATTCATTACGTCTCATAGGAATTTTGTCTTGGAGTCACATGTGGCTGCTGCATTACACATAAGACAGCGCTCTGCTCATGGCCTGCATTCAGGAGGTTCACAGATGTGGGTAGGAACGAGTTCTTGTACCGGTTTAGATATCTTTTATTTTTAGTAAGTACTCTGTAGCGGCGGCCTGATGGGAGGAGCTCATGCTGAGAGTAAATGACATGAGGAGGGTCTGAGTTGATTTTAATCTACATATGGAGTAAGAGACAACCAGAATGAGCAGTGACCCCAGCTTGTGTCAAAATAATGTATCATGGTGGAATCCAATTGAACCGAGTAATAAATGTTCAATTTATGTGTATGAAAGGCGCTCAACAAATAAACTTTGATTGATTGATTAATGTCACGACTGGGAACAATTATAATGACACTAATTTGGAGGCAACAGTTTTTGTTAAAAAGTAAATACATGGCTCCGTCCATGACGTCAGAGTTTGACGTTTTTGCAGATGGGCTGGGGGGTGTTTGTGTGTTTATGATGTGGGAACATGGGTTGCGAAGGAGCAGAACATTTCTGGTAAATTTCTGAAAAGTTTTCATGTGAACTTGAGGTGGGGAATTTTGGGAATTTGCCACATTGAGTTTCTTTTTAAAAAGCCCCACTCCCTCTAACATGAACCATGCCAGCTTTTTTAGCATCTAACTTAGTCAAATGAATACGTTTGAATGAGAAATTTACAATTTAAACATTTAATCAATATATTTTCCCATAATATCCTTAAAGCTGTGTTTAGTCCACATGCTCAAATGTCTGCCTTCAATAGTACTTTGGGCTCAAAGGTGTGGTCCAGAGTTCCATAAATCTTCAGTCCATGTGATGGAGACACATGGCCAGTAGGGGGCGTGGTCTCAAAAGCACGCAGTAAGAAGTTCTATGTGCATGTGATTCACGAATAACTTGGATATGCAAGTGTATTTGAATGGCATCTGTTTGTTTTAGTCAAGATGATGCTAAACTATACTTTCCTCCATCACTATATTAGTTTGACTACAGTTTATTAGTGGAAACAGCAGAAAGTCCAAATTGTCTGTGGCACAGTTTGTGTTGAACAGTTGTTATTTTTCTTGCTTTTTTCTACCCAAGATGTTGCTGCAGTACAGTGTTCATTGTTTTACACTGGTCCAGACCAGAGCAGAGAGGATTCATGGTCTGAAACAAGAGAATCAGGCAAATATCCACTGGAGGAATGCTAACTTAAAAAAAATGCTAATGAAGCATTCAGCCTTTTATTACTATTGTTAGCTACTTTTTATCTGTTTATTTAGTAAGTTTTTATTTATATACCGCCTTTTCACTGCAGATCTGAGTCTCAAAGCGGTTTTACAATTGTTAATTTTGGGCATTTGTCTCTCACTCCACACAGAGATGGGAGCGGGGTCGCCAGTACAGGAGGCACATGCCAGAACTATTGGACATATTTTTAGTGGTAGGGAAAACCGGAGTACCCGGAAGAAACCTACGCAGACACGGGGAGAACATGCAAACTCCACTCAGAAAGGCCCTGGTCCGACCGGGATTTGAACCCAGGACCTTCTTGCTGAGAGGCGAGAGTGCTATCCACTCAGCCACCGTGCCACCGTGTTTGGATGGATGTGTTTTTGCTGCTACTGGACACCTAGTATCTACGTACCAAAAGTTCCCAATGAAGAGGCAACCTTCAATATTGAAAATGTCCCCGTTTTTTTTCCCATAAATAATTAGAATACCTTGGATAGTTGAACATTCCCAGGGAACAATGCAGACAGTCGATTAAAATTTGAATGATTGAATGATTTTCCTGAATGGACTTTAAATGGTTGATGATGACGACAAGAACAAGTGCAGATACATGATTATGGAACTTTATTTGACACTTTACAAGTGAGAACAAGGCAAAACAAACGACATTCACATCAGAAGCTTCTTTACAGCCAAAGAAATAACAGACGCTTTCTACACAACGGTGAATGTACAAAAGAAAACATACGGCGGTCATGAGGTTGGAAATGCAACATTTCAGCTTAGTTTGGGTTGAAATTACTCCATCTCCAAGTTCATTCATAAAAGTGATTTGGGTCGGACTGGTACCTCTTTGCTATAGAGCTGTTAGCATGCTATTGCTAATTTAGTGTGGATTGTCATGATTTTTGCCCTTTTAAAGCTACAGAACATTGGAAAAAAAAATTAAAATTAAAATTATATTTGCCTTTTTCATAAATATTAAAACATCTTTTCAATTGTGCGTTTATATAATTCATAAAAATAAGTGCTTTAGCTTGATAGCCAATGGAGTCAGTCTTAATGTAATGAGGTACCTCTACAATCACAATTTAGCCCAGGAAATAATTTACACAGACAAACATAGTGGGGGGGGGGGGGGGGGGGGGGGGAAACAAAACAAAAACAAAATGGAGAATGGGAAATAATAATAACAACATGTACAAGAATAAAACATTGTTAAATCATACAAAACACATGCAAGAATGAGAAACAATGGGAAAAAAACAATCATACAATAAATGACCGATAAATGATTTGAATTCTGGAGTTCGAAAGTCATTCATTACACATAATATTATTAGTCTGGTATTACAACAAAAAGTATAGTTTGAATTATGAGGGAAAAAAGCTGACGCATCAGTGAGTTTTGATTTATGTGCAAAGAAATAGGTCACAGATGAAGCGGCGAGATTGCATTTTGCAGAAATATGCCTTATTATATGGCGCCCTGACCTAAAAACGCAGCATACGGCTATCAATCACACAGAGAACTCAGATACACCTTAAGTCGCCTTCAGCTTCACCGTTTTAATATTTGAATAAACAGTATAGAATAGAATAATAGGAGGTAGGTTTATAATCACACTTTGACTCGCGCTGGTCCTTTAAAGGGGACGTAACATGCCGCTTTTGTCTATTTTCACAGTCATCTTAAACTTTGTGGTCGTAGTGATTTAAGTCTGTTGGAGTCATTTCTATCCTTTTTTTATGTGAGAAGCCATCGCTCTCTCTGATCAAAGCCATTTTCATTATTGATTTTTAGTTTTTTTCCGGCAGCTTTGAACAGTTATTATTGCTCAATGGAAAAAATATGTATGTGCATTGCTTTAGGCATTTGGCAAGGGCTCAACTCTTCTCGGTTTTACCAAGTTTGTGCATTCTCACACTCTCAAAGCGAGTGGGAAATACGTTTCTATTGCTCTATGAATGATTCCCTTTTTAAAATGGAATCCCTGGGCTGCTGGCTGCACTGCAACTTCACGAGACCCATTTTTTTTAGTTTGTGTTTTCTCTTTGAAAAGGGTTAACATTTCAACACGCAGGTGCAGTGGCCATGGTGAGCAGACAGAAGCATGGTATGTCCCCTTTAAAGTTGTGGAAATACGGTTTCAAAACAGCTGGAATAAGGAATAAGCCTGGACAGCTGCGAACCAATGGTGTTTTGAATCAGGCCCCTTTTTTTAAATCGAATGAAAACTGTCACAAAGAAGAGGCCATTTTGTTTTCTTACAGCACAAAACATGAAGAAATACTGCGTTAAATGTGTCCAAACACTTAAAAAAACAAGAACAGTCCCTCTCCTTTTCTCACCCACCTTTACAAATATAGAATAAGATAAAACAATACAAATATAAATATCTACTAAAAAGTTCATGGTTGGTCTAAACGAGAGAGACGAAGTAAGAATAAGAATAGAATTATAGTCCTTTTTTACTTCATAATGATTTTTAAATCTTTGTCATTTTCAGTTTTAAAGATATAAGTTTGAACAAATGATTAATTATTGTTTTCAAAAATTAAGTTACACAGGACATTTCTGGAGGAGGGTTTAAGACGTGCGAGAGTCACAGTAATTTTAACCAATAAAAAACATTTGCAACTATGCAATATACAGCTACAGTTGTAAATAAATCCTGGTTTCAAAAAATAATGTGTATTTTGTGACCTACTGTGTTAAGAATAAACCACTGAAATTAAAGTAAATCGAGAAACCAGCCAAAGAGAAACACTACACCAGCAAGACTACGCTCAAACAATCGATACCAAATATAAAAGCCATATATACATTTAGCAACACTCCACGTTGTGCATGGCTATGATCCCCATCCCATTCTCTTCCCCGTTATCCGTTTCCGGGTCACGGCAGTCTGAGCAGAGACGCCCAGACTTCCCTATCCACACACGCACTTCCTCCAGCTCATCTGGGGGAATCCCGAGGCGTTCCCAGGCCAGCTGAGAGACATTGCCCCTTCAGCGTGTCCTGGAACTTCCGCTGGAGAATCAGCGGCTCCATTCCGAGCTTCTCACTTTATCTCTAAGGGAGGGCCAAAGCTCATGCATAGGAGAGGGTCATTGACCGGTAAATCGAGAGCTCTGACTGCAGACGCTGCTCCCTCTTCACCACAACAGTCTGATATAGCATCACTAAACACACAGCAGCGATCGGCCCGTCAATCTCCCGTTCCATCGTTCCCTGTGGCTATAGTAACGCAATAAAGTTGCATATAAACAAGCTCAAATATATACATGATGCTGAATCTCAAAATAGCATCTGATTACCCAAATGCCAGAAGTATTTGTCCTTGTAGTGATAACTGATAGATCATTCAGGTTTTTTTACCTGAAAATGACTGAAATCACAACTCAATTTGGCACAAATTCATTTAAAACTACTTCTACACCTCCTTTTGCTGGATTCAAATAGAACAAAGCCACATCCAAAACATATGCACTTGTGTATTTTGGACAACAGCCTAGAATCCTAAAGCCCTTTTCAGATATCGCTATTATTAATAAAGATAAACCCACTTCGATCACGAAACATGTGACAACAATAAATAAATATTGACACACGACCTGAGCCATTTGCTTTGGTGCATCATTCCCATCGGGCGACCGTCGTTACTACTGCAAAAGACGACATTAAAATGACTGGAGTTCAAAATTCAGTCTAAAAATCACATTCATAATCCATGTTATGAGAAACGTGGTGTGAATTTGAGACTTTAACTCAAATAAAAAAATAAAAAAACTGCAGAATGGACTGAGGTTTTTCAAGAACTGTTGCTTTATTTCCTCATTCCAAGGGAGACATTTGTTGTATTTTTTTCAATCAACATCATTTTGCTCATTGTCCCATTGGCAAATCCTCTTTTAAGGCGGTCAAATTAAAATACATTTTGCCAAATTTGAACCATTTTTATTATTATTTTTCATCACTTTTTGCAGCGATATTTTGCTCCACCCTCACCGTCTATGATCTCGCTGTCAGAACTAATTGCTAAAATATTTTTTTACTCCCACTTCACGATCACAAAACTTCCTCATCGTAGTTATCCTCTATTCAAAATGTCACGTGTATTCAATATACTTTGTACTTAATAATCTAAAGTAAGAAGATCTAGCTCAAGACATGGTTTAAGGCCAAAATGAACAAATAATTCTCAATATTTGTCCTTTATGATTCTCAAATGCTTACAGATATACGTGTCCTATATATAATCTATGACAAACGTGGGTCTCATAATTCATCTGAAACTAGTTGATTTGAGTGTCTTTTACTCTGATGTGCAGGTCACCACGACAATCTCATGGTCGATTTTGAACACACACACATTTCCCATTGGATCAAAATCAATATAACAAGATTATAATTTTATTTCAAGTCATTTTAACTCTTTAGCAGTGTACGGTACAATTACACTATGCCCTTGAAGTCATCTTTGGCATTTCTCAGCCACAAATGCAGCTAAAAAAAGTCTTCCTATAGTTCCATACTAAAGGCAACGAGTGAATCACAGATCTCAAAAGGTGCAGCCAGTCGTAAATCTCTTTGCATATGGAAAGACTGCGGGACACAATACTTAGGCCATTACTGATAACGGGAAAGTGCTTGAATCTCGTGCACGGTTTGAAGAATGCACAAACAATCATAACTCAACCTTTGGAACACGTCAGAAGACTCCAGCATTTGCGATTTTGAAAAACATGATTGACGTGGGAAAATCAATCTTTTTCCCACTTTGTCATTCAAAAAGCATTGGCTGCATTTGTCATGTAATTCAGAGCCTCGCTGTCAGCTTTAGAAGAAGTAGTAGCAGAGAAGTTGCAGTAGTAGTGGTAGTTAGGGATGCACCGATATGAACACTTTGGCCGATATCGATACCTGATAATAATGTTTTTGTTACGGCTGAAAACCAATATTTGCCAATATCAATATGTGTTTTTTAATCTGAGATAAGAGTTTGTACATGCTAAATTTCTTCCTCTATATTCATAATGTATTTTATTTCCAAATACACAAGGTCACAGTGCTACCATAAAACATAATAACCAACTTTTACCACATATCAAGCAGTATTTATGGCAACATAATTGTAAAATGTGACCCTTTATCGTCATTTTGGTGATTTGTTGAGCTCGAAATAAAGTTTGGACTTTAGCTCCAGGGGAAGCTCCGCAGAAGAAAGCCATCAGCTTAGATTGTACAACCTGCTCTTAGTTTTTTTATAAGAACACATTGATTTGAGACAAATAATGAATTTAACAGTTCTTTCTTCCTGTTGCCTTGGTTACTACAACCGTATACCACACAAAAATACTGCATTGTATCAAGTCAGCGAACTGAAGACTGAGACTGTCAGCTGTGTTTTTGGCAGATGCTAACATTTTTCTTTCATTCCTGATGATGAATATCGGCCGATATCAATACTTATACCGATTTATTGTGCATTCCAAGTAGTAGTAGTAATAGTCGTAGGAGCAGAGTAGTTGCAGTAGTAGCAGTAGCAGTAGTAGTAGCAGCAGAGTAGTTGGAGTAGTAGTAGGAGTATTAAAAGTATTAGGTTCTTCTATACCAGACAATATAATGTTGCTACCTTGATTGAGAAGTAGGAGTAGCACAAGTAGCATCGTGTCATTACGCTTTGTGACTTCTGTCAAAAGTTTTACAAAAGTGCGATACATAAAGAAGGTACAATGTACATTATGTGCACTGCAAAAAATAAATGTTCAAATCCCTCAAACAGAACAGGTGAAGTAATTTGAGTCGTTTTGTGGTTTTTATCCATTTACTTGGATACTATAGAGTTGTGATTTTTGTCTGAAATGAGATCAGTATATAAGTCTGCGCACCTGCTGCATTTGTAATTCATGCTAAAATTAACAACATTTTTATCTCTCGGGTCCCCAATTTAATTTAACTAATAACCTGTAGAGCAGACGTGCCAAACTCAGGTCCGTGAGCCCAAAATGAGTTTGGCACCAATAATATCCAAAAACCGTCTCGTTTGAAGACATCTCCCCAATCCCGGGTCAAAACACTGAGCTGAAATTTGTCTTGTAATTAGTCAAAACAGCATAATATATACATTATAATTGAATGAATTTGCAATATCCTTTTCACTACGACTCAGATTAGCCCAAACGCCGTGAGTCATTTGATCGTCAACATTTCCTTTTTGCGGCGCGAGTCCCGTCCACACACACATAATAAATATCCAAACAGCTGGAGTCTAGTTGACCTCGCTGGCCGTACTGTCCATCCTATAGACTACAGTGGTGGAGCTGTCCTGGTTGGTTTCGGTGGGACACACTTTTTTCCACAGAGGGGCTTTGAGAGCGAGCTCCTGCTGAAGACTCTCGTAATCCATGGGTCTGCGCGACTGCTGCTGGTTTAATCCCACACCAACCAAACATTAGTTAAACGATAGGACCAAAAGGAAATGCTAGAGTTACAAATGAAGAGGCCAGTGGTTCTCAGACTGAACAGAGAAGAAAGACTTTTTGTTGGTTGTAAAGCTAGAAAGTTTGTAAATTTAGGTTTTCCGCTCTCTGATGTTTATTGTAAATGATTATAAGAAAAGAATTAAGTCCATAGTCTTCATTTTGTGTCATATGACTATTTATTCAAATTTTGAAGTCACTATAAGGCTAACCACTGATTAGCTGCTACCATTTTTGGACAAATTTAGTACAAATTTAAGCTTCGATGACTAAAAAAATGTGTGTCTTTTTATTTCACCTGGTCATTACTTCTACAAAACTCAACTGGCTTTGAGAAAGAAATGTTTATTCATGACGATAAATTAAATATAAAATGTAGTGATGATATTCAGGAGACTGTTTTCTTTTGTCTTAATCTCTTGTATATGTATTTAATATAGACCAATATACACAGAACAATGAATGATTATTGATATAGTTAATTTGTTGTTTTGATGGTCAGAAAAAGTGAATTTCATATGAAGTTTATTCAAGAAGTTACAGCTAAACCTAAAAGAACAATTTACATGCATCATTTTTGTGTGCTCTATATACCAACTTTAAAGTGCGATGCAACACAGACATTTCCCAGCAAAAGGCTATCGTATATGCAAATCAAATCATTTCATTGTCCATAGAGGTTGGGAACTAGTAACTTATTCCTTCATAATGTATCTTGGTATCCAATTTGCAGTCTCTTAAGAAAGAAATACTATTGTTAAAGGTATACAGGAGGATTTTCTACTTCCAGGTAGATCATCAAGACTATTGGTCCTGCCAACTGTCAATCATTCTGGCGATACATAAAAGTCAAATAAGACCAGAGAGTTTTGTTCAAAGAATGGAGAGGGCGGTGCTTCCCATATACAGGGAACTCTAACACATTTGTATAGTCATCAAAAATTAAACCTGCATGGGACATGCAGGTTTCTGTACATTGTATGAAATGACAGAACGGTCTAATCTCTGTATGAGAGGTAAAAGATTCCAAAAAGATCTAATAATTGTGGAGAAACGCCTAAAAAAAAAAAAAAAAAATCATAAAAACCTGAACACTGGTACCAGGTCTGAGCAGTTTAAGAACCACCGGAGTCGTCTGAATTTAGAAAAGCTTGTTAGTCACATTAGTTTGACCTGTGTATTGTGCATGGACATTACTCAGGGGTTTTCTCAGTTGAAACTATTAAACTGTCACCATCACGAGACACCGAGCACACATGCACCATGCCGACAGAACATCCAGGAGAGACAAACACAAAACTCTTTCCATCAAACTGCACATATTAGTCGTCAGAAGTGAGAAAATGTTAGTTCAAAAACAGCACGACTATAGCCAATGAGAACAGTCCCTGCCCTTGCCCTTCGTCACCATACGCACACACAACAATAGACACTATATCGACACTAGATATACAACTTACTATTAGCAAAGATGCATTTTGGTTTCAAAGATTTTATTTGAAAAGTTCCAAAGCATCCAAAATGGAGACACGCTTTCCCCCAAGACTGCTTTGCTGATCTGGGAACAACATTTGGTACAAAACCGGTTTCAATTGGATTTAGACCCAGGTCGGTCCTGGTTTAGCCACAAATCACACTGAATTTAGTCCTGGGTTAGTCTCACTTAAAAAAATAGAAGTTGAGAAGTAGTATCTTTATGATTATCTTTCCTTCTAATTTCCTCTTATGAGCCTCCATTTGAAGACCTCAGACTAGGGATCGGCGATATATCATATTGGTCCATCATTTAAAAACTAGCCAATTTTTAGAACCGATATTTTACTAACTCTAGAAACAAATGTTCTTTTTAACAAGAGCAAGTCACTGAGTTTCAATGGGGATGTATACAGTTAATATACACTCAACCCATGTGCTACCGCCGCACTGATGAGAAGTACCCTTAATTATGTCTAAATGACCCAAGGTTGGTCAAGTTAGGAAAAATCATAAAAATTCAGCTATTTTGGTTATTTTTTTTATCACTGCGCAAACCCGAGGATAGCACAAAGATTACACAACATTGTCTGTAAAAGAAAGAAAACCAATGCGTTTTTGAAGTTACTCTCGGAACAGGTTAAATTTGTTACTGCCTAGAAAACTTTCTCCCCTATCATCAACTACTGTAAAGATATTATATTGCCGATTTCTATAGTAACAATCCTAGTACTGTTATTACTCTCATGTAGAAGTATTAGTCATATTAGTTGCTTTCTACAAACGCCCACAGGAGCATCAAGCGTATGTTAGTCCAGGTTACAGCTGTTAGTGCAAAGTGATCGGTGCAGATGAGACGGCTGGTGTAGATGAAAAGGGATCTTACCCGCTGGTCGCCGCCTTCACGCCGTGGGTCGTACTTCTTTGCAAAGTGCCTCAGGTTGTCGTAGTTGTGGAAGTTAAAGAGCTCTACCAGGTCCTGAGTGAAGAAGATGTGGTTTTTCATCAGGCTTAAAACTGGGGGACCAAAGCGTTATTTTTGTAAACACATTTTGTCTGTCCCAACAGAAAGTCTAGCCTTGTCTTAACATACCATGGTACTCATTTCATTTCGTACTAAGGTCTTGGAGAAATTGCTCCATTGACTCCGTTAACATTGACTCCATTACCAGGTGGGATGGGTTAACTAAAATTGAAATGATTCGAGAGTAGCCTAGCTTTAGCATTTAGCCTTGCCATTTCCTTTGCCACTAACGTAGCCTGTGGGGAGTAGAGCCACAACAATTGCAGCAATGACATTTGCTAAACATTCCTCTTGCTTTGGCTTCAATTTCTTGATATTTGGAGCTGAACCCGAAAGGATCTCTTTCTTGTTGTCACAGACAGATCTCTACGACACCCGCCTCTCCCGCTCGCTGATTGGTCGGAGGGGATTCAACCGAGGAAACTGCAGCCACTAGGATCAGACCCAGACATGTATATGTAGGAAATGATAATGGGCCGGGGTTTACAGATGGCTATGGCCAGGCTAGTGTTGGCGAATTCAAAGTTTTTTTCCACAGAGATAACTGTTGTGATTTAGGGCTGTACAAAAATAAATTTAATTGAATGTTGAAACCACTTATGCGCTGTAACTAAGCTCATGTAGCCATTATACAACTCTAGCATCATTTATCGTCATTGTTATTTGGGAATCTGCAGGTTTATTGGAGTCACTTATATGTTGAAAGACTCACCGTGCAGAACTGGATGCCTCTGACAGAGTTTCCCAGTTTGTCCAGAGGAGGAGACCAGCACATGATTCCCATCACGTTAGGAACCACCAGCAGGATGCCTCCTGCCACTCCGGACTTGGCTGGAAGTCCCACCTACAGAAACACACACTATCAGCTTTGATCTGACTAAAACAGGCCAAATGTAGACGTGAGAAAGTATCAAATCACATACATACTACCACTGAGCTATAATAAGTGAAGGCGAGAAGATTTTTGAAGTTGTGTCCATGTTGGAACAAACAGAAAGCTGGGCTTTCATTCCCTTGAAAAAGTTCTTTGGATTAATAAAAGAAAAGTTATAAAACCTGCTAACTGAAGTACAGATGATGGTTTGGAACCTTCCTTTGTTTTGAATAATCCCTGTATGACTGAGGCTGAGTTTACACGGAGACAATGTGGCAGTAAAACGGTATAGTTGGATGTCGGTTTCTACCAACCGTTCATACAAAGACTGTGTTTCAGGGGGGTGAAAACGTAAGTGTTCAGATCCAGCCTGCAGAGTGGGACAACTCAGATACGCTGCACAGCAGGGAGCTTTTTCACACCCGCGAGAGGGAAAAAGGTGTGAAATCCCCCTCTGCTCTAACCCCCACCTCCGCGCTGCTCCCCGCACGTAAATTTGGACATGCGCAGTAGCGGAGAACAAACATCAACAACAATGGCGGCGGTCACACTAACTAACTACGTGGGCTTCCAGCGCGGGACAGAGGATAATTCTACTCCTTCGTTCGTCCAAACGAGACCACGCAAAGCTCTAGGTTCAGTTTCCATTTTCACAGCTGCTGTTAAAATGCAGAATGATGTTGGTGCATTCTGAGTGTCTGGCACAGGAAGTGAGTATACTGCCGAGAGGGGGGGCTGGGCACAGGGCTTGGGGTCGTGTGAGTGTTGTAAAGTTTCTCTGCCCACTACTGGCCGGGCGCTAGAACTACATCGTTTTTCAACCTCATGTGAACGCAGAGAAATTTGCATTAGGAGCTTGGTCGTTTCTGTTAATAGCCTGGAAACGTCTGCGCAGCGTCTCAGTATAAACAGGGCCTGAGAGCTTACACTTATTTAGTAAAACTTTTCCAAAACGAGAAGCTTCAACCTAAGGAAGAGGTTTTGCTTTTATCTCTGATAAACAAATACAGCAAAATAATTTATCTGCATCCATTTTATTTATTTATTTTTCTTTGGTGTCTTTGTTTGTCCCTCATTTGTCCTCGCTTTGTGTTTTGTTACGATTATATATTTTTGTTGTGTGTCATTTTATTTTTATTGTCCTTAAATAAATAGTTAAAAAATGTACACACACGCAGTAATTATTATTTATAATTATTAATATAAGGACACAATAGGATACGGTCCATAGATAAGAAAATATACAATACACAGAGTATATTACATAAATAAATACAAACATACAAAATATTAAAAAAAAAAACTTCTGTTCAGAATCTGCAGCAAAGAAGACGATGCACACATCGTGTTATATTCTGTAGTGTTTGCTGAAAAAGCAGGACACACACCTCAAAAGTCAGCAGAATACTTTTGTTATCGAGTAAGCAAAAAGTCTGCTGGAAATGTACTTGGTATTCAGTTTTAGTATTGCCTTCTCCAATATATATTATATATTTATAATTGTGGGCATAGGGAGGTTTCTCTCATGTTTTTAAGCGTTTTTTTGGTGGCTGACCATTTTTGTGCCCCACAGCTCTTGATGCAATTTTCGTTTAATTATTGTCATTGAAAAGCGATGCTCCTGATGGCTTTCAAGAAAACATTGAAAAAATCCAAATATGATGCGGTATGATTGTAAATTGGTGCTACACACTAGGTATTTTCCCCTCAAATATTATTGTGTGGTTTTAAGCAGCAAATGAAAAATCAACTGTATTTGACCCTGATATTTTAGGATAATTCCCAGCCTCCAAGTGATAGCAATGAGTCTGTGTCGGCACTCTCAGCCTCTCTCAGTCTCTCTCAGCCTCCCTCCGTTTCTCTCTCGGTCTCCCTCGGCCTCCCTCCGTTTCTCTCTCCGTCTCTCTCTTCGTCTCTCTCTCAGCCTCTCTTTCAGCCTCTCTCGGCCTACCTCAGGCTCTCTCTCTCTCTGTCTCCCTCCTTCTTTCTCCATCTCCCTCAGCCTCTCTTGGTCTCTCTTGGCCTCCGTTCTAGTTCTATGTTGATATACATTATAATTAGGACTGTCAAAAGATTAATTTTTTTAGTTGATTAATCGCATAGTAATGGTGAGTTAACTCAAGATTAATCGCATTTTTAACATTCTATTTCAAATCCACTCCAATTGAGATTTTCAAATGTAATGACACATTGTTATTCATACCAAATGTACTTAAATCTGGTTGACTTGCTCACAACCTTCTACTTTTGGATATAACCAACAAGAGCTGTTAATGAAAGGGAAAATGTAGGTACCCCAGCTTTAATTTTGCGAGTTTGGTTGCATCTCAGCGTGTCTCCTCCTCTCCTCCGTGTGTCACACAACATCAGAGAATGGCCCCTGTGGGTGTATATATATGCGTGTATTATATGACCACGTTACCGCTGTCACCATCACACACACACGCACGTGTCCGCGGCATTCTGAGTGATATTATAAATGGGCGGTTCATTCGGACATGCGTTAACTCATTGACTGCCAGCCTATTTCAGAACAGGTACTCCCATATTGCCAGCCGTTTCTGATGATTTTTACTGAATTTTCAAGACCCACAGAATATAATAATATAATATTGTGTTCTATGACTATCTGAATTCCAAAACCAGATTCTGAAAGAATGGACTGTCTACTTTCATCAGCAAAAATAATTTTGTTTTTAGCTTGTTTCGTTCCCCTGTAATCCCCAGTCGAGTAGAGGTAAGTTTTATTGAAATCACCAGAAAGCTGAGGCACAAGTGCATCTAGCAGTTTTCAAACCATTCATTGAGCAATGCTGCCATCTGCTGGCTCGATAAAATATTGCCTCAAGCCTTACATATTTGATACAATAGACATCTGGAAACGTGAAAATAGCGGGAAACGCAATTGACGTGTTAACACGTCAATGGCAGTTAATTATTATTATTTTTTTACGCGTTAATGAAAACGGTAATTAACGTGAATTAACGCAATAATTCTGACAGCCCTAATTATAATTAAAACCTTTTTTTCTCAGTCCTGGTGCTACCTCACCTTACCATCCAGGGCTTCCTTCAGCCTTCAGGGTTTAGTTAATTGGCATGATCCTGTAATTTCCATTTCAATATTATCCTTGAAAAGCAAGATATATGATCATGATCCAAATATGATATAAAGGTATGATTGTAAATTGGTGCTACAGTGCCTTGCGAAAGTATTCGGCCCCCTTGACCCTTTCAACATTTCGCCACATTTCAGGCTTCAAACATAAAGATATAACATTTTAATTTTTTGTCATGAATCAACAACAAGTGGTACACAATCGTGAAGTGGAACGAAATTTATTGGATAATTTAAAACATTTTAACAAATAAAAAACTGAAAAGTGGGGCGTGCAATATTATTCGGCCCCTTTACTTTCAGTGCAGCAAACTCACTCCAGAAGTTCAGTGAGGATCTTTAAATGATCCAATGTTGTCCTAAATGACTGATGATGATAAATAGAATGCACCTGTGTGTAATCAAGTCTCCGTATAAATGCACTTGTTCTTTGATAGTCTCAGGGTTCTGTTTAAAGCGCAGAGAGAACCATGAAGACAAAGGAACACACCAGGCAGGTCCGAGATACTGTTGTGGAGAAGTTTAAAGCCGGATTTGGATACAGAAAGATTTCCCAAGCTTTAAACATCTCAAGGAGCACTGTGCAAGCAATTATATTGAAATGGAAGGAGTATCAGACCACTGCAAATCTACCAAGACCCGGCCGTCCCTCCAAACTTTCATCTCAAACAAGGAGAAGACTGATCAGAGATGCAGCCAAGAGGCCCATGATCACTCTGGATGAACTGCAGATAACTACAGCTGAGGTGGGAGAGTCTGCCCATAGGACAACAATCAGTCGTGCACTGCACAAATCTGGCCTTTATGGAAGAGTGGCAAGGAAGAATGGGAAAGAATTCCAGTCTCTCGGTGTGCAAAACTGATAGAGACATACCCCAAGCGACTTGCAGCTGTAATTGCAGCAAAAGGTGGCGCTACAAAGTATTAGCGCAAGGGGGCCGAATAATATTGCACGCCCCACTTTTCAGTTTTTTATTTGTTAAAAAAGTTTAAATTATCCAATAAATTTCGTTCCACTTCACGATTGTGTCCCACTTGTTGTTGATTCTTGACAACAAATTAAATTTTTATATCTTTATGTTTGAAGCCTGAAATGTGGCGAAATGTTGTAGGGTTCAAGGGGCCGAATACTTTCGCAAGGCACTGTATCCACTTGAATTTCCCCTCAAATATTCCAATGAGGGTTTAAGCAGCAAATAGCAAATAAACTGAATCTGAATTTTAAGATTTTCCAAGCTTCCAAGAGATCGCTATGGCTCTTTCAGGGCCAATGTTTAGATCTGCAGTCCACCGTTTCCTCCAGAGGCCGTGTTACTCACATGGAAGGCGAACTGTCCGGAGAAGTCGTACATGCCGCAGGAGTGCATGAGGCTCAGGGTGTTTCTCACGGCCTCGGGGCTCAGCACTCGCTCTCCGGTGATGGGACAGATCCCGCCGTTCGCCAGAGTCGCCGCCATGACACTCGCACTCTCACAGGTCACCTCAATGGAGCACAGCTGAAGCAAAAACACACCACAGATGGTCTTTTGGTTGGGATTTCTGTCATGTTTGAACTCTATCAGATCAATTAGATTACAATCATAGTCATCTGGTTGACAGATACAAAAAACAGGTATAACGACAAAGCAGAATTGTGCAAGAATGTCAAATGGTAAAAGTGGATACCAACGACAACCTTTCGCTGTCTAGATTAGCAATAGCTGAAAAATTATAGTTGAAATGTAGGTCTACTTAAATGCTAAAAATCAATGACAAAATCAAAACATTGTGTATAATTGTTGTGGCTATAATGACTTATTTACTAAAACGGCTAAATCCTCAGATCAATCAAAGTGCATTGTGGGATTGCTCAGTAAAAATAAAGCCTTTTCAAAATGGAAGCTAAGACAGAATCCTTTAAAAACCTTATGAAACATTGATGCAGGTTGAAATGAGTCGACTCACTTGGAAGTAGAAGTCCAGAACTGACGTCATGTCTGTGCCGTCAGGAAAACACTGCAACAAGACAATATACAGAATAAAAAAAGAGATTAAGTAATAATTACAAATGTGTGAGACGGGGCCACTAGCGGGGCCGCCAGACCTAGCCGGGGCCGCCAGACCTAGCCGGGGCCGTCAGACCTAGCCGGGGCCGTCAGACCTAGCCGGGCCAAGCGACGGCACGTGCCCAAGCACTGAATGGCTTTGCTCCTGCTGTAGTACATAGTGAAATGATAGAGGTCCTATTAAAGGTGGGTTCTTTCAACTGTCTTACGGACGAATGTCCGGGCGAAGCAGCATTACATAGTTGCTGTAATAAATGGTTATTTTAATGATTTATTAGTTGTTTAGATCCAAAAAGGTCAATGAGTTTGAGACACTTTTGTCTACAGCTTCACAAAAGATGCCTTTTTACGTAAACACATTTTTATTTTCTTCTGCAGCCGTGATAGAATTATCTGAGTCATAAAACTATTCTTGGAATGTTAAAAAAGGTGCATCATGCAACTTAGTATGTGGGGAAATGTTTTAATATTTTTGCCTGTTTGTCGCTGGTGCTATGAGACTTGGGTGACATCTCTGATTGCCACCCCCCTGACCCAGAAATGGATTAAAGGGTAGAAAATGGATGGATGGATGGATGTCGCAGTGGCTGTTTGTCACCGTGCCCAAGCCCAGTTGCCCCGGTCATATAACACCTAAAGCCCGGGTCTAATCGGTCCTAGGCCCACTTTAACCGGGCTTTAGGCTGTGCATGTGACTGCAGCCAAAAAATTTGTCTGCTAGACCAGAGCGATGGAAAGAAAAGCCAGTATGCTGACCACTCAAACAGCTGCTGGTTAAACTTTTTATCCCCACATAAAAAGTTATAAATGCCCCTTTAAGACAAGAAAAAGGACCAAAAAACTGTTGATTACTAAATTACTTTACAACCATTCCAATAATCCATTAGTTGGAATTAAATAAATTTACAGCCCTGCCTATATAATGTTCAATGCAATGAAATCAGGTCAAAACTCATAACCTATTCAGTTTTATGGACCCATGGTTGTTTGGAGGCGTTTCTCGTTAATAATTACTTCAAAACAATCTTTGAAGTACGTCATAAAACAATATCATGTTACCTCTCGCAGACAAATACTGATAACACAAGAGGAAGTATTGTAAACAGTGACTCTTGGACACAAACCTTCTTCTCTTTGAGATAGTAGCCGATGGCAAAGTTCCTGTCCCCTGACTCACGCTCCGATTGGAATCTGTCAAAACAAAAGCAGAAAAAGTCGTCACACGAGGAACGCCTCCTGCTCTGCCCACTGCATGGGACAGGAGGCAACACAAACACTGCAAAGAGAGAAATAAGTCAAAAATGCCTAAAATATGGCCAAATATGTCTTAACTTGAGAACATTCTGACTGAGCCTTAAAACAAGATTTGCAAAGTGGGGCAAAGCAAAATGATCTTGTTTTAAAAATAAACAAGAAATGTCTCCCTTGGAATGAGAAAATAAAGCTACAGTTCTTGAAATAATACTAAATGGCTTGGTCCCATTGAAGAATGAAAAAATAAAGTTTAATTTATTAACTCATTGACGTGGAAACGCGTCAAACCAAATAGTAACGTTGTCTGCAATTAACGTGTTAACACGTCAATTGCGTTTTCCGCTATTTTCATGTTCCCAGGAGTCCATTATATCTAATATTAAGGTTGGGCGATATTTTTTTTGTACCGGTATAAGTAAATTAAATGATAAGAAAATGCCTTATACCGGTGAAAATGATCATTTAACACTGAAAACAGCGAGCGGAAGACACGTTTGTGTGCGGCGCACTTTGATGACGCATCTGCGCGACACGTGTAGCAGAGCGGCGTGCAGGGACAACAACAACAGAGCAGAGAGGACATTGTGCCAAAACGCGGAGCTACCTCAAACATATGGGAGTAGTTTGGGAACTAGATAAAAAGAAGCAATTGTGTGTAACTATCGACAGTGGATCTAATGTTGTGAAAGCAGCTGCCCTAAACAACTGGACTCGAGTGGCTTGCTTCGGACACTCGCTCTCTCTCTCTCTCTCTCTCTCATAGTGCCATTGGTAAGCTTTATTTACTGTTTACTGTCATTCATTTTACTTCAATGCATGTGTTTGTCTACATTGCAATATAATTACAAATAAGTTATAATTACATAATTATAGAAACTCAAAACGATACAAAAAATATATACAGTATTTGATCATTTTGACTCTATTGGGATTAGGAAACATAAGCCAAAGTGATCAAATAATTATTTGATAATGCTACACTTTTTATATTACAAAAGGACAAACTTTTATATATTTTACAAATTACAAATGTTCACCTTTATGACATGTTGCCTGCAATTTTCAGTATGTACAAAACAGAATTCTCTACAATTCAGTTTTGTTAATACGTTTTATATACAATAGCTGTATTACACATTTTGCTGCCAATAAATCAGTAAATGCACTTTGAGGCAAGTGTGTTTAAAATTATCAGTGCTAAGTTTTTATAGCTTTTATATGAGGCTTTGTTAAAATTATCATATCGTCATATCGTGATACATACCAACAAAAATCGTGATACATGCTGAGGCCCATATCGCCCAACCCTATCTAATATGTATAGGGATTGGCTTGAGAGCATATTTTATCGAGCCAGCAGGTGGCAGCAGCGCTCTCTGGATGGTTTGAAAGCCTCTTTTTTCTCAACTTTCTGGTGATTTCAGAAAAACTTCCCTCTACTCGACTGGGGATTACAGGGGAACGAAACAAGCTAGAAACAAAATTCATTTTGCTGATGAAAGTAGACAGTATATTCTTTCTGAATCTGATTTCAGATAGTCATAGTACACAATATTCTGTGGGTCTTGAAAAATCAGTTAAAATCATCAGAAACGGCTGGCAATATGGAAGTGCCTGTTCTGAAATGGGCTGGCAGGCAATTAAGGACAATGTGTAGTAACATTAAAAGACTGCTGCACCGATTTAGCACCAGCTACTTTCCATCTGTGGTCTTTACAATACAATCATATAACTTACATATTACAAGAACAATAAAATGAGATAAGATAAGACAATAAGAAAATACAGTAAAAAGTTACCAAATTGTATTTTAACATTATTATGAAAGTAGGATATTTGCATGGATGGAGCAAAAATAACAAGTGTAACAAGTGTAACAAGTGTAACAAGTGTAACACACACACACACACACACACACACACACACACACACACACACACACACACACACACACACACACACACACACACACACACACACACACACACACACACACACACACACACACACACACACACACACACACACACACACACACACACACACACACACACACACACACACACACACACACACACACACACACACACACACAGACACACAGACAGATTGTTGAGACTGGTTGACTTTACTGTTTGACAGGAAAAGCAAATCTTAATCAAGTGTCATCAACGAAAACGATGTGAAATTGGATCTGGAAAACTAGTTTGTATCATAGATCTGACAAAATAACTTGGCAGCTTTAACTCAACACCACACAGGAGAGAGCACAGTCTTAACAGGAAAAACACAGAATCATGGGAAATAGTAGCATGGTTTGTGATGCTAATGCTACTGTGAGAAATGTACCTTAAGTACAGCTATCTATTCTCACATCAAAGTCTCTCTCAAAATCTGTCAAAAAGCATTAATAATTTCGATGTCCCGCCCTCCACCATTTTACCGATTAGAAAGTCTGATCCGGGTTGCTAGAACTCACCGCATGGAGCAAATCTTACTGGTAAAGTACCATGTGGCCGCTGTACTAAAAAGGTCTCGTTACGATTCTCAAATCATCCACAACAATACAAAGAATAAAACCAGGCTTTTTATCTTTGTGAAAAAGGATTTGGTTATACATTTTTTGTTGACAAAACTGTCTATTCAGCTGCTATGGTCCGAGCTGGATTTGTCTGGATATTTGGCAACCTGAGTCAGGGAGAGTGGGAGAGGACTGCAGAATATTGACTGTGCTTGCAGTACCACCTTTGGCCAGATTTTTATTACACTTTGCTCCTTTAAAATCCCAAAAAAACATCTGTCTATTTGTGTATATTCAGTGATGTTATTACCCTAATGTGTATCTCTTGAGAGATCTATTGATCTATTGATCTATATCTATTGATATATTTTTGACACATAGAATAAGTATTGCCTGAAGTAACCTATGAGGCAAGTCTGTAAGTGAAAGAAAGCAAATGTCAAAGCCTCGGTGTCATGAAGTTACAAATAGCTTTGACGACTCAAAATAGTGCTGTCGTGTCACGTATGTACAGTATGGTCAGTGTTGTGGGCCTACTGCTCAAGGTACAGACACTGAGGAAGATTTGGATTTTAGCCCTTTACAAAGGTTGAAGCTAAATTGTAATATGATATGACAATGGTTTACATGTATTGTCTTTGGGAGCCCGCCTGTGAGCTAATGCAGCTACCTGGGAGTTCTTTGTTACTTAACATCCATCCATCCATCCATCTATCCATCCATTTTCTACCCTTTAATCCATTTCTGGGTCAGGGGGATGGCAATCAGAGATGCCACCCAAGTCTCATAGCACCAGCCCCTCACTGATCCTCTGCAGGTGGTGAGTCCACAGGAGCACGGCTGCTCTCTGAGTGTGAGCATAGCCTTGATCTTTCAGTGGGGGCTTTGGGCAAAGTGGGGTTAAGTGTCTTGCCCAAGGACACAACGACAGCAGTCATCAGTGGGAGTCGGTGGAGAAGGTGAAGAGGTGGGAATTGAACCCACAACCTTCAGGCCTGAAGGCCAATGCTCTACCAACTGAGCTACTGTCGCCCCTTAGATGTTAGATGTAGACTTAACATCTACAAACTTTATTATCTTTATGACTATGAAATTCTTATAAATGCTTTAATTGCTTGATTGAGGAGACATTCAGATTAATTCAGGAGGATTTCTGTTGAATTCAAGCACACACAAAACGAGTAACTGGCTCATAAGGGTGATAAGGAAATGTGTCTCTGTGATGGGGAGAAGTGTGGACACTGTGGGAGCTGTGCTGGAGAGAAGTATGAGGGCTCTAATGCAGTGCATCCTGGGTAACTCCAGACACCCTCTGCATGACACTATGGCCGCTCAGAGGAGTAATCGTAGTAACAGGCTATCACTGCGCTGCCGAACGAAACGTTTCAAGAGATCCTTTGTTCCTTCGGCTGTCAGACTGTACAACAAACCTGGATGAGTACTCTGCCGCTGGACAACTGAATTTCCAATTACCAAAATACATACTGCAAAAAGCAGTGAAAAATAAACTAAAATTTGGCAGAATGTACCCCCACCTTGGTACATGAGATTGTGAACAGAGGCCAGAGCTGGAGCCTCAGCGAGATGTGAAAAATCTGTAACATGGTAAAATCTCATGTTCATGAAGCAACTTTTTCTACCTTTTCAAAACACTTCTGTTGATTTACTGAGACTCAGGATAAAGGCTGAACTTACGTAGCATTGTTGAAGCCAACGTATTCATTCCCAGCCATCTGCTTTAGGAAGTTCATGACCTGGAAAGAAACCAAACACATTATTTACAATCCATCTAACCTTGGAAAAACTGTTGTCCTGGTAATTTATGGACATTTATGGACCCAGGATATCTGCCCCCTATGGTCCAATGGTTCTATGTGTTTTTTAATTTGTCAACACACATCAGAGAATCAAACAGCTCAACAGTAGTTATGGATATACTGTAAGAGAATAAATTCAATAAACTTTACTTTTTCTATCAGCCAATACTTCTACCTCAATTGAATTCATTTTTGTTTAGCCCTATAGTACAACAGCAGTAGTATCGGAGTTCATAGAAACAGTTTATAGAAAACATTAGCCCATAGGTAACGGGATGACCACTGTCCATAAATGTTAATAAATGTGCATAAATGTCCAAACTGCATTTTATTTCTTCCTTCACGAATTTTTCCATTCAAAGAGTCATGGTTGCGACAGACAACTTAGGGCAGGCTATTAAAACATATCGAGTGAATGAATAAACATGACTTACATAATCAAATTTCGCTGCTGTGCCTTCCCCCTGCTGCGGAACAAAAACAAAAAAATCCACAGTTAGCTTTGCAAACACTGGGAGCAAAAATGAGAATGCTATCACTGGCAAATGAAAATCTACAGAAAAAGAAAACATGAATTGTATAGATGTTGTAATCACGTAACTTTTGAGGACACATGGAATAATTGGCTTGCAAAAAGGTTACAAAGGAGGAAAGTTTAGGGGGTTAGACAATACGTTTTCAAACAGAGCTGTGTCGTGGGAAACCATAACAGTGGCGTATGTTGTCTATATCTACAGACTGTGCTGTTATGCATCGACAACAATTGGTGCAAAAGAGGCCAAGAGGAGAAAATGACTCTCTTTTGAATCAAATAATTTCAATTTTAAGTTTTTTTGTATTGAAACTACCTCATCTTTGAATAGTGGATGTGCTGGTTTGATGATTAGAGCTCCAATGAATTCCTCTTACTGTATGAAAGTCCCAGTGCCTCGGGTCCTCATCTCACATTACAAGGGCTACAATCTTACTGCTATTAATTATTATTAGTGGTAATAAAGAGGCACCAAAAAGTGTATAGGTTATTGCTTTCTATCGTGTTTTTTTCTGATTACTATGGCACTAAACTTGACCATATTTGACAGAATATTTTATTCTTCTACTGCACTTTTCCCTACTTCTATGACACAGATTGGGATCCTCCAAACCCAATGAACCAGAAACAAGGAGGGGTTTTTTGAGTCAAGGAAGCTCCCATTTCATTGGACCTAGCAAAAGTAAAGACTTTTTACGCATGAAAGATGACGAGGTTATTTTAGATTCAGTCAAAATTTGAGATCTATAAAAATACTACACCCCAAAATATTTTTAATTTGTGTTGTAGAAAGTGCGAGCATTAGCAAAAGCACAGTTTTTGTTACCTACTTTGCAAAAACAAAGAAGTAAAAACTATTTGTAATGCTTTTGCATTTGCAAACAAATGTTATTATGTCATTCACATGTCATGTCTTGTGCCAAATACTTTGTTAAATATTGAAATGAGAATTTTAGCTTTCATCTACTTTGAGAAGAACAACCATTTCATTGTCATTACCAAAACAAATTTATAGTAATTTCTTCATTTGAGGGGTGCCATAATGTATGTCTTTTTTAATATGTGGAACTGTCATGATATAGGTTCATTTCCCATTTTTATTTTTTGACCCTTGTATCTGTAAGTAGCTACTTCATGTAGTCTAATTCCCTGTTTTAGTTCTTGTCTTCAGTCCCAGTTTGGTTACTCTGGATTTTAATTTTGCAGTTGCTTTTATTTAAATGTATGTTTAAAGTTCATATTTTAGAAGCGTTGGAGGCTAACTGAAGCAATTCTATTCATACGTAAAGCACGTCTCATTGGCCATGTGATTATCTGGATCAATTATAGACAAGTTTAGAGCCATGCTGTAGGTTAAAAAAAGTTTATCTTATCTTATCCTCTTGAATACTTAAACGCTTACATTGCCCGAGCAATAGCAAGAGGCAAATCCATCACCAAATATATTATATATATATATATATATATTATATATATATTGTTAACTCCATTGACATAATTATATATATATATATATATATATATTATATATATATATATACACACACACCGGAATATTCGCATCTTGAGTATGGAATGTGGAGAATGTATAGACACTTTACACTTCTATCTTACTGGAACTGCTTTGTCCAGTTTGAAATCCATGTAAAATATGTGTCTACCCCAATGTTAGACTACTTTATTTCACTTAAGCTATGATGGAAGTGTTAAAAAGTCACTAAATGTTCTATTGTATTTTCTGACTAGAGCGGAGAGGAAGAGAGGGGGAGCGGGGGGAGGTTGTGTGGGTGTGGGGGGGGGGAGTGTGCGAGGAGATAGAAATGGAAAAGGAAGAAAAAATTACCAACGTGATTTGACCTGTTGCAGCAGTCCTAATTTCCACTGTTCCTAAGTCTGGAAAAAAATGCAACATACAAAAACATGTAGCCTTCAAGCACCAGGTAACAACAGTTGGTTCTCGTGTGTGGACTCCCAAAAGCTTCACCACTTTTTAGCACGCGACAAGACTGACAACAGGGATAAAACAAAAACAGCAGGTGTCAATGGATGTGCGGATGTATGGGAGACGAAAATGCATGATCTACTATCCATCCATATCCATCGACAATGTAAAGGGGGGAGTACACGAAGTATGTTGGAAAACTGAATGAAAATGGACGGACTTATCATCAGTTTAGGCGTAGGTAAAGTAGGGTAAGGGCGACTGACAAGGGCCACAAGCTGAATAGCTGGAGAGTAGCTTCAGTGACAGACTTATTCACCCTCGCCGTGTGAATGAGCAGTTTCGCAGGTTGAATAATGGAAGAGGAGATGGTCACATAAACAAGAAAACTTCTATTGTGAAAAATCTTGAGGAATAAAACTACTGGTAAATCTAATTGGGAGAATTTTTTTATAAAAGGCAGGAAAGGGCTCAGTCCAAGATATTATAGTCTGAGTATTCCCGGGAATACTCCAGGTAAACTGAGGGAAAAAAAAGACTTTTTTAGCTTACAATAAATACATATTCTTGAAGCTACACCTATGACAATGACAATGAATGGTAGGAGTTTTCTTTGAGTCAAAATGCAGAACTGGTTGGACTCTGGGTTGGACCCAGGGTCTGACTCGGGGTCGGACAGGGGGTCGGTCGGAAAGGGGGTCGGACAGGGGCGTGAGTGAAGCACAAGTTTAAACAAGGGAATGCTTTTCGTCATGATTAACATGCAGCCCACAGCTCTGTGTAGACACGAAAGTGGTTTGTCTGCCACTTGTTCCACAATCCAATATTTCAAAATGATGCAGCAGAAATGCCAGACCCCGCCCCAAAACTGAGGGGTCATTTTGAAATCACGAGCCATTCCTTTGTAAACACATCGGTCCTCTATACGATTCAAATACACACGACCCAAAAATGACACGTCCAGTATTGATTTGACATCAATGACTTTCAGTGAGTGCAGGGTTCAACGACCGATGTCCATCCTCCACAATCAAACCATGCGCACAGAAGTTAGGACTGATTTAGACCAAACGACGACGAGGCAAGCGACAACGAACAGCAAAAATAGCTTCTGTGTTCACTTAAAATATACACAAATAGACAGACCGCCTTATGTAATACCAAGAGGTAGCAGAGAGTATTTTGGAAGACTTTGACTCAAGAATAGATAACGGTCGTAGCATTAACTGTATCTCAATTTATGGTTAATAATATAGTAAACCAAAAAAGATTGGAAAGTAAAAGGTAAAGAACTAAAAAAGGTATTGATAACACACAGGTGGTCTGACTTGCCAAACAAACCCATAAAATGATTTTTTTGTATTTTCTTCCACAATTTTAAATTGTTTCACCAACCAGAGATTTCACCAACATCATGTAGCATCCCTGGATAACAAAGCCTATGTTTTGTTGTTAAATATTACCAACGGTGGAGTACTCAAATGGTATACTATTTCATGAATGTAGCAGAAGGTAGTTCTGTCTCTGTAATTATGTTGTAAATATAGATATCAATCAACAGTTCGCTTACTGTATTTTAAAATACGATTATAGAGCTATATCATCTAAGAAACAACAAGTACAATACTAGTTCAAAGTCTCAAAATTTTTTATTGGCTCAACAATGGCAACAAAATGAAAGAAATGCTCCTTTATTGATTGAACCTATTTATTAATATTGAAATAGGAAGCAGGTTATTTGTCATTTTATAAATCTTGAAGGAAGATACTCCTGCAACAGGCTGGAGACCCCTCAAACTTAAGTTGTTCGGCCCCATTTAGATGGAGACGCTGCAACACTATCGTGCCCTTTTGTTTCTATGGAGACGGTGCCTCAAGTGAAAACGGTGAGAAACAGCCTCCGGAGTGGAACAGAGCAGTGTGAATTCTCTGCTGCGATGAACTCAGCACTTCCCCCACATACATTTGGACATGCGCAGTAGAACGTAAACAACAATGGCGGCGAGTCGACTAATGCTACGTGTGCTTTGCTAACGGAGGAGGATTCTACTTCTTCGTCCAAACCAAACCACAGCTGTAGTTTCCCTTTCCATGCTGTTAAAGAATGATGTTGGTTCTTTCCTGTCTTTGCGGCGGCCAGAGGAGGATGTTGTTGAGGAAGTGGTGCTACTGCTGAGATGATGTTGTAAAGTTCCACTGCCCCTACTGGCCGAGGGCTAGAAATACATCGTTTTTCTCCATCTAAACACTGCAATTTGAATAAGGAGCCTGGTCGTTTTTACCAATTGCTTTTTGCAGCGTCTCCGTCTAAAAAGGTCTTCTCTCAAAGTTATGAGCCATTTCTAAACTCAGTGGATAATTAAAATGAGAGGAAGGCTTTGTTTTGTTTGGTTGAAATTATGTCTCTATAAACAATTAGATATACCAATACATATATAAATAGTGATACTTTCGCTATCATTTCTCAGCAGCCAAAACAAACCCAATAACGTCCTCAACAATCTACAAATGTATGCAATATTTCTAAGACAGATTTTAACCACCCAAGCCCCTGTGCTGTAAATACATTAGAAGTCGCCATCGTCTGAGACACCTGCAGATGACTTGCACAGGTTATTTTGAGCCAATAGCAGTGAGTGTATGTGTGTGTGTGTGTGTGTGTGTGTGCGCGCTACAGAGGCCAAGGCTAAGCTATGTGGCATCCTGATAGGATTAGATCAAGACGTAAACACCACCAACTCCTATTAAACGGCTGAGGGAATAAGCCACACAAGCCGCTGCAACAATGAAATACCAGAAACGCCTTGACCGAGTTCCACTTACAAGACAAGAAACAATAGGAAAAGTAGCATTAGCATGAGGTTAGCATTAGCATGAGGTCAAAAGCAGTTCTGTGTAGATACTTGACAACTACATACAAGAACCACATTGGCCAGAACAGAACAAGAATAAAAAAAACAACTTTAAATTTAAATTTAATTTGCACCTTGGTGGAGACCTGGTTTTCCAGCTAAAAATATGGCTAAACTTGCTCCTTTCCCTGGTTTTCCGTCTTCAAATCTCACTCATGACATCAGATTTTCACCTCTGTGTGTTTGATTTGATAGATATATTGATGTTAAAATTGTACTGTACCTGATTGAAAGCAGCTTTTCTAATAATTCTACATAGTGAAAAGAAACTGTGCATTTACCTTTATCAAAGACGTGCAAACGATGGCGCCGGCGTTCACCATAGGGTTGTGGGGTTTGTCTAAGGAAAAAAAGATTGCGAATTAAAAGTGATTTAAAAGAAAATACTAGGACCCTAAGTCATAACTCGACTTCAGGTTAGGATCAGTCGCTGGGTAAATATATCTCCATTTAATCACTTCTTCACACAATACAGGAGTTGAAAATGACATGAAATTATCAGCAAATATTGGTTAGTAAAGTAGATAAATACCATAGTTGACCTAGTCCTCTGCTGTACCATCAGAGGAAATTACAGAGTAGAAATGGAAAAATGACTCTTTGGCATGTGACCTCTAAAGCAAAACAATGCATTCTTTTCAGTTTTGAATTTTTGCCAGTGATGTCTGACTCACCCTCACACGTGAGCCGTGTCACAACTAGACGTTGCATAATATAGATTTATTTCAATGGTTTAGACGGGAGCAGTTGGAGTGAGCGTCGATGTGAAAGTTCAGACTGAAAAAAATGTGCAGTTTCCATGGACAACACAACACAACTCTGACTCGACGTGAGCTTTGTGAAGTTCCGAGGCTTTTCTCATGACTCACTGCAGACACTTCCAACAGTATTCTCAGCATTTGTCTCTGAAATTGTAACTGTTCGTTCAAACTCTGAAGTTTAAAACATCTGTGACAATGAAGCAATATCAGCATTTTCTTTACAATTCTAATACTGAAATGTACCAAAGCTTATGTTGTATTTTTGAGAGTAATAATAATTGAAAAACTATAATGTTTCAAATATTTTTTAACACCTTTTATATTCAAAACAATACTCCATTTCAAGCTGACATATTTTAAATAGAAATTCATTTGTAAATACATATTGTAGAACACACGGTGAAACTAGGGCAAATACTGTTATGCATATACTGTACAAACAGAAGGCAACATGTATGAAAGTCATGTGAACTAAGGAATGTTAATATTGTAAATACTTATGACTGATTTTTATTAATTAGAGCATAACTTTTACAATCAAAAAAATAAAAAAAATCCATTACTATCAATCTTTAAGGCATATAGGAGGATTTTCTACTTCTTGGTGGATCATCAAGACTATTGGTCCTCCTATTTGTCAATCATTCTAGTCACATCGACAAATGAGACCAGAGAGTTTTGATCAAAAATTTAAGAAAGTGGTTCTTTCCTAAAGTTTGTGAAAATCCTCCAATATAACTTTAAGACAGTTACTTAATTTTGAGTTGAGTGTTTTTATGCGCGTATGTCTGGACTCACCTTCTTCATTAAGGAAGAGCTTGTTGAAGCGCAGGCCGCTGGGCTCTTTGCCAATGAAGCTGTGGACGTACTCTGTGCCGTGGTCGTGCACCGCCACAGCGTACTTCAGAGGCTTGACACACGACTGGAGACAGAACGGGACCTTTGTGTCTCCCACGGTGTGTCTGCAGAGAACAGGACCTTTAGGCTTAAGGTCCACTTCAGACCCGGTTCAGACCCGGTTCAGACCTTGTTCAGACCTTGTTCAGACCTTGTTCAGACCTTGTTCAGACCTTGTTCAGACCTTGTTCAGACCCGGTTCAGACTTGGTTCAGACCCGGTTCAGACCTTGTTCAGACCTGGTTTATTAGTTTCAGTTTTAGTCTGCCTAGTTACTCGACAACTTACAAACAGTACTACCGGTATTTTAGTTTCATTCTGACCTCTTGATTATGATGAATGTAATTTTTTATTATTGTGGTTGTAAAAAAGGAAAACTACCAACAACTTTATATTTTATATTGACAACTGCAAATCATGTTTATCAATGAATAATTATATGAACAATAATGAATAACCAATACATCTGGCCTATAGTTACGGGCGGCACGGTGGCTGAGTGGATAGCACTCTCGCCTCTCAGCAAGAAGGTCCTGGGTTCGAATCCCGGCCGGACCAGGGCCTTTCTGAGTGGAGTTTGCATGTTCTCCCCGTGTCTGCGTAGGTTTCCTCCGGAGTACTCCGGTTTCCCCTACCACTAAAAATATGTACAATAGGACTGGCATGTGCCTCCTGTTCGGCGACCCCGCTCCCATCTCTGTGTGGAGTGAGAGACAAGTGCCCAAAAATAACAATTGTAAACCGCTTTGTGACTCTGGTCTGTGAACGGCGGTATATAAATAAAGCTTACTTACTTATAGTTAAAGGCTTAAAAGGTTATTTTAATAAGATAAAGTAAAGAAAGCTCGTACTGCTTAATTACCTACCTGCTTAACGAACCTTCTAAGCCTCAAACATAAAAACAAAATGATCTTCTTACATTTAAATGGCCAATAGTTTGTCTCTTGGAAATGTACAAAACAAGTAAAACTTTCCACAAAAGTGAATCATGCTAATAAACACCACAGTATATAACTATGTGTAACAGGAAGTCATGGAGATAACACTAAAGTGAACAGTAATCCACAGATAAGCACTGTTTATAAATCATATCTAGTTCAATCAATCGATCAACTTTTATTTGTAAAGCATTTTTCCTATACGAGGCAAATCAAAGTACTTCCCAAACCACATCACATCAGGTATAAATCATAAATATGAAAACATACAATTAAAATCCCACAGGGCTTAAATTAGTTCTAGTTTGTTTTGTAAAAGTTAATTTGCACTTTCACAGAGGCGTCATGTGGAGAACAAGTTTCACTGTCACACAATGACAGTATTCGGCCCCCTTGAACCTTTCAACATTTCGCCACATTTCAGGATTCAAACATAAAGACATAAAAAATATTTTTTTTGTCAAAAATCAACAACAAGTGGGACACAATCGTGAAGTGGAACGAAATTTATTGGATAATTTAAACTTTTGTAACAAATAAAAAACTGAAAAGTCGGGCGTGCAATATTATTCGGCCCCCTTGCGCTAATACTTTGTAGCGCCACCTTTTGCTGCAATTACAGCTGCAAGTCGCTTGGGGTATGTCTATTAGTTTTGCACATCGAGAGACTGGAATTCTTGCCCATTCTTCCTTGCAAAACAGCCCGAGCTCAGTGAGGTTGGATGGAGAGCGTTTGTGAACAGCAGTCTTCAGCTCTTTCCACAGATTCTCGATCTGGACTTTGACTTGCCCATTCTAACACCTGGATACGTCTATTTGTGAACCATTCCATTGTAGATTTGGCTTTATGTTTTGGATCATTGTCCTGTTGGAAGATAAATCTCCGTCCCAGTCTCAGGTCTTTTGCAGACTCCAACAGGTTTTCTTCCAGAATGGTCCTGTATTTGGCTCCATCCATCTTCCCATCAATTTTAGCCATCTTCCCTGTCCCTACTGAAGAAAAGCAGGCCCCTGGTCTTGGTAGATTTGCAGTGGTCTGATACTCCTTCCATTTCAATATAATTGCTTGCACAGTGCTCCTTGAGATGTTTAAAACTTGGGAAATCTTTTTGTATACAAATCCGGCTTTAAACTTCTCCACAACAGTATCTCGGACCTGCCTGGTGTGTTCCTTTGTCTTCATGGTTCTCTCTGCGCTTTAAACAGAACCCTGAGACTATCAAAGAGCAGGTGCATTTATACGGAGACTTGATTACACACAGGTGCATTCTGTTTATCATCATCAGTCATTTAGGACAACCCCGCTCCCATCTCTGTGTGGCGTGAGAGGACAAGTGCCCAAAAAATAACAATTGTAAACCGCTTTGTGACTCTGGTCTGTGAAAGGCGGTATATAAATAAAGCTTACTTACTTACTTACTTACTTACATTGGATCATTCAAAGATCCTCACTGAACTTCTGGAGTGAGTTTGCTGCACTGAAAGTAAAGGGGCCGAATAATATTGCACGCCCCACTTTTCAGTTTTTTATTTGTTAAAAAAGTTTAAATTATCCAATACATTTCGTTCCACTTCACGATTGTGTCCCACTTGTTGTTGATTCATGACAAAAAATTAGATTTTTATATCTTTATGTTTGAAGCCTGAAATGTGGCGAAATGTTGAAAGGTTCAAGGGGGCCAAATACTTTCGCAAGGCACTGTCGTTTAAAAGAGCGAGAAACACCCTCAAATCCCAAAAACTACAAATGTGGAAAGAAAAAAATGATTTAAAATGTTGCATGTGATAAACATAAAAAACAAACTAAAATAGTTTGTGTCTGAAATAAACTGTCCCATTTATTAATTTACCCTAACCAGTAACCCTAACTACAAATTGACATTAGACACATAAAAACAGCTGACGTCGCACTAGACTTTACTGTTTGTCATTGCTTTTTTGTTGATTTTTTTGTAAATTCTCAATAAAAGGAGAATAAAACCCAAAAAATATTTTAAATACAAAAAAGTGGCCCCAGAGAGAGACAGTGAGAGAGAGACCGACAGAGACAGAGAGAGAGATGGGAGTGGAGTGTAGGTGTATGTAATGGGGGACTGTTGTACATATTATTAGTAGTGGCAGAAATTCTAGCAACAGGAAGAAACCTATGCAGACACAGAGAGAATATGCAAACTCCACACTGTATAGAGTCACCCACATACTCCACATGTCTCACCTCTGTCCGTCCACCGTGCACAGAGACACGCCCCACAGGTCTGGACTGAACTTTGCCAACTGAGGAATGTAGTCTGCCACCTGAAGAAGAGACAAGAATTATTTACTAAAAATAACATAAATTGTGCTTATTTTTTTTTTTTAAGTAAATAGTACTTGAAATTAGGCCTGTCACGATTACAAATGGTGCTGGACGATTAATTGTCTCAGAAATGATTGCGATAAGCGATAATATTGTAGTTCTGAGATCCATCCATCCATCCATTTTCTTCCGCTTTATCCGTTGCCGGGTCGCGGGGGCAGCAGTCTAAGCAGAGACGCCCAGACTTCCCTATCCACACACACCTCCTCCAGCTCGTCCGGGGGGACCCCAAGGCGTTCCCAGGCCAGCTGAGAGACATAGTCCCTCCAGCGTGTCCTAGGTCTTCCGCGGGGCCTCCTCCCGGTGGGACGTGCCCGGAACACCTCCCCAGGGAGGCGTCCAGGAGGCATCCGGAACAGATGCCCGAGCCACCTTAACTGGTTCCTCTCGACGTGGAGAAGCAGCGGCTCTACTCCGAGCTCCTCCCGTGTGACTGAGCTCCTCACCCTATCTCTAAGGGAGCGCCCAGCCACTCTGCGGAGGAAGCTCATTTCGACCGCTTGTATCCGCGATCTCGTTCTTTCGGTCATTACCCAAAGCTCATGACCATAGGTGAGGGAGGGAACGAAGATTGACCGGTAAATCAAGAGCTTTGCCTTTCGGCTCTGCTCCCTCTTTACCACAACGGTCCGATACAGCGACCGCATCACTGCGCACGCTGAACCGATCCGCCTGTCAATCTCACGCTCCATTCTTCCCTCACTCGTGAACAAGACCCCGAGATACTTGAACTCCTCCACTTGAGGAAGGACCTCTCCACCCACCTGTAGAGGGCAAGGCACCTTTTTCCGGTCGAGCACCATGGCCTCGGATTTGGAGGTGCTGATTCTCATCCCAGCCACTTCACACTCGGCTGCAAACCGCCCCAGTGCATGCTGCAGGTCCTGGTTCGTTGGAGCCAACAGGACAACATCGTCCGCAAACAGCAGAGATGAAATCCTGTGGTCTCCGAACCGGACCCCCTCCGACCCCTGGCTGCGCCTAGATATTCTGTCCATAAATACAGTGAACAGAACCGGTGACAAAGGGCAGCCCTGTCGGAGGCCAACATTCACCGGGAACAGGTCTGACTTACTGCCGGCAATGCGAACACAGCTCTGGCTCCGGTCATACAGGGATCGGATGGCCCTCAGCAGAGGACCTCCGACCCCGTACTCCCGGAGAGTTCTGAGATCATTTTCATCTAATACAATGATAATGATTCAGGTACACCTTTTCAAAGACAAATACACTTTTATTTTTAAAAGGCTTTTTACTTCCGCTACTTACGGCGCTAGTTTAGTCACTACTAGAGCCTGAATGAGAACAAATACTGTGTCGCCCGTTGTCAATCCAGGTTAAGTCCTGGTTTAGTCCTGGTTAAGGTCCTGTTTTGGCTGTATTTTGTATTTTTGAGTTATTTTAGTCTGCTTGCTAGACCGCTAATCTTCCCGTGACCACTTTACGGCTCTCTGACCCAAGAGAGAGAGGGAGAGAGAGACGGGAAAACAAACAAGCATGCAAATGGAATTTATCGCGACCAGGAAAATGATCGAGCTCATTTAAATTATCATGCGATTAATTGAATTATTGAATATCGCGACAGGCCTACTTGAAATGTATGTTTTTAAACTAGAATCAAATCATTTGGGGCTCGTATTATTTTCAGAAATCTTGTCAAGTCATATTTTGTTCTACTTTTTCCAGTGTGTAGTATAAATACATGTTAATGGAAAGCACGGACAGAAACCTCTTAGTAAAACACACTTTTATCTATAACTGTCTTACTTATATATAAACTGTCTGTTTTAAAACTCTACATGTTGGAATGTACTGATCCACATCTTTTGTCTTGTTGCGTGCCGTCAGTCTGCTTTAGTCTCCTGTATTTCTTGTTGATAGCCTATATAATAACAACTGTTTTATTGACTGTCTTTATTGCTTTGTAAACACTGTTTTTGAGTGCTATAAAACTTCCACTTCCATTTTGATTTGATTTTAACTTTTGTGTTTTAGAAATTATTTAGATTTTTGTTATGACCCTTGACCCGTTTCCACCGAGAGCTGAAGCCATTTCCTATAGTCTGACTTCCTGTAATTTACATGGCGATGAAAAAGATGTGGTGAAGCAAGAGCAAATACTGCTGCTTGTTTATATATTTATGTTTATATATTTGCATGAGTACATACTGTAAGCACTGAAGGCAACATGTACAAAAGGTCATGTAAGCTATGCAAATACTTATGAATGTAAAATTTCTGCTCAAATTAATATTGCTGAGTTTAAATCCATAAATAATCTTGAGTTTTCATTATGTTTGACTGTTTATTCCACATCTATAAAAAACACAGGGGCAAAAACAAACAGCTCATGTTTCAGATTTGCTCCCTAAAGCCTGGTTCACACGAGACGATTTTAAAATTGTCGGCCGATTTTTCTCTGTGTGAGACCCCACACAGGGAGATAAAAAATCACGGGTCTAACCACTTTGGTCGTACAGTGTGTGGTGCGCAGCCACACGGCAAAAATCACGCAAACCACACACGAACCGATTCCCCCGAGTATTCACAGATCAGACGGAAATCTCAGGTCTCGCGAGATCAAGTGTGACTTCAGAGTAAACACACATGGCGGACGAAGAGGATGCATTGGCGATAGTTTGTTTTTATCGGAGAAAAGACGTAATCAAAAGAAAAGGCGATGGTCAAAGAAGTGTAGACAACACGAGCATGGACTATACTTGCTACATCGTGATATGGAGGCGTTTCCTCACCGCCTCGTCTCGTCTTCTGATTGGCTACACGCCGCAGTCATGGCAACGCGCACGTCTGTCCTCGGGGGACACCACACACGAAGAGAAATTGGGCCAAAACAATCCAACATCCCGATGTCCTTCCGAGCGACGAGTGCAGTCTTAACACACCACACACGGCAGGATAATCTGTAAGATTTTGTTACGGAAATCGGAGCGTTTCTTAAGATTGTCGTAAGGGGTAAATTGGGTCTAAATCGGCCTAAATATCCTGCCGTGTGAACCAGGCTTAAGGTGCCTCGAGTTATTTTAAGACTTCTGTCGTGATGTATTATGCATGTTTCCACTGCTGCTCCTCCCACAGATCAATATTTGGGAAACCGTTTCTCTGCAAGTATAGTCTATGGACAATCTGCATTTAGGACTGTAGATTTCAAAAACGTTAAGTACTCGCCGATACCGAACACCGATGCGAGTACTGTATTGTGTTATCTCTTCGAATTCATAAAACTAATACAACTGAAATTTTAAATGTCTTTATTTCTCATTTGAACAATAAGGTGCTAGCTCCGGTGTTAGCTCCGGTGTTAGCTCCGGTGTTAGCTCCGGTGTTAGCTCCGGTGTTAGCTCCGGTGTTAGCTCCGGTGTTAGCTCCGGTGTTAGCTCCGGTGTTAGCTCCGGTGTTAGCTCCGGTGTTAGCTCCGGTGTTAGCTCCGGTGTTAGCTCCGGTGTTAGCTCCGGTGTTAGCTCCGGTGTTAGCTCCGGTGTTAGCTCCGGTGTTAGCTCCGGTGTTAGTAAGAGTACCAACTTTAGTATAATTCTTGTTATATGCTTAAGTTATGCGTCCCACAGTTTGAGACAAATACTAAATCTTAATTTAAAAAATTCTGCATTTGTTCTATATTGTCTGTAAATTTCTCCCACGGTGTGTGCAGTTCGGCTCGATGTACAATGTGATCGAGGCCTTCTGCTCTGGTTTGTTCGACAGAATCAGGAGCCAGTTCGTCGCACACTTTCCTTTGTTCTTGTGAATGTGGCAATGGTGTAGGTTTGATTCCAATCTTGGTGGGGACATTCACTACGACCTGAGTCTACACCCATTGACACGGGGTCCAGAGTTTCTCCCCCAGAATTTGTTGTGTAATCACACACTATATTTGCAATAGTGTGTTGCCTTCTATACTAAACTCAGCTGTAGACTGAATGAGAAGCAGTTAAGGATTTTTTCTAATAGTTAAAACAAAATCAATTGGATCAGAGCTTCTGAGTTTTGTGTTGCGTTCATTCTAACTTTGTCCACAAGATGGCTTAAATGTTAATAGTAAATATAAATAAAAATAGTAAATATAAAAAAAAAAATAGTAAATAAGATAGTAAATATATCCTGTATTCAGGATCAGGCTGATATGGTTTACAACCTATCTCAAATATGCTGTCCCTGGCACTTTCTTGAGAGTGACTCTCATTGGCTGCCTCCTAAATAGCAAATACACTGTTATGAAACTTTAAAAAATGCCATATTTTATCTTCATAATTCCAGCCTCACCTGAAGCCCAGCTTCGATATCTGCCTGCACTACATCTTCCCTGAATACCTGAGTTCCCTATAATAAATAAAACACATGTAGTACATTAAACAAATCAGATCTAATCATATACAAAATAAAACCACCAACCAAACCAAATAAATACTTTCAACCTCACCTGAAGCCCTGAAGGTCCAGCCACTTCCTCATCCTCTCCCAGCACTGCACATTCCCTGTTTGTCTGACTTTCCTTTATGGTATCAATAAAAACACACATTCTACATTGAATAAAATGAAACCTAGGCATGGTACACCAGTCGCTAAATATCTCATGAAACTAGAATTGGTTGATGGGTCTAAGATTATAACTGCTTAATCCTAACCTCACCTGGAGTCCTGTCTTGTCCTTGTCTTTATCTCCTTCTTGAATTTCCATTATATCTCTCAGAGTGTCCTATATTTAGTAAAAGATTTCAGACAACACTTTTTGCATCATTATAGTAGTAAAATATGTTGTAATTGGCATAGGTAATTTCCAACCAAATGATGTTCTTTAACTTTAGTATGATTCTATACTGAGTTAAACCTAATCCAAATCTACATAATAGCCCTCACCTGAGGCTCTAACAGTTCAGGAACTGCTCTCGATACTTGAAATAAATCATGCTCTGATTTTTCAATTTCCTATAATAAATAAAAACAGAGGAGAAAATATTGAATTAGAATCTACAGTGAGTAGCTCACTACATTGTTTGACATATACGATCAATCTCTAAAAACAATTCATAGTCCCATGCATACCTACAAAATTCCAACCTCGCCTGATGCACTGAAGGGCCTGTTGCTTCTACCTCAACATTCCCTATATTGTTCTCTCTTGTTGGTTGAGTTTCCTATGTATGTTAACAGAAGATTAATCATCACAATTCATAATTTGCTATTACTTGTGCTTTCTCTTACTTACTTTCCAACTGTTAAAAAAGCTCCTGATATCTTTTATCTTTTTTTGTGGAGGTGGCATTTTTTCTAAATTATATAAGAAGGTATAGACAATCAAAAACAGACATTCATATACATGAACTGCAGAATCATGTATATAACTTGGCCAATGTCAAAAGTTACATAGTATTTCTCAATACAATGAGTTAACAAGAGTTTGGCAATAAGTAACAGTGTCGAATTTTCTATATTTTCTTTTTTTTATTCCACTCTCTACCCAAAAAGGCAAGTAATGACTCACAGGGCTCTCAAGTATGCAAAATAAAAACTTAAATGACCTGTTGTGGTGTGTTTTGCGCACAACCAGCATACATCGTTAACGCAATGGAAAATTTAGGTATCCGAGCTTTAATTTCGGGAGCGCTGGTTGCGCTTTGGGAAGAGTCAGGGGAGAGACATGTCAGAGACACAGGGGAGAAACGCGGGAGATACGAGGGAGACCCGCACTTGCAACATGGTTCTGTCTGCATATGGTCCGAGCTCGGTACCATGTTAGAGCTGTGCTTTCACTGAGCGCCGTGGCTGTCATTACAAAGCGGCAGCAGCTGCACCAGGACGTGCACATTCGAGTGCATCGCTTGAATGTGCTTAGAGCAAATAACAGCAAGTGCCCGCTGTCACACATTTCACAGAAATTACATTATCAGCAGATAAAGGTTGTAAATCGTGGATCCGTGGAATATTTTCATCCCTAGTTTATCCTGATTCACACAACACACCCACTTATACATTTTGGATAGTAAGAGCACAATAAGTATTTTTTCAGCCTTTCAACCAACCTGTTTCTTTATTGGAGCCAGTTCTGTTCTGTCTCTGTGCCGTGTGAGCTCCTCGGAACATTAAACAGTGCGCTGACAGATTAGAAATAACGTAAGTACTTTGAATGGTAATAGATCTACAGTACTTTCCTCTGATTACTCACGTGCTACAACGCTCAGGGAACGAAAAAAAAACACTTGCTTCACGCTGGCTAACTTTTAAAAATTAAACAGTCGCTCAGTGCTTCAGTTTGGCGCTGAAGAAGACAGCCAATCACTGCAGAGAACGGAACGGGTCACGTGCTGCTGCTGCTGCTGTTGCTCTGGAGGCGAGGAGGAGGCGCGACGTATGCACAAACGGAAGACATGTGTCCCGGACCGTCCGGGTCACGGGACATCATGTCATTTTGGTGGGGACTTTTTAGTCCTCACCAAATATTGGTGGGGACATGTCCCCATGGTCCCCACGCAAACCTACGCCCTTGGAATGTGGAAATATGAAAAGTCTCTAACAGGATGAGATGCCAGTTTCTAAGCAACAACGACCTCATCAAAAGCAAGTAAGATCTTGTACTGTCTTTGCACACACACACTTACACAACCCTCCTCAATCAGTGTGTGTGCGTGTTTTGTGTGTGTGTGTCTACATTATTAACCCTCTATGCACATGGTTCATTTTGGGGAACTTTTCTCGCCTGGTTTTCTTTGTGTATAATTGTTCATAAAACAGTCATCTTTTGATGCAGAGTCAAGCAGTATACTTTGTTTTTTTCAGTACAACCTGGGGTTTTAGAATATTCATATTGTAAAGCTGTCATATGAATTATATACAAATTGTGGAATCATGAAGACAAAGAAAAAAATCAAACGGAAAATCAATTTAACAAAAATGTTTTGAAAAAACACAATGAAATGCTATAAACAACTTTTTACACTGCATAGAAATGTTATTTATGGTCTTGGGGATAATGGGGAAAAAAATTTAATCTCTAACTATTATACTTTTTACAAAATTCCACTATAAAAGCAAAAAACTCTGTACTCCTGATGCCCTTCCGAAAGCAGTTTGTCTATAATGCTGGGGTTGCTTCGGTAGTACAGCTGTAAAAAACGTAAAACATAAGAAACTGAGCCAAAAAAAAAAAAAAACATATTTATATACATCATATACACATAATGTAATTTTACTGTATTTATTATCAGCTTTATCAATAATGCGTACTCTTCAGCCGGTTATTGCAATCACAGCTGTAGTTTCAACTGTGGGACAACAAGTACAGACAGAGGAGTGAGAGATCTCACTCTCTGACGATCTTTGGCAGTCCCCGTGTGTTTGTATCTCACAGCTGTTTGTACCTCACGGGTCACGCTTTGGACACGGACTTTCAGACAAACGTAGTTTATCCTACGTGCATCGCACAGACAAATCAAAACTAGTTTCGGAAAGCCCTGAATGTGTACTTTACAGAGGAAAAAAAAGTAAGTTGCTACGTTTTACCGTTCGCGAGTAAATTAATCATTTGTAAAACATGTGCATCGGCACCGATGCACGCGGGCATATAGGGTTAACTGTACTTTGTGGTATCTTTTTTTCTTCATCTCTTTATTATTATTATTTATGTTGTTATTATTTTATTGATTGTAATATTATTTCCGTGATATGTTTGTTTCAGTCGCATAAGATTTTCAAAGCCAAGTTTGCAGCAAAACAACAAGTCTTCTATCACATGACAGCTGCATAGAGAATTTCCCTCCTCTGTGTGAACTAAAAGCCAGTGTAACTTTGTCATGTGACCAACTTCTGTTATTTGAATTTCAAATACTTATATAATATACAGTAATGAAAACAGGTCTAATAGACTTTTACCATGCAGCAAACAAAAGCATGTGATGTCTTCTTTAAATATTAGTATTAAAATTAGTAATTTAAATAAGTCAGTATTAATACAAATCCAGATTTTGTTGCCAGAATTTTTGTGAAAACAATGCAGGATTCTGAGTCATGTGTCAATAAAACTACATCAATGAATGAGGCTCTTTGATGGAGGGGCAGAGGCTCTTGTGTGGTGTGGTCAGATATTCCAAGGGCCTCACCTGTCCTCCATCCAGTTTCCCCGCGCTCTCGTACAACTCGTCGATGTGCGTCGTGAACAGATGGAAATCCGGAATCACAAACTTCTTCCGGAAAGCCTGAGTCAGGAGAACTATGTTGCTCTGGACACATCTGCAACGAAACAGGGAAAAGTCATATCTGGGTGACGGTTACAGTCAAAGTCATGTCAAAATTATATATTTTTGAGTCATTTTACTGTTTAGTCTGGTCTTATTATACCATTGTACTCATTTCATTTTGTACCAAGGTCTGGATTTGCTCCATTGAGCTTTGTTAATAGGAGGAGTTATTTCCTTTTGTAGATTGAAACGATTTACCGCGACGTATGTAATGCGGCCGAGTGAGGCATGTTAAGTACGTCCCAATTATCACCCTAGCCCTTCAAAAGGTAGCCTTGCCCTAGAATTGGTTTCGTGCTCGCAGGTGTTGTAGGGTGTCCCAATACAGAGGGACACCCTACAGAGCAGAGGCGAGGGCACTCACACCCTTACAAAACGTCCCTTGAGGGTGATCCCATGATGCACACGTGTGTGCGTGATATAGAGCAGTCCTGTACCAAATTATAGCTATTCTTCTACGTATGAAATACAATTAACTCATTGTGTGGCATTGACGCACAAATACGTCAATTGCCTTTCCCGCTATTTTCATGTTCCCAGATGTCTATTGTATCTAATATGTAAGGGGATTGGCTTGAGACCATATTTTATCGAGCCAGCAGGTGGCAGCATTGCTCTCTGAATGGTTTGAAAACAGCTAGATGCACATGTTGTGCCTCTTTTTTTTTCAGCTTTCTGGTGATTTCAGTAAAACTTCCCTCTACTCGACTGGGGATTACAGGGGAACGAAACAAGCTAGAAACAAAAATGTTTTTGCTGATGAAAATAGACAGTCCATTCTTTCCACCAGTCCACCAGTCCACTGGTGTCGGATTTCAGATAGTTATAGTACACAATATTCTGTGGGTCTTTAAAAATCAGTAAAAAACCATCAGAAACGGCTGGCAATATGGAAGTACCTGTTCTGAAATGGGCTGGCAGTCGATGAGTTAAAAACGTCTCACATTAATAAAAAAAATTGTCTGGTGAAATCAGACATTGCGTGGCGTGGAACACGTTTTCTGCGTTGATTTGTAAGGTGTCCCCTAGATCGATGGGTGTCCCATTTCTTTAGGGAGAAAATCCTACAAGTGCACTCCCCTATGGGAGGGCCCTCTTCTGTTGAGGGCACTCACAACTCCAGTGCCCTCAGAATTGGAACATGCCCTTAGCCTAGCTTTAGCGATCTCCTTTGCCACCAACAGGGATTGTTTTTAACCAAACTGTAAAGCACTTTGTGTTGCATCTTTTGTATGAAAAGCGCTTTATAAATAAAATTTGATTGATTGATTGATTGAACAGAGCCCGTGGGAAATAGAGCCACATCTTTTCAGCAATTCCTCTTGCTCCTGTTTCAATTTCTTGATATTTGGAGCCAAATCAGAACGGATTACTTTACTATTGTATTCGCCACAGTTGCCAAACCACAACATTTTGGCACTTTAGACACTTGGTTTATAAAATTTGCTAAGATAATTTAATATAAAACTTTACTGATCTCACAACGGAGAAAACATACTAGATAAATCAACAATATCAATAAAGTGGATTGGCTCATAATCTTTTGAATGCATGTTCTTTTAAAAGGGGAAAATAGGAATCATTAAGGAACCTCTCTCATCTCCCGCCTCCTGTCAAATCTAAATGGACTGCCCCGGCCTCTGCACCCAGCCTCTGCACCCAGCCTCTGCACCCAGCCTCTGCACCCAGCCTCTGCACCCAGCCTCTGCACCCAGCCTCTGCACCCAGCCTCTGCACCCAGCCTCTGCACCCAGCCTCTGCACCCAGCCTGTGCCCCAGTCCTCACTTCTTGAACAAGTGTCGGTCCAGTGTGACTCCATCTTCAGTTTGCTTCAGTGTTTCTTTGAGTGTCTCCATACATTCCTTCAGCCGGGGGTCTCCAGTGCGCAGGCCGGTGGTTTTCAGGGCCTAACGGGAGAATATTCAACAGAACACACACACACACACACACACACAGGTTTGAACTCAGCCTCTGATCAAACACTCTTTAATATGAATGAATCTCACAGTCAGGAACTTGTGGGCAGGGATTGTCTCTTGGCCCTCAGCCACTGTGTAGAAAAGCAGGTCCTCCAGACTGGGGAGAATACCTGGATTTCTTCTCCTGTGGAAAGAAACGGCATTTGTTATTTAGTATATACTGCCGATATCGATTGGTGAATTCAATATTTTTGTAAAGACCTCTAAGATGACTACTGTTGTGATTTAGGGATATACAAAAATAGATTGAATTGAATATGCTGAGGCGACGGTGAAGGGCCTCGTTTTTGTGTCAAAGCTTTAAATTCATTCCATCAAATTAGAAAGCAGTGAGGAGGAGACTGAGTAGATCTCACCGGTGCTCGCTTTGGACAAAAATCTCTCTTCACAATTCAAGTACAAACTTTAAGTAAAAAAAACCACTGGGACCTCTACCCCATGAGACTACAGGTGGCATGTTTACATTCATGTTTGCCATGTGCCTGAACCCATTCAAATAAAGAAACAAAACTAATTCGCTCTGCGGCGGGAAGCATTTGCACCTGCTGCAACCGTGTAAACACAGATCACCGGGAGCCATTGCTGAGGCCTTATCACATTAGAGAACGACACACAGGATTCAGTGACACATAGAGGAAATACTTGGCTTGACAGTAAAGCAGAAGCCGTGTGTCCTGTTTCTCTGCCTGTATAAATTACGGATTACGCGGATCACATTACACAACTGCAGAGATTACCTGGCTCTTCAACAACGGTTTTGATTCAGCACAATTGTGGTCATTTTATACGGCAAACGAGGGACAGACTGGGAAATGAGAGTTTATGTATCAGGACCATTGTATAAGCATTGCCTTCAAGAAGAACTGTAATAAGGTCAGGTCGTGTCAAACGAAACCTACAGTGGTACCATCTCTGATTTGAATGAAAATTGAGTGGTATGTATGAATAGTGTTAGGCTGGTCTTACCATACCATCATACTCATTTAATTCCGTACTATGGTCTAGATTTGTTCCATTGAGCCTAGGTTTAGCATTTAGAATAGCTTTACCCATCTTCTCAGCCTGTGGGATGTAGAGCCACAACATCTTTGCCAAATTTGCTAAACATTCCTCTTGCTCCGACTTCAATTTCTTGATAATTGGATCCAAACCAGAACAGATTTTTTTTTTTGCCAAACTATAACCAGCAAATTTACCGCGAACTCTTGTCGTCTCCGACACCTACCTACAACACCCGCACAGAAATGTTCCAAGAGGTGGGACAGATAAAGGATCTTTTAATCCTAATTATTGGGATGTAAATCACTGGAAACCTGGGATCTAGAGTCAAAACAAGGACCAAACTAGTTTATAGGAAATACTACACCAGAGCTCAGAGTTTCAAGAACGAAACCAGGACTACACCAGGTAAAGGACAATTGGTTCATTTATTCTGGGTACAAACTTTTTTTTTTTTACTTCTGTAACTTTTTGCTGCTTGGGTTCCCTTTATCTCCGTCTTGCTGAAGTAGATTGTCTTTCAACAATAACCAAAGCTGTGAAAAGACACAGAATTAGTAACAGGTCTACATTAAGGCTTAACAAGTGGGAAGGGACCACTGTGGGACAATCCAGGTAAAAGTTAGTTGTAGATTTGTCCAATAAAATCTCCAATAAATGAACCTCCTGCCTTATTTTAAATCGCCTTAATTCAATGGAGGAGCAGTGTGTGATAATGCTGCTAGGGCAGACACCCACAGCAGGGTTTTGGCAGGACGTTTAGTTTGGCACCTAAATTCCTGGGATTCTCTGGCCCTTGCATCTGTCGACTTTTGGATTAATTGAATAAACAGAGTGCAGAGTTCACATGGGACTTATGACACAGCAGCAAGGGTCCGCTATGGGACTTACAGAAATCAGTTGGAATAATTATGAAGACACTTGAAATCAAGTTTTGCATTTGTGTTTTGGGGCATCAGTACTCCGATGTTTGGCTATTTAGAAAAGGCTAATCTAAAAGTTATTTAAAAGATTACTTCAATAGATGCCCAAACAAAAGAAAAGATAGAATTAAATATAGAAGGTCAGAAAATCCATATTTAAAATCCTGGTATATGTTAAAGTTGTGGTATCTTACTTCTTTGTTTCATAGGTAATACACTTTCTTTGCCCAAAAAAGAAAGTGTCTTGTAAAACTAACTATCTGTACATAAATCAGACCCCATCACACCATCCTCACTTATGAAAATACATGAATATTTTTGCATACTCTTAATAAACAGCCTTGGAGGTCCCCATTTGATGTTTTGAGCTAAGAGCAGAGTCCTCTCCTTTTCAACCTGTTTTGAGAGCGAGGAACTAGTTACAGATTTTATAACCTGGCTCCATTTCTGTGGCTTGTTTTAGGTATCCAAGCTTTAATTGTCAGTGTTACAGCCGCACCCTTGACAGATTTATCTCCTCCACAGAACATCAGCCAAATCAGCATTTCTAAAGCCGGTCTATTCTCTCTCTTTGGCTTTTTCCTTCTGGTACATCACCTTCTATCTCAGAAGAAAACACTTGACAAATACAAGCAAAGACAACGTTTATTCGAACAAGTGCAAACAGAGCAGGACTGAGTAAAGTGCTGTGCGTCAGGCGTGGGCTAATTGTAACTAAGGCCAGTGTCACTGAAGGGACATCTGTCATTTAAGACTATCCTTCAGAAAACCCACTGGGACGCTGTGGTAAAATGTGTCAAGACCTGAACAGAGAACTGTTTCAGTCGTTGACATTTGCCACCTTCATGAAGAATGCTTTTGCATAAAGAAAGAATGGTAAGAAACAGTGTTCATTCATTGAGGGATGTTTCTTTCAGACAATGTATTCAAATTTTCCCAAAAATGTTTCTAGAAGTTTCAAGTTCAAGATGAAAAAAAAAAAATCAGGATGGATCCTCTATGATCTAGAAAGACTCACAGGGCTCTCGCTAATGTCAAACATTATCTACTCAAACTAGGGCAGGGCAATAAATCAAATTTAGGCAATTAATCGGCTTTTGAAAAAAATCAAATTTGTGAAAAATGTGAAAATTGTGAAATCGAATCAATGAAGGATATTGTGAGCGTTACAGCAGCACATGAATTATACTTGCAAAATCAGCACAGTCTGTACAAGACTTTTATAATACATATACATATAATACATACATTTGCGTTGCCTTGTGTAGGAAAGGCGCTCTATAAATAAACGTTGATTGATTGATTGATTGACATATTGGGGGAAACAAAATAAAAATAGTTTTGAAACTTAAATTTCGAGTCTGTCTTTGGTGACAATCGATTTAAAATTGTAATCGTCCAAAGCAAGAAATAAAATCGAGACTTCACTTTTTTTGCCATATTGCCCAGCCCTAACTCAAACGGACACTTCTTGAAGTTCTACTTTTGTAGTTCACTTTTTGATATAACAATTTAATCTAAGTTGTTAAGATCTGATTGTTTTTTGCCAAATTTAACACAAATAATGAATGGCGGTTGAGAGTAGTTTGACTGAATTTGAATCAGAAATATGCAAGATTATGTCTCATCGTGTAAATGACAGCACTCTGTGAAGAAAAAGAGTTTCCCAGAATGCCTTGCTGAAACAGTCTCCTGCTGCCGCTCATAGAGCAGATGGCTAATTACCATGAGCCACAGTCACTGGACCTAAAGGAGTCTTATTTGTGTCCAACGGTGATGAGTTAAATGGCCAGAGTTTCAGTAGAGCAGAAAGCATCACCTCTGCTGTGTACTTTACATCCTGCTTTATTAACTGAGCATCATTCAAGTGAACACAACAAGCACAGAACATTTACAGTCACCAGGAAACCGAGCAAACGTGAGCAGACCCAAGCTCCAGGGCTCTGACAAATAATGTGGGAATATCTAACAAAATAAGTACGAATTTAAAAAAAAAAAAAATGACTCATTGATTTGTGGAAAATCGGTCTGAATGTACTTTTCTAAGTTCCAATGCAAGTATCACATAATAGTAATAATTAGTTTGTCTTTTGAAATATGTTTAATATTGTAACTTTCAGCTGAGACTAACCCCGAGTGCCAGAGGGTTTCCTTATAGCAGGGTAATCAATGACCAGTTAAAAACACCATTGGATCCATTTTGTAATAGGAACTGTGATCAGAGTTTGAGAAGTGGGAGAAATTACCATTTTCTTCCTTTCTCTGAAACTGTTCATATCACGTACGAGACATGAAAACCTGGATCAGTGCATCTCTGGAAATCAAAGTAAAAAAAATCATCTAAACCAGCACAACTAGACGAATCATTGCAGCTCGAGATTCCATTAAAGGGAATCTGACACTTCTGATCACGTGTAATCCAGGAATTCGCTCGACGTTCGGCTGCTTGTTTATCTTTATGCCAAATCCTCGCAGACACGCCCCTTGGTAACTGATCCAAGTCCTCACACATGTTACAGAGGAACAGGGCCAAGAGAATCAAGTCACTCCAAACAAGGGCAATTTCATTTTTGAAGGTACAAATTGGAGCCACAAGAAATACTGTCAATCAATAAAGCTTCCCAGGATGGCTCCAACAAAACCTATCCCATTTCAAAGTTGCCTGCTACAACCTATAGAAAAACAAGTTGTGAAAGGTTATGCTGTCGAGCAAGAATGTATATGATGAACTTTAGGAAACAGCCTGAAGCTCTGTGGGGCCCATTTAGCCGATAGACAAGCCACAGAAAAGGCCTGGTTCAAGTTGACTTCTACCACTTACATTTTCCACTGCTACTACTGCAGTCGGACAGTAAAAAGGCTAGAGTCACGTGGTGAAATGAAGGAGGACTCAAATTGTAGGAATGCAAAAATTATTATTTAATAATGATGAAGAAATAAAGAAAAAACAAACTCAAAATCCAAAGTAATAAGGAACCAGGAACAGGACTGAACAGGACAGACATAGACAATACAATGGACCAGCAACAAGGGGAGAGGAGCACAGGTACAAATGGAGACATAGGTGAAACCTATCAGAGCGGGGTAGACAAACAACAGGGAACAGGAAGTAAAACTAAAGTGAAACCACAGAGAACTAATGTCAAAATAAAACCAAATATCAAAATAGAAAAGTTGTATGCACAGCTCAACCAGGATTTGAACATTGTCCATGAGCCACAGTCACTGGAGCTTGTCTTACATTTTCAGGAAGATTGTTCTAGATTTTAGCTGCAGAAATCTGTAATGCAGCCTCCTCATGTTCAGTCCTGACTCTGGGACCAGCAGGAGGCCAGTCCCTGTGCTCCTCAGAGTTGGTTCTGTCTCTAACATGTCACAGATGTACTTTGGTGCGAGGCCATGGAGAGACTTGTAAAGAGCTGCTTTAAAGCCCGTCCTACTGAACCAGTGGTGCCCACACTTTATTAAACCAAGATCTACTTTTACAGCCACCACTGAACTGTGAACAATCTCAGCTTTCAGTGGGGTATTATAATTCAGAATATCACATTTTGTTTGATGCATGCGATTTATAATTAAGTAATGACCATGTTGTCTTCAGGTTTGGAGACAGACTTACAGATACTTATAGACTTACATTTTCAGTTTCAGCATTTACTTATAAAAGTACACATACAACTTGTGTAGTGTTTCTCATATTTTAAATGTAATTTTGTATTGCTTAGTGCTATCTATTTTTATGTAACCTTCTAAAACATTTCTTACAGGTCATTCAATCAAATAAACTCAAGAATAAATGGGATGTTTGTTCTTAGTGATTTCAGCCATTGAGAATTCATTTAGTATAGCACCGTATTATTACACTGTACTTGATGCTTTCAGCTATAGATAGATATATACTTTATTGATCCCAGTAGGAGAAATTCATATGTCGAGTAGCAGCAGAAACACATGCTTTCATACAAACAAAACAAATAAACGGTGTATTCTAAAAAAAAAAAAATAGCGACAGTGATACAATGCAAGGCACGGCAAGACACATATAGACACAGACTGAGCACAATGGAAATGTCACCTGTTGACTGCACGTTCAATTATTCAGTATTTGTAGCAGCACTAGTTTTCTGGGTGACAGGTCAAACTGGAGCAAACACGACTGGATAAAATTGGTCAATATTGCTGCATATCATTGTTCAGACGGAGGTTTTGGTCAACACCTTTTCAGCTGCAGCAGTTACAGCAGCTGGTTTGATGAGGAAGAATAACAAACAACAATTACAGTATTATTACTTTCAGTTTACATGGATTAACTGAGTTTGACAATGTTCAAATCCTGGTTCAGAACAGTTCGATTTAACTGTGCAATGATTGTTTCTTTGCTCTTTTTATTATTATATATGATTTTAATACCTTTTCTGTTGTTTAAGTACTTCGAGTTGCCTTATGTATAAACTGTAATGTACAATACAAATAAACTTGCCATGCCTAGAATTGTATCACTGTCATTATCGCCGTCTGAGAACCAGCCAACCCACATACCATTCATTTCAAGAACGATGATAAAATAAAATAAAAAGTGACCAGTTTGAACTTGATTAGAGACTGATTAGTTTTGTACCAATTGTAATGTCTAATTTTGTCCAAATACAAAAATATCTCTTGAATATGACCATAATAATGTCATATTAAAGTTGGAACAGCTGCGTTTTCGTTTCATGAATATACAAGTTTTGTTCCAGTCAAAAGAGTTTTGTCTTTGACTTCATCTTTATAATTCTGTATTTTTCTCCATTGTGAGATGAATAGTTTTTATCTTCTACTTGAAAGAAAGAGCTCTATGAGTCTTTCTGTACCACTTCTATACCTGAAAAAGCCTAAAAGATATGACAGAGGCAAAATAAAAAATGCATCTGAAAACACAAACTTGTTTGGAGCGAGAGTTGGATTTACAGTTTATATTTTGTTGGTGGAATTTAAGTACCTCAGCTTTAATATCATTTGACAGAATACACGTGGAATCAGAATAAACAAGAACTGACCATTCATTGACCACTGATTGGAATGTATAACTTCTTAGTGGTCCTACCGGTTATATATTCAGCAGGTGTAACAAGCCAGTATTTACTATGTCCTAAGCAGAATGTGGGAGGTCACAGAACGGAAAAGTCTAGAAACCATTTACAAGCTATTATTACGACGTACTTTACAACGACCACTGACAAATGATTAGCCTTTTTTCTTCCACTCAAGGTCAAATATTCTCAAAGCTAACAGAATGTGGGCTAGTGATGCGTTTGAGTGCGTAGGGAGAGACGCACGTGGTTTTAGCTGTGGGTTTGGTGTATTGCGTATTACGTCCCAAGTACGTAGGTAGTCACGACTTGGGCTATATTCACGCTGTTTAAAGTGTCATTGTATGTTTTAAATGTGTATAATATTGATGGGTATATTCTATGTAATTGACTGATGTAGCTGTCAAATGACCAGCGGCTAACGTACAGAATATTTTTTTCTATTATTTATTTATTTATTTTATTAATATTATATTTTTTGAGCAATGTTACAGCTTGTACTAGATGTGTATATTTACAAAGCAAGGCAAAAAATAATAATAAAAAAAAAACGGAAAAAATGACCCGCCCAGTTTTAACCACTTTCCCAACAAGCTAGTTTTTGACTTACTTGTCCGCGTCTGTCGCATCCTTCTTCGGCTGCTCCTCCACGACTACCGCTCCCTCTGTTTTCGTGCAGAAATGTCGCAAAGGAGAGGAGGCAGCGGACCGCAAAGGCTGGCGGTGGACAGCGACATTATTCTGCGGGGTCTTGGAGAACAAGCTGGCGTCTGTGTGGCTGGAGGAGGCGCCGATGCCGAAGCAGCAAGAGCGGGCTGATAACCACGTATTCTGGGTGGGCAAGTTTCGCTTCAAACCAGCGCTGGACAACTCCTTTAGCACTCCCGAGAATCTATAATGTAACATTTCAATCCTGTGCGAAAACCAGTGGGAAAATGTATAGCCAAGTGTGCGTAAAAAGGAGAGAGGGCTGGGTCGTGGCACGCTGGAAGTCTCTCACGGAGGCGATGACTCACAGACACCGGTGTCCAAAAATAAATAGAAGTCAAAAAACACACCCCTCTGTGCTCTCATTGGCCGGCCTGGAGACATTTCCGTGTTTGCAGGTGATTTATGCGCGCGTGGGCTTTGCTATTGGGTGAATTTTCCGTCCGTCAAAAGTGAGAGCAATGTGAAATTTTCCGTTTCTCAGGACAGTGGACTGTGGCAGAGTTTTATCAGCTAATCACAAGTTTATGAATGAATACGATGTTATGAGTGAGTACCTATCGGAATCATGTTGTAAGTAGGTCAATAATATACCAGCGTGTTTTACAGTTAGGCTAACTAAATCTGGGGTACCTAACTTTTTCTTTTTTCTTTTTTAATCATTGTTTTTCTTTGTATTTAAGGCTCTGAATGCCAATGACAATTCAAAACAAATACAACACCCTAATTACGATCAAAAATGTTTTCTGTAACTAACAAAAATCACAAAAACATGAAGTCATATTTTTTGTTTAAAAGACAAGACAAAGAGGATGGACAAACAAAAAGACATGACAGACTAGACACATATTTAGCTTTCAAACTTATGCAATAATACTAACTATGTAATAGTGAAATGAATAGTATATGTATCTATGGCCGCCAACCTGTGACAAATGACAGTTCAAAACAAAATTGATTCAGAAATAAAAATGCTGTAACTAACAAATAATTATACTTTTTAATAATACCTTTTAATTACACACGACTGACTGTAAATAAAACATCAAATCTGGCTTCTATCACATCTTTAAATCTGCATTTATATAACAGTGAGTAAGACATTTGCTGTACCAATGATTTTTAAGCCCAGACATCCAATAGTGACTCACAAGGCCCAGTATGCAGCTAATAAAAGCTTTCTAATGCATTAAAAACTACATGTGGTCTGATTTCTTCACTTTTACTTTTACACAACTCCATCTGTTGGGGCAAACAGCATGTGTTATTTACGCAACAAAACATTTAGCTTTAAATTGAAAACTTAACCTGTAAGTCATCGACTCCTTGTGCTTTTACTATGGACTGTGCAGATAGAACAGCAGCATCTTTCCTTAATATCTAATCTGTCTTTGACACGTGTGTTTACGTTACATGTTGTACTAATAGACTGTATTTTTATGTTCTGAAATCTCAGTTACTAAAACTAACACTAATGGTTGGGCTTGTTCAGATCACTTTACACCACTAAAGAGTATTGTATAACTGTAAGAAATCGTTTAATCAAATCATTTGTCTTTTGCAATGGTTTCATGATGTGTTGTTGTAATTAGTAAACTATTCCAATTTGATGTTTTGCACCATACATTGACTTGTGCTTCAAAATAACAGAGCTGATTTAAAGTACTCTTTCTTCAAAAGAGTCTTTTTGAGATTATAGCCGTGTTATGACATTGAGAGCTCATCAAAAGCAGATCTGGGGTTGTTTTTACCTTCATCCACACACACACACAAAAAACACAAATCCCTCCTTCCATTAGTCCAAATGCTCCTTTTTCAAACTCTGTAGATGATGACAAATCCTAAATATACTACGACTTAAGTATTTTTCTTAAATTTGCCTAATTTCTTTGGTAAAAACATGTTCTATGGCTAAGAATGGAATTTCCTACTTCGATCACTAGATTAAAGACTGATCAAACTATAACAGCATTTGCCAAACGTTGATATTCTCAAGATCAAGGTAAATGGCCAAATTTAACACAATTTTCACATGGAGAGTTCCGGAAGCAAGCCACTCGTGCAAGTTACTGGTCATATTTGTGGAGTTATGAAGCCAAAACAGGTTTGTAATCAAATAAAGCATACAAAGTGCTAGTTGCACTTTATTACCAAGTGGTACAAACCTCTACTGCAACCGTTTCTACTGTTGTGTAGAGAAATTATACACAAGTTAAAAGATACCACCAAAACTAAACTAAACTAAAAAAACTGTCCTTACTTTGAAATCTGACATCTCCTGTCCTTTATCTAAATCTCTCGTTCCGTTTTCAGTCATGTAAAAGTCTGTGCAAGTAAAATACACTTTTTATTTCATTTTCATGCAACTAAATAAAAAAATACATGCAGTGTTTTAGACGTTCCCTTGGTATCCCAGACTCTGCTTTAGCAAAGGCCATCTGAGGCGCCCCCTGTTGGTTGTAGTATGTATTCTCTTTGCTCTTTGGTTGATTCGTGTATTTACATTATTATTTTATAGTTATACAAATGTCACTGTAAAAAAATAAAAATAAACAACAACAAAACATTTGACACAAGAAATCAAATCAATAAGTACAGCAATGTTGATTTAAGGTTAGATATGAAGCAAAGAAACATGTACAAAGTTGTAAATATTATGCAATATTTTAACTTTGATTACAATATAGAAAGTGTTAATGCATTTTGAACCATAAAATGTAGCTCTTTACCTCATTTTATGGTAAAGAGCTACCATAAAATTTAGTAAACTACTACTACTACTATATTCTGAATAAAACAGAATATAGTAGTAGTAGTAGTAGTAGCAGTACAACAATAGTCGCCTACTGTTCATCTTCATTTAAACTACTTTTTACATATAGCTCAATACCCTGACTTTGTTTAAGGCCATTACTCGGGCACCTAACATAGGCTTACACTGTTTTTGAATTATATACTGTACGTTTTACCATTTGCATTTGTTCTTACATTTCAAGCCCATTCTCACAGTCAAGATTGTTCAGCATCGGAAACAAAGGTTCAAAAGACGGTAAAGGCGCAGGAAGAATGGAAGGGTCCAAAACATCGGGGAAAAACTCCTTCAGCAGCTCGTCGTTGGACACAGACCATGGGCCCTGAAAACACAGGGCAAAATATTATTGTTGAGCTAAAAACTAGGGCTGTCAAAATTATTGCGTTAACGCATGTTAATAAAACATTTTCATTAATCGCGTTTGAAAAATTAACGCATTTGACGCATGCCCATGCGTCCCATAATAACACTCAGAATGCCGCGGACACATGCGTGTGTAAGATGGAGTCAGAGCAGGTAGGCCCTCTGGGAATTAAAGTTTTGAAAAAATACACGCGTGACCGCGGGGCACTTGTAGTTTCCTGTATGAACTCTGCATGATGAGCTGCGGGCACGACAGCGCTCTGGACAGCAGGTCCCACCTCCAGCGGCTGTGATCACGGCGAGCGGCGCTGCGTAATGGGATCATATCCAAGACCACGCACAGAACTATTCTCTAGTGTGCGTACGTGTCTGCGTAACCGATGCACACAATATGTACATCGCTGAAGCTGGACTGCGGAGCCTCAGTCTCCTCCGTGTCTTCTCCCGAAGCGCACTCGCTAAATTAAAGCTGAGGTACCTAATTTTCCTTTCGACCATCAGTTCATGTTAGTTGTGCCAAAAAAAGTAATGGTGTGAGCAAATAAAACAGATTTAATGACATTCTGCATTTCAGACTATTTTGAAATGTCCCTCATCTGTAACAAACAATGGTTTTGGTCTGAGTCTAAAGACAGAATGTTAATAATGTTAATTCCATTTTATATGGATTTATTGTTATAACAAACAAATACAGTACATATTTTCACTAAGCTGTCATTTATCTTTCCATTCAAACAACAATTTACAGAAAAATATGGCATAATTTTGCCAATAGTTTGAAATGCGATTAATTGCGATTAATGAATTTTTATGCTGTAATTAACTCGATTAAAAAAATTAATCGTTTGACAGTCCTACTAAAAACACATTCTCTACACATAATTTCTACACAGTCTATCAAAACATTCACCTCGACTCAATTATATGACATAGCAAGCAATTTGAAACACACTGTGAGGATAAATGGCTATATATAAATTCAATAAAATGAAATAAAAGCATGGTCAACCTAGTTCTTAATCTTAGTTGATTGTCACTAATCAACAACATTTTTCTGATTGAAATGATAACCCATGAACTAAGACTGAAAGATAAAAACGAAATGAGGAAAAATGGATGGTGTAGATGGAAAATCAACATTAAGATTGATTATATTTGGCTTGTTACATTTTGGTTCTGTGTTTATTTCATTATATTTGTATTGTACTATGTTCTCTTTAAAGGACAAATTATACAAAATGAAGCAACTAGACCTAAGTAAAGGGAGCTATTATTCTCACCTGCAGACTGTCTGTCTCTGTCTCCATGTGAACTTCTCTGGTAGGAGATGGAGGCGGAGTGGGGCAGCTGAAACAATGAAAAAGATGGTTAGAAAGTTCACAATAGATATTTAAACTTAAGCCAAACTTTTGAATGAATGTTCTTACTCAGAGACACTGATGAGGGTTCTGTTCACATAACCGTCTTTGCTGACTGCTGGGGTGGTTTCTGAAGAGACAAGAGTAAAAACCACAAAGGCTGCAGTCATTTGAAGTGAAAACACCACAAAACACACTTGGGGAAAGCTTTGGACTCTGATGTTATTGTTCTAGCATCTGTTACCCGCTCAATGTGAATGTTCGGGTGATTTGTGCATGTTTGACTAATGAAGGAGTCTGTTCTTGCTTTGCTTTGTTGTATTTTTTTCCTCTATAATACATGAGACTTGCCACAAAATGATACATTTTTATTGAGATTTGAAATGGTCAAAATAGATACATCTGCAAGTATCATTATCGGCTTGTGGATGAAACGCAAATGTAATTTATTTTGTTTGTGTGTGAAAGAATTCAGTTCCAGGGCAAACTATAAATTGTATATAATAAATCACTGGTATACACACACGTATACACACAACCATACATAGGCATATACACATACAGACAAATACATACAAATATACATTCTCCTACATAAGAGAAAGCAACACCATGTAAATGTAAACTCAGAAAAACACAAAAAAGTAAAACAATTTCATTAAATATCGCGATACGTTGCTTTACAATGTAGATTTAGTTGTAAACTAAAAATGTCGCGATACTGAACAGTATCAACGTTTTCCCCACCACTTAACTTTACCTGCACTTAACCCTGGTTTGAACCATCTGCTTGGGGTTCCTCAGACGGTAAACTCAGAGGAGATCGAGCTTTTCCAGTTGTTGGTACTAAATTATGGAATGAGCTGCCCCTGTGTGTGTTAGACTGTCTGATTCACTTCCTGTTATTAAGTCTCGTCTTAAAACTCACTTGTCCTCATTGGATTTTAATTTGTTTTGGATTGTTGATTTGTTATGGTTGCCGTAAATAGTGTGTTTTTGCCACTGCTTTGTATTCTCGAATTATTTGAGTGTTTTTTATGTACAGCACTTTGGTCTACCTTGTTGTTTTTATTAGTGCTTTCTAAATAAACCGGACTGGACAGGACTGCAAATCAAACCCTCATGATTCTTTCTCCGCTCCCCTGCAGTGTGCTGTACCTTGGGTGGTGTAGTAGGGTCCGAACACAGAGTCCTTGGGGATGTCCGGGAACAGATAGACCAGGGGACTGCTGGTCTTCCGCTCCTGAATTCGCAGACTGTAGTGATAGATGATGTCTGGCAGATGCATGGCCGTCAGATCCTTCTTTGTGAACGGCTCCACGGCATGAACATTCACTTCTATGGGACAAAACACATGCTCTGTATTAAGATCAGAAAAGATAAGGTAAAAACAAGACAAACCTTTATTCCTCTCATAGTGGAGAAAATGTAACATAATAAAAAAAAATAAGATCATATTCTGGAGCTAGAACTGCTGACGTTCAAGGATAGTACATGAGTGAAGTAAACACTAAGGAGACATTGGCTGCTGTGTTTATATTGTACGCCATTCATAAATAAGATTGGCATAGGATTAGAAAGTTAAATGTAGGGCTGTAACTAACAGTTACTTTGATTATCAATTAATCTAGAAAATGTGATGTCACATAGTTGATTAGTTGTTAATAACACAAATATTCTAATTAAATTCTGATCCAGATAAAGATGTTTCCAAGTTATGGTGTTTGGATGTCTGTAAGTACAATGTATTATTATTATGAGGTTCAGCTGATTTGACCAGGAAGTAAGGAATGGATTCTTCTATATTTCAACTATCTTTAGACCCAGTATCATATTTTCTCCTCACTATGAATTCCGTAAATGTAAAATAGGTACAACACTGCAAAAAATCAATATAACATAAGGCAAGCATGCCCAAACTCAGGCCCGCAAGCCAATTGTGGCCTTCTGTGCCATTTTGTGTGTGGCCCTTCTGCTGCTAACACAAATCGACATTGAGGCACTTTGACAGTGTCATCCAACCAACTTCAGCTCCACCAATACAGTAACACTTTACCTGCAGCTGTGGTGTGAATCAAAAAGGACATTTTATAACACATTTTAAATTCCAGAATCCAGTCAATCCAGCTCAAATCCAGTTTTTTTTTTTTTTTTAATCCAGGTTGTTGGCCCCAGGTCAAGTCTGATGAACTGAAGTGGCTAAAAAGTTTGGACACTCCTGATATAAGGTCACAATTACTTAAATCAAGTGGTTTTTATCTTGATTTTATCTTCACAAAATTTGCTTATGGGACAAAGTTGTTTTGTCTTACTTCAAGAACTATTGCTTTATTTCTCATTCCAAGTAAGACATTTCTGTATTTGTTTTAAAAACAAGATTGTTTTGCTTTGCCCCACTGGCTCAGTCAAAATGTGGTCAAATTAAGATACATTTATCCGGATCTGAGCAATTTTTAAATGATTTTTGCACATTTATAGAGAACATTTATATAACAAACAATTGCACAATCCTCAATATTAAAATGGCAGTAAAGGAATCTTATCTGACCTCCGTTGCTGTGTTCCACCCAGCTGAACGTGATGGCGCCCTCTCTGCTGCTCTCACTGAAGCGCAGCAGGAAGTTTCCGCTTTGTTTGTTCTGTAAAAGCTGTCTGGTTTTGGCCTTGCTCACAAATCCCATGATGCACCTACAATAGACAACAAACTTAATGCACAAAGTATGTTTTTTTTTTCCAGAACAAACAAAAACCAAAATATTTAAAATGTTGATATAGCTGCTGCACATTCAGTCTGTCAGTACATACATATGTGCATACACCTATATACACACACACACAGGCAACCACACAAATATATATATCTTTGAACACTTAAAATATGTAATCCATTATTAAAGAGGACTAGGAGAGTTATCCAGGTTTCACCAGTGCTTTGAAAACATAATAATGTGAAAAACTAAACACGACACTGAATAAAACAAGAATCAAGAAGGATTCAAAAAAGTTAAATACCTCTTGAATAAAATGTTTTTGAGTTCTTTTTGAAAGACAAAATAGGTGTCATAACTTGTTTGGATTAAGGTTAAGATGCTTTCAGACATTTCAGTGTTGCATCAACAGTTATAAAACAGTAGGAATGTGGAGCATGCGGCATAAGCCGTGAGATTCTATTTTATTTTAGCATAAAGAAAGTAAAATCATAACATCAGCCTGCCCAGGGACTACGGGTGGAAATTAGCTCTTGAGCTATAACCTAGTACAATGAATGCATCTTTCCCTTTGAGGTTAATGTTTATTGTACACTGTCCCTGTCATCTTGAATTAATAAACTAAACTAAACTAAGCAGCAAGTATAACAAAAGGAAATAAGTCTATAATCTCCAACTTTAGCATCATGAAGAAGCAAGAATTAAGTCTAAAATTTACTTAGATGTTCACTGTATATTATTGAACAAAAAATATATAGTTGAATCAATTAACTTGCTTTTACTGCATAACCGTAAAACACAAAAAAAAGATATCAATTATGTTTTTACAGCACATTTCACAACTATTCAATTTTTATATCTATTCAATGAACGCTCCATCATGTTCTCTCAGGGCGGCAGAACAGGCTCTTACCGGGGTTTCTCTGACTAAACGGAAACTCAGGAGATCGAGCTTTTTGTTGTTTTTGGTCCTAAATTATGGAATGAGCTGCCTCTGTGTGTCAGACTGTCTGAGTCACTTCCTGTTTTTGAGTCATCTTACAACTCACTTGTTCTCATTGGCTTTTGATTAATTTTTTGCTGTAAATAGTGTGTGTTCTTCCCACTGCTTTATATTTTCTAATTGTATATTTTTGTATGCCTTTTTTATGCACAGCACTTTGGTCTACCTTGTTTTTTTACTAGTGCTTTATAAATAGACTGGACTGGGCTTCTGTAATCTTACCCGTCTCGCCAGATCTCCCTCAAGTGCTTTTCTATGAGGCTCAAAATGCCATCGATCCAAATCCACGGCCCATAATTCTGTGAAAAGTAAGTTATGATAATCAAAGATCTTGAATGACAATATGTGCTGTCAAATGCAATTATAAATTGACTGAATATTTGATTTAAAATCACATACCTTTGCAAATTTTTTCCAATAGACAAGATCATCAGGATCCACTGTAACAAAAACAACAAAAACAAGACAAATATAAAGACAGTTTTATAATTTCTCAGTTCAGCACACTGACGGTTCTGTTGATTTGAAGGAATATATAGAGGAGCAATCTTTAGAGAATATTTGTTTTGTCTTTGAGGATTACAGGGAATTGCTGAAAAGGCTCAGCTGTGCTTTTTCTCTGCAGGATGAGACTATCACTCCTCTCCCATCATGACCACATTTACACCTATAGACAGCCCAGCAGCTGCGGGACCTGAAAACCTTCCAGAGATGTGAGGACCGTAGAAACACGTGTGAATCTCAGGTGTGAATCAGCAAAAATGTGACGATTCCATAGTATCGCAATTAAATTTTATTGCAATTCTGAACATATTGTGATACAGCAATCAATGCGATTCAAATATGAAATATATTGTGATTCATGTCCCTCATATTATTCAAAGATTTTGAAATAGTCTGCACATAAACTCAAGTTCGCTTAAATTATTCAAATACAACAGACTAGTGTAAGAAATAGCAGCCGTAATAGAGGAACATAAACTTCAGGTGTAAATGACCAAAGTAAACCCAATCAAAACAAGAAAGGGAAAGCGATTAAAAAAAAGATAATGTGACGAGCCAAACGGCCAGAGGCTTCACAATAACTACATTATTAACTAATCTACTGTATATTAAACTATAGGCGACACCATGTGCTTCCTCTGAAGACTCACCGACTATTTTGAGTTTGAGATCACAGAGTTGGTCCTCACTGAGCTCTCGGTCTCCAGCAGCGAGGAACTGCCAGCTCAGGGCCTGGGACAGGAGCTGCCAGGGCAGAGGAGGAGGGTCCAGGAACACAGACAGAGACTGCAAACATAACAAAAGGACAATTCTCACTATGGCCATTTGCACACTGTAAATGGTTAGTATCCCATCACAGTACAAACCAGGCCCTGCCCTGCTTAGCAGCCAAGGTTTGACAGGATCTGGCTTTCATATGCCAGTATGGTCACACATTATATATTACAAACATCTGATGTAAATATGTTTATGATGTGACTATACGTGCGTACATGTAGTGCCTTGCGAAAGTATTCGGCCCCCTTGAACCTTTCAACATATCGCCACATTTCAGGCTTCAAACATAAAGATATAAAAATTTATTTTTTTTGTCAAGAATCAACAACAAGTGGGACACAATCATGAAGTGGAACGAAATTTATTGGATAATTTAAACTTTTTTAACAAAAAAAAAAACTGAAAAGTGGGGCGTGCAATATAATTCGGCCCCCTTGGGCTAATACTTTGTAGCGCCACCTTTTGCTGCAATTACAGCTGCAAGTCGCTTGGGGTATGTCTCTATCAGTTTTGCACATCGAGAGACTGGAAATCTTGCCCATTCTTCCTTGCAAAACAGCTCGAGCTCAGTGAGATTGGATGGAGAGCGTTTGTGACTTGGCCATTCTAACACCTGGATGCGTCTATTTGTGAACCATTCCATTGTAGATTTGGCTTTATGTTTTGGATCATTGTCCTGTTGGAAGATAAATCTCCGTCCCAGTCTCAGGTCTTTTGCAGACTCCAACAGGTTTTCTTCCAGAATGGTCCTGTATTTGGCTCCATCCATCTTCCCATCAATTTTAGCCATCTTCCCTGTCCCTGCTGAAGAAAAGCAGGCCCAAACCATGATGCTGCCACCACCATGTTTGACAGTGGGGATGGTGTGTTCAGGGTGATGAGCTGTGTTGCTTTGACGCCAAACATATCGTTTTGCATTGTGGCCAAAAAGTTCGATTTTGGTTTCATCTGACCAGAGCACCTTCTTCCACATGTTTGGTGTGTCTCCCAGGTGGCTTGTGGCAAACTTTAAACGAGACTTTTTATGGATATCTTTGAGAAATGGCTTTCTTCTTGCCACTCCTCCATAAAGGCCAGATTTGTGCAGTGCACGACTGATTGTTGTCCTATGGACAGACTCCCCCACCTCAGCTGTAGTTATCTGCAGTTCATCCAGAGTGATCATGGGCCTCTTGGCTGCATCTCTGATCAGTCTTTTCCTTGTTTGAGATGAAAGTTTGGAGGGACGGCCGGGTCTTGGTAGATTTGCAGTGGTCTGATACTCCTTCCATTTCAATATAATTGCTTGCACAGTGCTCCTTGAGATGTTTAAAGCTTGGGAAATCTTTTTGCATCCAAATCCGGCTTTAAATTTCTCCACAACAGTATCTCGGACCTGCCTGGTGTGTTCCTTTGTCTTCATGGGTCTCTCTGCGCTTTAAACAGAACCCTGAGACTATCAAAGAGCTGTGCATTTATACGGAGACTTGATTACACACAGGTGCATTCTATTTATCATCATCAGTCATTTAGGACAACATTGGATCATTCAAAGATCCTCACTGAACTTCTGGAGTGAGTTTGCTGCACTGAAAGTAAAGGGGCCGAATAATATTGCACGCAGAGCATTGGCCTTAAGGCCAGAAGGTTGTGGGTTCAATTCCCACCTCTGCACCTTCTCCATCGACTCCCACTGATGACTGCTGTCGTTGTGTCCTTGGGCAAGACACTTAACCCCACTTTGCCCAAAGCCCCCACTGAAAGATCAAGGCTGTGCTCACACTCAGAGAGCAGCCGTCCTCCTGTGGACTCACCACCTGCAGAGGGTCAGTGAGGGGCTGGTGCTGTGAGACTTGGGTGGCATCTCTGATTGCCACCCCCCTGACCCAGAAATGGATTAAAGGGTAGAAAATGGATAGATGGATGGAAAAAAGTTTAAATTATCCAATAAATTTCGTTCCACTTTACGATTGTGTCCCACTTGTTGCTGATTCATGACAAAAAATTAAAATTTTATATCTTTATGTTTGAAGCCTGAAATGTGGCAAAATGTTGAAAGGTTCAAGGGGGCCGAATACTTTCGCAAGGCACTGTACATTTTGGTCCTCACCGTGGGTTTGTTGGCAGAGAGCAGGTTGTACCACATGATTGAGGCCCAGGCGCTCGGAGCCTGACACACATTGGTCACAACCACCACAGGAAGAGAACTGGTCTGAACGCACAACAAAAGAGAAACATCTTAAGAATAAAACTCAATAATAAAGCAAATATCATTATACATATATACTGTTGGAAAGAAATAACTGACACAAAACAAGAGAACATTTGTCAGGTTTAAGAAACCTGATAGAAAGTACATCATTATACGCCTCCAGGTCTTTCTGTGTAGTATTTGCATGTTTTCCCCATGTCAGTGTAGATTTGCTCCAGGTGCTCCGGTTTCCCCTACCGCTATACTTTTGTATACTTCTGAATGCGCTGGAAACGACAGAATATCCTAAATCAAGAAGTATTAGTGTTTTACTATTTTTATTTGTTGTGCTTTTTCTACCTGTAATCGTTACTGCAGTACATTGTTCAGAGTTTAGTTTAGTTTACAATTTTTCAAAGCAGGAAATTCTAAATGCTAATAAAGCATTCAGAACTTCACTCTGAACCAGAGCAGAGAACATTTTCCGCACCAAGCTGACTCTGCAGACATCAACCAGAGGAAGCAGCTCATCACCAGCGGCTACACCACCTCTGCTGCTGTGATCTTCTTTATATATATATTTCTATGTTTTGTTATGCACGGGGATCAATAAAAACATGTAAATTAGGTAACGTAAATAGGTAACGTAACGTAAGGTAATGTAACTGAGTGACTATTAAATAGTGTCGAAAAACTTCCAATCTCTACTGTACACAAATGGCATGTTGGGATATGAAAAATAAATGGTCTTTGTGAATCAATTTTGACATTACATTTCTGACAATTTTCCCATCCCTATTGAAAAGACCAAAATTAAAGCTATATAGGAGAATTTCCTACTTCTGGGTGGATCATCAATACTATTGGTCCTGCTAATTGTCACTCATCCTGGTGATATGTGCTCGTCAAATAAGAGCAGAGAGATATATTCAAAAAGTAGAGAGGAGGCGGTTCTTTCCTAAAATTTGGGGAAATCCTCATTTATACTTTTAAATAGAGCAACCACAACAAAACCAGTGCGACTTACCTCAATCTGGCATTCGAATCCAGGCATTTGAACATTGGTGACAAATGTAATAAAATGAAGCTCTTCCGTGACACAAATAGGACTCTGGAAAAACATTTAGTGATTTGAAATAAGACTGAAATATGTAAAATATAAAACATTGTCAGCACCTCACCTCATTCTTCCCTTGCTCCTTGACAGACTGTGTGGGTATAAAAAACAAAAATATGAATGCTTTTAAGTTATTATTGTCATTTACAGACAATACAGGCGCAGACCATGGATCTATAATAATATCTGGATAGAGTTTTACTAGCTTATGGCTGTCCCACCTATGGACACAGGGGGCGCCCTAGTACTGCAGACTAAATGTGGGCTACCCAGAAAAAGGTGCATAGAACTTATTGTAAATTAAAGCCGCAAACGGCGTCGAACGGCCCTCGCCGCACCGCGCAACTCCCCGCACCGCGCGACTCCCCGCACCGCGCGCACCGCGCGCACCACCCTGGTTGCCTCAATCTGTAGGGGGCGCTATTGGGCCAATTTCAAATATTTCGCTTTCACCTGACCTAAACCCTGGAGTTGAACATTGGATTCAAGTTTTGTGCAAATCAGACTTTGTTTGTGCAAACAGGAGCAAAATTAATGTTGTGAAAAACGGTCAAAAAACACTCACATTTTGCCGCTCCGCTGCTCAAACAACGTTTCAATGATCAAAAATCCCTGAGGTCATTTGATCACGATAACATTTCGGTCGTATCTTGACTTGAGGAACATGTGTACCGAATTTCATGGCTCTACGACAAACTTGACTTCTGAAACTCTCATTGGCTGTTGTAGGTGGCGCTGTTCTGGCATTTTTTGAGTCCCATAAAAATAAACACCCAAATATCAAATTTTTCACCAGGTCTGATGTTTGGGCAAAATTTTACAACTTTTCATGCATGTTCAGGGGGTGTAATTAAGGCTCAAAGTGCAGAATTTGACATCTCTCGAGCAAAAACAATAGGCCCTTTCCCCGTTCGGGGCTCGGGCCTAATTAAAGCAGGCTGGTCCATTGTCAAAGTCTTCGTGTCTGAGTTTTGCCCCAATTCCTATATTCAGTTTGGACTTTACTGACTTTGTTTTTCACCTTAGACCTGAATCATTTTATTTTACATTCCTGCATTATGGAGCACTGCAGTGACTGGTCTACACGTCATTGCATTGTCACTGGACACAATTATGAAATAACGTTTTGTACCTTTACTAAGTGCTAAAACTGGTGAATAATAATTTGAAATGCTAACAAATGCTAACTGGTAGCAAGTAAAGAAGTAAATATTATGTTGCTATGGTAACTGGTGGTATCGGAACTGGCTCAATTCAGAGAGGTAGAACCGCTCTAGTTTCAAAATCAAAAGACTTTTTTAATTTATTTTTTCATTACACAGAAACAAAACTACAGATAGGAGAGAAAATAAAAACAAAGTTATGAAGACCAAAAATGTTCATAGTTGGAGTAATTGCGCTTACAAAACTCTTATATCTATTCATTTATTTGATATAGACAGTTGCATTGAACAGACCAGATGCACTGCCGTTTAGCGTTAGCAAGACCATGCTAATGTTCAACACTGGTCCATAGGGAGGCAAACTAAAAGCTGTCAAATGAAGCAGCGATTTCTTACCAGATTTTCAAACTCCGCCACCAGGCCTCCGTCGGGCGTGTAAACATCCAACCACTTGCTCTGCTTTGCCGTCAGCACAAATTGACGAAACCTTAGAACAAACAGTGTTACATTCAAACTCATAACTACAGTATAAATATATTTTGTTAGCGTCAACTGAGAAAAGCACCCTTTTATTGCGCCGACTTTTTCACTGTCCCTAAAACAAAAATAATTGATTTTAATGTTTCAAAAAATGCGTTTAAATCAACAAAAACAAACACTTACTTGTCAAATACAGGCTCCACTTTGAGAAAACTCTTGAACATGGACAAATTGACTAAAAACCTGCAGAAAAAAAAGAAAAGTCAATCATTAAACATAGACTTCTACAGGTAAAACTCAGAAATTAGAATATTGTTCAAAAGTTTTTGGGTTCTTTTGTAATTTAAACTCCATCCATCCATCCATTTTCTTCCGCTTCATCCGTTGCCGGGTCGCGGGGGCAGCAGTCTAAGCAGAGACGCCCAGACTTCCCTATCCACTGTCATGGCCAGATTCCCGGCACAAGATATTCTAATCATTTAGGTCGATACATGCGTTTTCTTTCCCATGCGTCTGAAACCCGCTCCCCATCACTGTTTGAAACATTAAGACAAAGGCTGCTTGTCCACGGTCCTCTTTCCCATAACCTTCACCACCACCTGCATGGGCCTATCTCAAATGTTCTTACAGCGTGTTCCTTGTTATCAAATTCGAAGGTCCTTTTCTGCGCTTAATGTATCTCTCTCAAACTTTCCCGTCTGCAGCTGCGTATGACTCATCTCTCTTGTGACGAATGTGCATTGTTCTGTCTGACACACCTCCAGTATAAGATCATAAGACATGTTTGTTGGGGGGAACAGACAGACGCGGCATCGCTCCAGGTCCCGCTTCTGTTTGACTCTTTTCTGCGCAGAAAATGTCATTTTTGTACTCATCACTTCTGTGAATAAAACTGCACCAAAGGACAAGTTTGTTTCCTCTCGGTTTCATTCATTTGAGGCAATAGAATTTCCATAACAATTTGGTGTCAGAAGTGGTCTCGAAGGCTTGACCGTTGAAACGCAGGGGTCCGGATTCGGGGGACTGATCGCCCGGGATTCAAAACCAATCTCGTCGCTTTCCCATATCTCTGGACGGGCGGACTGACCGGACGTGCTGAGTTTCAACCGTCGCCTCTCGGGATTTTCACACGAAAACAAACGGTAACTTGTTTAATATTTGACTTTCTATGCTTCAGTGGTGAATCCGAGAGGCACTTGTGGGTGCAGTGTGCGTGCATGTTTGGCTGCCAGCTGGTGACGGTGCTGCTCATTCTAATCCAGGCTGTTGGGAAAAAATCTAAGTTCGAGTCTTAGTCGGAGGTTAGAGTCCTCCGTTGTGAAAACAGGTTGGAGTCCTGTCAGAAAATCTAAGTTTATTCTTAGTCGGAGGTTAGAGTCCTTCGTTGTGAAGACGGTTAGAGTCCGGTCTAAATCTAAGTTTACTCTTAGTCGGAGGTTAGAGTCCTTCGTTGTGAAGACGGTTAGAGTCCTGTCTAAAAAAATCTAAGTTCAAGTCTTAGTCGGGGGTTCAAGTCCCTTGTTGTGACACGGTTAGAGTCCTGTCTAAAAAATCTAAGTTTAGTCTTAGTCGGGAGGTTCGAGTCCTCTCGTTGTGAAAACAGGTTCGAGTCCTGTCAAAAAAATCTAAGTTTAGTCTTAGTCTGGGGTTCGAGTCCTCAGTTGATACTAGATCTGAGTTTGAAGTCTCAGATTCCAGCCATGTGGCTTAGAAGAAAAGGCACGGAGTCACCAGTTTGGGACGCCCCATGCATGACTTTTATGAGTAAGAAACATGGTGATGATTTTAGGGCATGCACTGAAATGTGGGTGGCTGAATTAGGTTTTCCCAAAAATGGCTCCTTCAGCTTGAACCAATTGGAAAAGATTAAATCGCAATTGGATGCTCGAGAAACTGTGTTAAAAAAAGGCAGGTCTGTACGTGTGAAAGATTTGAATTGTCTGGATGAGAACAGACGGTGGCTGAATGCGTGGATGACTGAGGCAAAGCTTAGGGAAAGTAGACAGAAACAATGTATAGGATCTGCGACTGATACTTCTCCATCTGCTTTTTTTTCGAGCATACCACCGATCCCACGTCAATACGACCGTAGGAACTCCACAGATGATTGGACCCCGCTGTACTCCGCTCTCTCACCCCCCCGGTATCAAGCAGCAGCAGCGGCACCTGCAGCAGCGGCACCTGCAGCACCACCTGCCAGCAGCAGCAGCAGCGTCAGCTGCCCTCCCTCCGCTGCTCCTCTTGCCTGCCCCAGAGGCTTCTGCATCAGCCCCTCCCCTCCTGTCTGGAGCAGCACACAGACACACTCACACTGCTCCTGCTACAGTTCACAGTGTGACTCACGATATGGACAGAATCTCTTTAAATGACAATGGCATGACGCTGAGAGATGGAAAGACTTTACAAGCACCTATGATAGAATACCCTGGCCCCGAGGGAACCCCCGTTCTGGTTCTGCGTCAAATGGATCAGGAGATGAAAGACTCTGTCAAAGACTGGCCTTCTCCCCACCGCGGGGGTGATTCGATGGCAGACGCATTTCTGGCCTTTTGCAAAGCATGGCGTCCTACGGGCGCTGAAGTTAAAAAGCTTCTCCTCCTGTATTTAAAACCGGAGGGCTTCGCCAAGATAGAGCCGGCGGTCCATCGACAGAATTATGAGACTTTGCGAGCTCTGCAGGCGGAATGGACAGAGGCGAATGCATGGGAGACGTATGTGGCCAACATAGTGACAGCTCTCAAGCGTGCGTTCCCAGTGAAATTTGATATGGGAAAGATTAAAGACTGCTCTCAAAAGACAAGTGAGTCAGTTGTGGACTTTTATCATCGTCTTGAGGATGTGTGCGTTGCCCACTCTGGTAGTCAAAAGCCAGACAATTACACTGCCGCAGCTGAGACCACATTCGAGGTGATCTTTAAGATGGCGTTCTGCGAGGGCCTTCCCCAACCGATCCAAGCCGCACTAAAACAGACTTTGGTGGGAGGTTGGCAGGATAATCGCATCCCGGAAATCCTCAGACACGCAAAGCATGCTGAAATAAAGAACACTGAGGAGAACGCTGTAAAAACTGGCGCGCAGGAGACGGCACAACATCAAGCCAATCTCACATTGATCAAAATGACAGGCAGACAATTCCGTCGTGGAGGTCGTGGAGGTAGAGGACGGAGAAGGGGTGGCCACGGACATTTCGAGAACAATCGTGACCACGGACATTTCGAGAACAATCGTGACCACGGACATTTCGAGAACAATCGTGACCACGGACATTTCGAGAACGATCGTGTCCATGACGACCAGGACAAATGTTTCAACTGTGGTGAAATTGGACATTGGAATCGTGACTGTCCCCAGCCACGCCGAGATGCGGGACGCTGGAGTGGACGTGGACGGGGTGCGAGACCGGAGGACCAGCAGAGATTTTCTTCAGATTGATGTCTGGTTGACGTGGGATCTGACACAGCACCTGTACAGATGAGTAATGCACACACTCTTACACACAACACACTAACTGCTAACTGCAATGAAGACGCGCTTGCCACTGATTCACTGCTTGGCTTAATTGAGGATAGAATTAGGGAGTTAGAGAGCGGTGACAGGCCCAACACAGGGACCTACTTAGCTTATGAAAATGAAGCTTACAGAAAAATGCCAACTATTGTTTGTGAAATTGAGGGTAAACCGATCACTTTTTTAGTAGACTCTGGTGCAACCCACAGTGTGATTCAGACAAAGGAGCTCTCAATCAAATTAAGTGGCAGAAGTGTTTTTTCCACAAGTGCGAGTGGACAAACGGTACCGGAATCTTTTTCTGTTCCGATCAAATGCACTTGGGCAAACGAGCGTAACCCAGCAACAGCAAAACATTCATTTTTGATGTCTGACCTTTGTCCTGTAAACTTGTTAGGCCGTGATTTAATGATAAAATGGGAAGTTGTGATCACATCGACAGCAGAAGGCCTTAAAATAGACAGAGGTGCGTGCGCAACTAATTTTGTCAAAGTAAACACAAATTGTCCTATGTCTGTATATCAGTGGTGGTTTCATACTGCCAGCGCGAGTCATTTAATGGGGGTGGTTTCTCCATTTCTTAATCCAAAATCTGATATATTGAAAGCTGAGGACTTGCATTGTGTGTGTCATTTACACCATAGCCCTGATTGTGAATTTGAAGAAACGTTTAAACTGGGCTCAAATGACTGCTTGATTATTGCTGACGTGTACTTTGATGATTCCAAGTGTGCTGTTTCAGTAGAGTTAAGCCAGTCACAAAAACAATGCTATCGTCTTGAAAATTCAAGTCCTCATATTTCAATAGCAAAAGCAAAGACTGACACATGGCAAACCTTAGGCCTTTTTGTACGCAGATGTACTTTGGCAGAGGACTGGGAGGCGTGTGAACGTGGAGAAAATGTGTTTTATTCACAATCCGTTTGCGCGTATAAAATGTCTCATACGAAGACAGTTGATGTGCTAAATTCAGTGCTTTTGACGTCTTCATATGATAACAATGACGGACCAAATTTGACTCTGACTTCTTTGACTTCTCCGCTTGAGATTTCATCTTTGTTGTCACAAGTACCGGACAGTCTGTGGGCAAAAAGTAAACATGATGTTGGTTTGATCAAAAACTGTCCACCTGTTCGTATTGAAGCTAAATCTGATTATAGACCGAGGCAGCGTCAGTATCCTTTGAGACAGGAGGCCATAGAAGGAATTACACCTGTTTTTGAATCATTTCTTGAGGCTGGCATTATTGTCCCATGTGAGGACTCACCAGTGCAGACACCTATTTTCCGTAAAGAAAATTAGACCAGCAGATAAACCTACAGAGTGGCGTTTTGTGCAAGACTTAAAGGCTGTGAACGCTGCGATCATCTCTCCTGTTCCCAATGTGCCTAATCCACACACTCTTTTGAGTCAGATACCAGCAGATGCAGAGTGGTTTTCTGTAGTGGACTTATCAAATGCTTTCTTTTCTGTACCTGTGGACAGGGATTCACAATTTTGGTTTGCCTTCTGTTTTAATGGAAAAAGATATACTTTTACCAGACTTTGTCAGGGCCTAAACTCAAGCCCCTCGTTGTTTTGTGAGGCTCTGAACCACAGTCTAGCGTCTCTTGTGTTGACAGACGGGACTGTTTTGATTAATTATGTGGATGATTTGATGATTGCTAGCCCCACAAAAGAACAATGTGAAGAGGACACAATTAAGCTTCTCCAACATTTGGCTGAGGAGGGCCACAAAGCTTCTGTTTCAAAGTTGCAATTTGTCAAACAAAATGTTGTGTTTTTGGGTCACATTATAACCCCTGAAGGTAAAACCTTGTCACAAAAGCGTGTGACGGCAATAGTTGATGCTCCGAAGCCCTCAAACAAAAAGGAACTTCTTTCATTTTTGGGAATGTGCTCATATTGCAGGCATTTTATCGCCAATTTCTCTGAGAAAGACAAGCCTTTACGTGATATGACTGTGGGGAGGAACATGTGTGCGTCCTCCCCCTCGTGTGGACTCCAGAGGCAGAGCAGGCTTTCACAGACTTAAAAATTGCTTTGCAATCGGCTCCAACTCTGGGAATCCCAGACCCAAATAAGCCTTTTGTTCAGTTTGTGGACGAGAGATGTGGATGCATGACATCAGTACTTTTGCAAAAACATGGAGATCTACTGAAACCTGTTGGTTATTTTTCAAAACTTCTTGATCCTGTGGCGAGAGGTCTCCCTGCTTGTTTAAGAGCCATAGCTGCGTGTGAAACAGCAGTATTGGCATCACGTGACTTTGTTGGATTCTGCCAGCTTTTGTTGTTTGTTCCACATTCTGTTGCTTTGATACTACAGGAGCAGAAATCTTCACATCTTTCTGCATCTCGATGGCTCCGATATCACACAACACTCTTGGGATTGCCACATGTGACTGTCCATAAATGTTCTACACTTAATCCTGCCACATTGTTACCCCTCCCAGGAGAGGGCACACCGCACTCATGCATGGCAGAGCTGAATCAGATCTGTACTCCAAGACCAGATCTTTCTGATACACCATTGACTAACCCTGATTTAATTCTCTATGTAGATGGATCAGCATATCGAGACCCGGACACCGGAAGGTCGCATGCTGGATACGCTGTGGTGGACGACCATTCAGTCGTTCTTTCTTCCTCTCTACCATCGATGTACTCGGCACAATTGGCAGAGCTGGTGGCGTTGACAGAGGCGTGTGCATACGCAAAGGGACGGTCTGTTACAATATTCACTGACTCCCGCTATGCATTTGGGGTGACGCATGATTTTGGGGCACTGTGGAAACATAGAAACTTTCTAAAATCTGACGGAAAACCAATTTTACACCACACACATGTTGCAGCATTGTTAGAAGCTATCTTGCTCCCATCTCAGATTGCAGTGTGTAAATGTTCTGCCCACACAGGTGCAACGGACTCTGTTTCATTGGGTAACGCTAGGGCGGACAGAGCTGCGAGAGCTGCTGCTAAACAGCTCCTCCCCTCATCAGCTTCCTTCTCCCTGCCCCATGCTGTCCCCCAGAGACCCCTCCTCTTTCCCCTCCCGCCTCTCTGAAGGACCTCTGCTCACTCTCTTCCCCTGAAGAGCGGCGCACGTGGGCGGAGTCTGGTGCTGTTTTCCAAAATGGCGTCTGGGTAGGCCCAGATTTGAAGCCATGCCTTCCCAAAAGATTATTTAATTGCTATGCTAAGTTAACACATGGGTTGGACCATGTGTCAAAGGGGAATATGTTTCAAGCAGTCCAACAATTTTGGTTTACAAAAGGGTTTTCTACATTTGCTGCAGAGTTTTGTAGAAGCTGTCTGATCTGTGCACAGAATAACCCGGGTAGGCCGAGGTCTCTGGCACAAGCAGCTCACCCAGCTCCTACAAGACCGTTTGAACATGTCATGATGGACTTCATTGAATTAACACCCAGTGAAGGGAAAAAATTTTGTCTTGTAATGGTGGATATGTTTTCAAAGTGGGTTGAAGCTTTCCCTGCAAAACATGCGTCCTCCGCTACAGTAGCAAAAGCCATTTTGACTGAAATTCTTGTAAAATGGGGAATTCCTCAGAAGTTGTCCAGCGATAATGGGTCGCATTTTGTTAATGAAGTGATAAAACAACTGTCTGATTATTTGAAATTTGATTTGAAAACTCACTGCAGCTATCACCCACAGTCTGGTGGAGCTGTTGAGAGAGAAAATTTCACTATAAAATCAAAACTGGCCAAATGCTGTCAGGAAACAAACCTTAGCTGGCCAAAATGCTTGCCAATTGTCCTGATGTACATGCGAATGAGAGTGCGCACGCGTAACAACCTGTCCCCATTTGAGATTTTGTTTGCAGCTCCCCCCAACGTAGGAATGGGACCTGCGGGACCTCAACCAGATGCCATCCTGTGCGAGGATGGCATGATAAGGTATTGTATAACCCTAACAAAGTCTCTTTCTGATATCAGAAGACAGGTGTCATCGGCCCTTCCCCAGCGGCGGACCATCCACTTCACAACATCCAACCCGGCGACTTCGTCCTGATAAGGAACTTCAAGCCAAAGAGCTGGAATCACCATCGCTGGCTTGGCCCATTCCAAGTTCTCCTCGTCACTCACACCGCTGTGAAAGTCCAGGAGAGGCAGACCTGGGTCCACGCATCGCACTGCAAACAAGTCCCAGCTCTTCTTGCGGAGCGTACAACGGAAGCATAAGGAGGATCTTACCCCCTCCCAACGCGAAAGGAGGGTCACACACACACTGCCCCCCTCCCAACGTAAAACATTGTTAGAAATACATTGTTAGCTGCATCAGGAGAAAAGTGCTGGTAACTACACTCCTAGGTCATAGATGAGCAGAAGATAGGTAACACAAGAAGATCAACAAGTGACAATCCAAGTCCAGGATGCACAACGGCCGGGAGCACGGTCCCTGGCATCCATTCAGGCAGCAGGGCCTTTGCGGGATGAGAAAGACTTTGTGTGTGCTCATGTTCATTTCCTTCCTCATTGTGTTTCCACTGTTATGGTTTGAAGGTCGGGAGAATAAAAAGAACAATCAAACACAGGTCGTTGTCAATTACACTTCTAACACCTCTTCATTTACATCAAAACGTGTGAAGAGGGAAGATGTGGCCGAAATGGATTTTGCGTGGTCACGTGTTTTGGCTCAGTCAATGAATCACACCAGCGTGTACACACTTAATTTGTGGTATCAATATGCAAAATTCTTAGCAGAGTCACAAAATCGCTCAAATTGTTACATTTGTACTCATATGCCTATTGCGTCATCAAACCCACACATCACACCTCTACCAATGGTCGATGCATTTACACATTTTCCAAAGATTCTGTATTCATCTGTCTCTGTTGGTTATTTCAATGAGACCGTCACAAAGCGTACAGGTAAATGTCTCCCCCCACTCAAACCGGCTGTTAGTTCTGATTTCTTCAATTATTGGTTTAATGATGAATTAGATCCAATTTTTGGCCCGGTACATATCAGACCTGGTACTAAATTTGTATGTTACACTCTATCCATGACCATTACAGATTCTCCTATACAGATGGGACGGATCCCTATGTCATTTTGTTTAAATGTGTCTAACCCGTGTACTTCTTTTCATGGTAATTCAAGTTTAAACACTTCTCAGGCCGCTCCGGGTAGTACATGTGCTCCATACTTCACGGTTCCTGACTCAACAGGAACTAATCCTCTGAAGGGTGTTTTGTGGCTGTGTGGCTTCAATGTCTATGTGAAGCTACCATTTAATTGGATAGGTCGTTGTGCTCTGATGATAGCTTCAGATCACTCTTACATCATCTCTACCATTCCTAGATCGCGAGGTAAGCGCGATTTTGCTGCTCATGATGCAGTTTGGGGGACGGACGTTCCAGATGATCACAAACTGTGGACCAAGCCAACAAAAGTACTTCTCTCCTTGTTCCCCCAGGTCGGTATAGGGAAAGTTATGCTTAGAATGGAAACCTTGAATTATCGGTTTTCAAGTTTTGTGAATTCAACTGTAACTATAACAGAGGCCAACAGAGTAGAAGTAAATGCGTTGCGTGCCGTTTGCTTTACAAAACAGGATTGTTTTGGATCATTTGGTTGCCTCAAGTGGAGGTGTTTGTGTTTTACTTAATCAGACCGCTTGTTGTACTTATATTCCTGATAACAGTGCCGATGATGGGATCATTGCACAGGGTATTCGAAATCTAACCACCTTGCACGATGCGGTTAACCGTGATTTTGTTCTAGATGCTTCATGGTTTTCAGACTGGCGAGCGTGGTTGGTTTCAAATAGGTACTGGACTTGGAGTAATATTAGTACTGCTAATAGTGCTGTCATGTTGTGTCATTCCTTTGATCCGTTCATTGATCCGACGTATGATCTCGTCGACACTCGTTCAACACACTTCTCTTAACCTGCATGTTGACTGTCTTGATGAGGACAGTGATCCATTTAGTGAGATGTTACTTGATGATTTTGAGTAAATTGTTTGTATGTCTAACCCATTTTATGACGGATTTTCTTAAACCTACTAGGTGTGAAAGTTTTGATGTTCCGGGGTTTCTTATATTTTACTTATATTTTACTTGATATATTTTATTTACTTATTTTACTTATATTTTTACTTATATTTTTAGTACTTGATATATTTTTAGTACTTAATAGTATGTGTGTGATTGATTTAAGATAATCAAAGGGTGGATTGTCATGGCCAGATTCCCGGCACAAGATATTCTAATCATTTAGCTCGATACATGCGTCTTCTTTCCCAGCGTCTGAAACTGCTTCTCATCACTGTTTGAAACATTAACACAAAGGCTGCTTGTCCACGGTCCTCTTTCCCATAACCTTCGCCACCACCTGCATGGGCCTATCTCAAATGTTCTTACAGCGTGTTCCTTGTTATCAAATTCGAAGGTCCTTTTCTGCGCTTAATGTATCTCTCCCAAACTTTCCCGTCTGCAGCTGCGTATGACTCATCTCTCTTGTGACGAATGTCCATTGTTCTGTCTGACACACCTCCAGTATAAGATCATAAGACATGTTTGTTGGGGGGAACAGACAGACACGGCATGGCTCCAGGTGCCGCTTCTGTTTGACTCCTTTCTGCGCAGAAATGTCATTTTGTACTCATCACTTCTGTGAATAAAACTGCACCAAAGGACAAGTTTGTTTCCTCTCGGTTTCATTCATTTGAGGCAATAGAATTTCCATAACACACCCTATCCAGTTATTATAATAGATCCATGTATAATACAGTGGTGTGAATGACAGGATTTTGAATATAGGAAAAAAATATCATAAACAGTTGCGGTAGTGTGTCTTGTCAAGGCAGTAGGTTTTGGTTTGCTTGCCTGTAGGTAATAACCAGCTACAACAGCACCATCTGCTGGTGTACTGCTAGAACAACCACATTACACCCACAAATCTTTTTGACACACGCTTGGCGGCAGAAGTGTGTCAAAAAGAGATTTGTGTGTAAAACAGAGCCTGTGCGTAGCTCTAGGCTTTTTCCGTTCTTCTCTTCGTAACAAGGTGGTTTATTTACACACAGATTGTTCTGTTACAGATACAAATGTCAAATTACACACACACAAATCTGGGTACAGACGCACACAGTCCAAGTTACACTTGCGAATCTGCGAAGGCAGGACTGCGTCAAAAGATTTGTGTGTAAAACATACTTTTTTTTTTCTTTACACACACAAATCTTTCTACGCACACACAAATCTTGATACGTATATACCATAGACTGTATATATTAATGGACAGAGTCCCGCCTATCTCCGCCGTTCTAACTAATGGGCCAAAAAATGTGCTCTACTGGAGCTATCCAAAATGGCCGCAAGTGGTCCCGCCCACAAAAAAATTGTGAAAAAACGCATCTGCGCATGCGTCAGCCGGCGAGAGCTCCATTCATTTGAACAAGAGACTTCAAAAATTCACAGCGAGTAAACTAGAGTGGACCAAAAAAATCCACCCCCCTCAGCATTGACACACATGTGGAACGGAGCTTTGGGCCAAGAGCCAACTTTTGGTCCATCCTGTAAAGACGTTTTTGAGAGGTCTGCCAATGCTATATGTTAGCATTGGCTAATTCTACTTCTGGGTCCACCCCCATCGGCCCGGGGTGGTATTGCAGCATGTCAGCGCACGTCATTTTGGCCACTTTTGAGCTGGGACCCTCCCCCACTGGTATATACAAATCTATTTACACACGCACAAATATTTCTTTTACACACACACAAATCTGGTTACGCACGCACAAATATTTTAACGTACACACAAATCTGGTTACGCACGCACAAATCTGTTTACGCACACACAAATCTGTTTACGCACACACAAATCTGTTTACACACACACAAATATTATTGAAACAATAATAGCAGTGGTGGGACAGGCTGTTACCTGGCAGGAGTCCTTGCCTCCCTCGCTCAGTCCCGCACACAGCATATTGTCTGTGATACGGATGGTTGAGTTGTAGTTACAAAAGCACTGTCTGTTCCCGATGATGGGCACTTCCACCTCCATCAGGTTCTGTGGCGGCGGCAGAGGAACTGTGGAGCCAAACATCAAGCATCAATAAAATAAATCTATACAAAATGACTAAAAGACAGAGAGCTGCTGCCACCGCTCAGAAGGAGCTCAGTGAGGAACAGGGACATGGTTGCCAAGGTAAGTTGGAGTTTGGTCAGTCCTTATATACAGTAGCTCTTATCTAGATTTACAAAGGCAACATCATAATGTAAACACCATGGTTACAGAGACCACTAAACCACAGAAGCCCAAAATGGTGACTTGGTCGCTAGCTCCACAGAGCGGGTTAGCATTGTCCTTCTATGTATCTATGGTGTGTCTCTGGGAGAAACCCACCTGTTGCTTCTGGTCGAGCTGCAAGATGCAATCAGCATCTCCAAGGCTTTGAAGCTCAGACAGATTTGGATAATATTTACTTTTCACAAATTACCACGTCTCACCTCCAGAATTGATGTCCCCCCAGCCTGTGATCCAGGTGTCTGTGCCACTGTGGAGGGCACTGCCGGAGGCCGCCAGGCACACAGGCTTTATGTAGTCTGTGAAGGTGACGGAGGAGGACAGCTTGAGCAGTGACATGTCGTTATCTTGGGTGGCCTCGTTGTAGTCCGGGTGGTTGATGAACTGAGTGATGGTGCGACTCACTTCGTTGGGGTTGGGGCCCTCTTGGCTTTGACGCCCGATGAACACAGAGTATTTACTGGCATCACCACTGCAGACAGGAAACAGGAAGGGGTGAGATTTAGGACCTGTACAAATGCAGTTTTAGGTGTCTGTGTTCAAAGGCTCCTCACCTCATGCAGTGCGCCGCGCTCAGCACCCACATGTTGTTGATGAGGGAGCCTCCACAGGAGTGACCTCCTCCTCTGTGGATACTGACCTGCCAGGGCCAGGCTCCATCAGGTGCAGCCTGGCCTCCGACAATCCGGCTGTTTTTGGGTGCCATCCCACACACTAAGGGCACAAATCACACATACTGACAGGTATATACATATTGGGATGGTCTCTACAGCACCACAAGAGATTTGAAATGACACAAATAAGCTGTGCTTGAACTGCAGAGTGTCAGGTTCAGGTGGAGGATATTTAGATTTCAGTCAAGTGAATGCTGTAGGAATCTAACCAGTTTTTATCTTCACCGCCCACTTTTGGTGAGTCCAAAAGTATAGGAACAACTGGCTGCTCAGCGGTACCTTTTTGGCCAGTGTTTTAGTAGCATCTTTTCTATAGCGAAAGTGTGGAGGTGAAAACTGCACTGTCGGGCAGTGGGCGGGACTTACCTGCAGCAATGTCGATGGTGTTGGGTGGTGTAGTAGTGGTGTTAGTTGATGGAAGAGAAGGGCTGAGGTGACGCTCTGATCGCTGTCGGGCATGCCAGAGGAGAGCTGAAGGCGATGAAGCCGGGGATCTGGTTGGCCCCCAGAATGTGAGTCTGTAACATAACACACGAACTGATTAGCGTAGCAACTCGCAACACTGTAAGAATCTTGGGGGCCGTAATTGATCGAGAACTCTCCTTCAAGTCACATATGAACCAACTAAAAACCGCATGTTTCACCTGCGCAACATCCCTAAAATCAGGAACATTCTATAAAGTGTGATGTAAAAAAAACGAATCCACGCATTTGTCACCTGAAGCCCAGACTACTGTAGCGCCCTCTGCTGGTATCATGACCTAAATCCTCCATAAAAGATTCCAGCTCATCCAAAATCCGTTCTATTAACACACAAAGCCATAAATGGCATGACTCCTTCTTACCTCCAAGTTTGGTGTCATAACAACCAAACCGAGCTCTGCGCTTCACCAGAAGTCTGCTGGTTCCTAAGGAGCGTTTAGCTCCAAGCTCCTACACTGCGGAATCAGTCCGACAACAATCCTCGTTCTACAGCCTGAGTCCTGGATGGGCCTCTCAGAGGTTTCTCACTTTTTCCTACTAGTTTAAGAGTTGTTCCTCTCTGATGCAGGAGTGTCTAAGGACCGGGGTGATGACCCAGGACAGTTATGGGACAGTTATGGGACAGTTATGGGACAGTTATGGGACAGTTATGGATGTAGGTCGTCTGCCCTTTAATGGACCATCGTAAGTGTATAAGTAGTAAGCTTCATCTTTATTCATATAGCACATTTTTACAGACCGAGATCACCCAAAGCGCTTTAACAATGTTCAGAGTTCAGATATTTGTTTCATTCTATCCACACAATGATGATGTAAACGAGACGCCGAGCGCACTGGACCATCAAAGCCTACAACCAACACCATCCGTTCAGACCTAATGTGTATGTTTCAGTGATAGGGCCGTAGGGGAAACCAGAGCACCCGGACACGGGGATAACATGCAAGCTCCAGGCCTGTTTGGACCCCTGTTCAGACCAGGATTTGAAACCCAGGACCTTCCTGCTGAGAATTGAGAGTGTTAACCACTCTGCCACCGTACCATCATAACATTCCCTGTGTTTGAACTGTTTCTATTCTTGATCTGTGTTAGTGAATCAACAGCTTTGTAAAGTTCTTTGAGATAAATACTGTTGTGATTTAGGGCGATACACAAATAAATGGAATTGAATTGAGTCAGAGGCAGGATATGGAGCTATTGTATTGTTTTCAAAAATAATTTGTGTGCGTAACCAGATTTGCATGTGTGTAAAAGAAATATTTGTGTGTGTGTGTAAATAGATTTGTATGTACGTATCACGATTTGTGTGTGCGTAAAAAGATTTGTGTGTGCGTATAGAAAGATTTGTGTGTGTGTAAAGAAAAAAAAAGTAAGTTTTACACACAAATCTTTTGACACAGTCCTGCCTTCGCAGATTCGCAAGTGTAGCTTGGACTGTGTGCATCTGTACCCAGATTTATGTGTGTGTAATTTGACATTTATATCTGTAAACAGAACAATCTGTGTGTAAATAACCACCCTGTACGAAGAGAAGAAACAAAAAAAGCGTAAGAGCTACGCACAGGCTCTCACGTTTTACACACAAATCTCTTTTTGACACACTTCTACCGCCAAGCGTGTGTCAAAAAGATTCGTAGGTGTAATGTGGTTGTTCCAGCAGTACACCAGCAGATGGTGCTGTTGTAGCTGGTTATACACGCAGCAAACCAGCAGAGTTTGTAACACTATAGTGTAGATAGAGAAAACCGAAGGATTTAAGAAGAAAAGTTCAGGATGACAAGGAACACTTAAAAATTCCCACAAAATCCGACCTTTATGAAAGCTGTAGGTTCTCTGTCAGCTGTTTTAGTTTACTTTGAGTTCTATGGGGAAAATGTCTGTGTAGCCCACGTGAATTTAGTCTGCAGTACGCGAGAATCCTTCAGCTCCAAGCTAGTAACAACCTGTCATGGCCAGATTCCCCCCGGCACAAGATATTCTAATCATTTAGGTCGATACATTGCGTCTTCTTTCCCAGCGTCTGAAACTGCTTCTCATCACTGTTTGAAACATTAACACAAAGGCTGCTTGTCCGCGGTCCTCTATCCCATAACCTTCGCCCACCACCTGCATGGGCCTATCTCAAATGTTTCTTACAGCGTGTTCCTTGTTATCAAATTCGAAGTCCTTTTCTGCGCTTAATGTATCTCTCCCAAAACTTTCCCGTCTGCAGCTGCGTATGACTCATCTCTCTTGTGACGAATGTCCATTGTTTCTGTCTGACACACCTCCAGTATAAGATCATAAGACATGTTTTGTTGGGGGGGAACAGAACAGACACGGCATGGCTCCAGGTGCCGCTTCTGTTGACTCCTTTCTGCGCAGAAATGTCATTTTGTACTCATCACTTCTGTGAATAAAACTGCACCAAAGGACAAGTTTTGTTTCCTCTCGGTTTCATTCATTTGAGGCAATAGAATTTCCATAACAATTTGGTGTCAGAAGTGGTCTCGAAGGCTTGACCGATGAAACGCAGGGGTCCGGATTCGGGGGACTGATCGCCCGGGATTCAAAACCAATCTCGTCGCTTTCCCATATCTCTGGACGGGCGGACTGGACCGGACGTGCTGAGTTTCAACCGTCGCCTCTAGGGATTTTCACACGAAAAACAAACGGTAACTTGTTTAATATTTGACTTTCTATGCTTCAGTGGTGAATCCGAGAGGCACTTGTGGGTGCAGTGCATGTTTGGCTGCCAGCTGGTGACGGTGCTGCTCATTCTAATCCAGGCTGTTGGGAGAAAATCTAAGTTTATTCTTAGTCGGAGGTTAGAGTCCTCCGTTGTGAAAACAGGTTGGAGTCCTGTCAGAAAATCTAAGTTTATTCTTAGTCGGATGTTAGAGTCCTTCGTTGTGAAGACGGTTCGAGTCCGGTCTAAATCTAAGTTTACTCTTAGTCGGAGGTTAGAGTCCTTCGTTTGTGAAGACGGTTAGAGTCCTGTCTAAAAAATCTAAGTTCAAGTCTTAGGTCGGGGTTCAAGTCCCTTGTTGTGACACGGTTAGAGTCCTGTCTAAAAAAATCTAAGTTTAGTCTTAGTCGGGGGGTTCGAGTCCTCTCGTTGTGTGAAACCAGGTTCGAGTCCTGTCAAAAAATCTAAGTTTAGTCTTAGTCTGGGGTTTCGAGTCCTCAGTTGATACTAGATCTGAGTTTGAAGTCCTCAGATTCCAGCCATGTGGCTTAGAAGAAAAGGCACAGAGTCACCAGTTTGGGACGCCCCATGCATGACTTTTATGAGTAAGAAACATGGTGATGATTTTAGGGCATGCACTGAAATGTGGGTGGCTGAATTAGGTTTTCCCAAAAATGGCTCCTTCAGCTTGAACCAATTGGAAAAGATTAAATCGCAATTGGAATGCTCGAGAAACTGTGTTAAAAAAAGGCAGGTCTGTACGTGTGAAAGATTTGAATTGTCTGGATGAGAACAGACGGTGGGCTGAATGCGTGGATGACTGAGGCAAAGCTTAGGGAAAGACAGAAGAATGTATAGGATCTGCGAGCTGATACTTCTCCATCTGCTTTTTTTTTTCGAGCAAACCACCGATCCCACGTCAATACGACCCCCCGTAGATGATTGGACCCCGCTGTACTCCGCTCTCTCACCCCCCCGGTATCAAGCAGCAGCAGCGGCACCTGCAGCACCAGCAACAGCCAGCAGCAGCAGCGTCAGCTGCCCTCCCTCCGCTGCTCCTCTCACCCGCTCCAGAGGCGTCTGCATCAGCCCCTCCCCTGGCTGCTTCTTCCCCGCAGCAGGAGCCTCCGCATCTGCCCCCGCCCCTCCCCTCCTGGCTGGAGCAAGTCACAGAGAGGCCGCACCTGACCAGAGCGCAGCGGCTTCATCCACTCTGTCACGCATGATCTAAGTAAAGTTACACTGGACAATGACAATGGCATGACACAGAGATGGAAAGACTTTTACATCCTGGAAATCCTCAGACACGCAAAGCATGCTGAAATAAAGAACACTGAGGAGAAACGCTGTAAAAAACTGGCGCGCAGGAGACGGCACAGCATCAGGCCAATCTCACATTTGATCAAAATGACGGGCAGACAATTCCGTCGTGGAGGTCGTGGAGGTAGAGGACGGAGAAGAGGTGGCAACGGACATTTCGAGAACGATCGTGTCCATGACGACCAGGACAAATGTTTCAACTGTGGTGAAATTGGGACATTGGAATCGTGACTGTCCCCAGCCACGCCGAGATGCGGGACGCAGGAGTGGACGTGGACGGGGTGCGAGACCGGAGGACCAGCAGAGATTTTCTTCAGATTGAATGTCTGGTTGACGTGGGATCTGACACAGCACCTGTACAAGATGAGTAATGCACACACCTCTTACACACAACACACAAAACTGCTAACTGCAATGAAGACGCGCTTGCCACATGATTCACTGCTTGGCTTAATTGAGGATAGAATTAGAGAGTTTAGAGAGCGGTGACAGGCCCAACACAGGGACCTAACATAGCTTATGAAAATGAAGCTTACAGAAAAAATGCCAACTACTGTTTGTGAAATTGAGGGTAAAAACCGATCACTTTTTTAGTAGACTCTGGTGCAACCCACAGTGTGATTCAGACAAAGGAGCTCTCAATCAAATTAAGTGGCAGAAGTGTTTTTTTTCCACAAGTGCGAGTGGACAAACGGTACGGAATCTTTTTCTGTTCCGATCAAATGCACTTGGGCAAACGAGCGTAACCCAGCAACAGCAAAACATTCATTTTTGATGTCTGACCATTTGTCCTGTAAACTTGTTAGGCCGTGATTTAATGATAAATGGGAAGTTGTGATCACATCGACAGCAGAAGGCCTTAAAATAGACAGAGGTGCGTGCGCAATACATAATTTTGTCAAAGTAAACACAAATTGTCCTATGTCTGTATATCAGTGGTGGTTTCATACTGCCAGCGCGAGTCATTTAATGGGGTGGTGGTTTCTCCATTCTTCAATCCAAAAATCTGATATATTGAAAGTGAGGACTTGCATTGTGTGTGTCATTTA